AACTGCCCGAGCCGCTGCTAACTCGGTCTAAAGTAACCGTAGTTCAATAAATGTTACATTTGCGTTAATGAAACCACGAAACGACATCTTCCTAGCGTCCTAGGGGCAACAGCCGAAGGGCTTTGCAGTACGGAGACGGACTGGCAGCGTCCGACACGAAAACCCCAAAAGGCAAAAAGAAGTCAGAGCGAGGGCCATGCCTTCGTCGAAAAGTTGACATGCTTCCCGTCCGCAGAGCTCTGCCCGGCCAAGACGTGGGAAGAGAGGTCGTCCAGGAACGTGTCGACAGAGCTACTTTCGCTTTCCAGCGAACTTGCAGGGACTGCGAAGAAAGTGCTCGCAGTGTTTAGGATGAACTGCTTCCGGACGTCGTTTGCGGACATAGCTGCGAACCAGCCACACTCGCGGAATAACCGACAAAATTGCCGGAGAAACGCCTCGCAGACAACTTTTGTTGCAGTTGCAGAGAACTTGTGTCGTCACCGGTTGTCAACGGCCGGGCGGCCGGGCGTCGATTCGAAACTAGCAACCTGTAATTTAGTATAGAGAGATGAATCAATAAACAAGCTATTGGTTTGCACCCTCGATAATGGACGGTACCTGGCGCTACCTAGTGTATAAAAACAATAGCTAGAAATTGTGTCGTCGTCTGCGTCTTTTTTTTTTTTTTTTTTTTCCTTCGAAATCGGGTTACCAAAGCGTGGAAATAATTAGTGAAGACTGCGAGTGCGCAGGCGAGCTGGTGGTAACTAATGATATCGTTTAACACCCGAGACTGTGGTGAAAATGAATTACTTCGTCGAAGGACCAGACGCGTGCGGGTCGCATCGGCTGCAGTCTCAGGGTCTCAGTTTATGAGTTTTTTTTTTTTTTTTTTTTAATTAACCGTTTTATGGGTACTGTACGTTATATCTAAAAAAAAAATGTTGAAAATCAAAGTCGCTTCACATTCCTACAAGTATTTAAATTGATCTAGCCTAAGACCGAAACTGCCGCCAATACATTATGACAATTAATGACCCATATCAATAAGACCCTTGCAAAAAAAAAAAAAGTTTTTGTTAGGCCAATTAACATGGCACGTGTCAGAAGAGTATTCAATCAATATTTTGCTACAGCCGTCACGTATATATTTAAAACGTAAAAAACGCAGCTGCTCGAAACCGAAACCCGACTGGGAAAGAAGATGTTGTTGCCGGAAGTCACGTGCTGTGCAGTCTTTTTTTTTTTTCAATCAACGTATCTATTTTTTTAGAAGCCATAAAACATAGGTACCATATTTTCTGTATTTTTGTAGTATTGACTGTGTGCCTTCGATGATTCACGACGGATATTTGGTGCTTGTACTAAACCATAGGAAATGGCACGCCTCAAACCGGCCACTTCTCGATCGGTGGTTTTCAGGCGAAAAGAAAACGAATTTAGACTCATGTACAAATAAATATCTTGCTGAGGAGCACAAATAACCTGTCAGCACCCCTTTAGAGGGGTATTCTGGCGATTTTTGAGCTACCCCAACAAACAATTTTTTTCGAATCCCCGGACCTTACACTTCCCGGTAGGCTATTTAGTATTGCAAAATTCAGAATACCGTATTTGTTGTGAAATCAGTAAGTGAAATTAAAATTATGCCAAAACCAACATTCAAGTTTACCTTTGCTTTTCAGTGCGGCAATGTCAGGAGAAGACAGGCTTGCAGGTCGAGTGGGCAGTCTGAAAATGGACTATAGGAGCATTTGTCTCATGCTTCTGTGCGAATGCTGGAGCGAGCTTTTAAGGCATTCATTGGGGACAATGAAACTGCTTAAATCAGCCGGGAACAAACTCAACAGTCCAGAGTGAACCCCCTGCCTTCCCACAAAGTCACTTTTTGTAGCGCGAGCTACACTGGCCGAGGCATGAGCAGTTTCGCGTGGCTCGCATAATGAGCCGTGCTCAGAGCTGTGCATGCGCGAGGAGCAGTGACGTTACACGGCGCACAGCTGGCACGCCTGAGCCGCCGCGCCACCCTCGCCGGTCTGCGCATTCCAGAGGAGTGAGGTCATAGCCGCGGCAAACGCACTGGCGCCACCGCGTGCCCAGCTGTGCGCCTCCATTGCGTAGTAGCCAAGTCTGACTCTGCACCGGAGCCGCTTGATGGAGCCTCTCATTTTGTGCGCATAAGATCACGCTACGTATATCCTGGCATAGCCGAGAGCTAAGCTACCGCAATTTTTTTATTGTTGGTGTTGCTAGTAGAGTTTTTCACTTGGAAAAATGCTGCGATGAGCAAAATTGTAAATTCAATACCATCGCGAAAAGTATACCATTTGTGTTACTGTTTCAGCAATGTTTGTTGGTGTGTCTAGCAAATTTTCAGGCAAATCGGGGAAGGGGTAAAAGCACAGGCGAGCTGGTGAAGAACTTCCATTTTTCGAAGAAATTCCATTTTTTTTTTATTTTGCTGCGTCTCCGGTTTACGATGGGAAATTGGGGACTCTGAAGGAAACGCCAGAGTACCCTTTTAAAGGGGTACGGAAGCAAAATTTTAGTTTCTATTTCAGGCACATAGCCAGGATTTTGTTTCGGGGGGGGGGGGGGGGCAGGGCAGAAGGTTCTAGCAAAATTTAAGATTTTGCTGGGACCTTCTGCCCCCTCAGCTACGTGCCTGGTCTATTTCTTTGTCTAAACGTGGTCTCCTTTATGACAGTAGCATTCAAACGCTAGTCTTTTGTCCACAAATGCAAGAAAAGCAATTTTAAAACGAATTTCTAATACCACCTGGTAGCTTCGTTGGACAGCCTTACGTCACGGGCCCAGAGCTGTGTATGCACGGGCCCATCAGAGGCAGAGCCACAGAGCCACAGTAGCGAGTCCTGATGGAGGGGCACGCAGGAACGAGCGGCACTTGGAACACCTTTTAGTTCTAGCCCACCGTGGCACATTGATACTTTAGAGGTCTAAAAACATTTTTCGTGTAATGCTTGTCAAATTAAGAGAAGCTGGAGAAAACCAGTCTTTTGCGTTACTAGGGTTGCGTCTGCATTAAAGGGGCGATGCAACGATTTTTGTATTTTGCGCAAATACCGCTTAGAACGAATCCCCGACGTTAATGACCTGTAAAATACCCGTTCGTTTTTCACTACATGCAATCGAAGTCGCAGGAAAAAATAAAGAAAAACGAGCAGAATTCACCCCCTCAACTCGCAGCCAGAACCAGCGGCCACGTGATCTGGAGCCGATTATATGCCGCCAATGTTGATCATAGCCACGCGCTGGGGTTGGCAAGGCACAGGACACGCGCTGAGTTTCAGGCATTGTTATGGTTCGGCTGTTGTCGTCATTGCAGCGATTGGACACAGGACACTACCCGAATGCTTTTCGAGCTATAGATTATCACGAGCCCAAATCGAGTGCCCACGCAATGCTCGGGTCCAATCTATGAGCCGCATTCAAATATCGTCACTGGGTGGTACTGCTACCGCAGAGCTACGTCATCAGGTTTTGCGAAGGAGAGATTGAATGAAAACGCTCGGTTTTGTCCTCAAAATTACAGCGCAAAAAAGAGTTTCTTGGTCAGTGGCTCTGCGTGCGAGTATCCTTGAGTCCCATTAGTGCCAGTAAGCTCGTGTAAAGTGAAAAACATCCAATTGAATATTGTTGCACCGCCCCTTTAAGTCCTTATTTCAAACTTTTTTGGTTCGCATTCTGCCCATTAAAATGCATGCGAGAAGGGCCTCAGTACGCACCTTGTATCCAGCACCGAAGTGCTCTTCCACAGCATAAAGGCCGTCTGCTTTCATCACCGTCACCATTTCGTCACATACCCAAGTGAACACTTTTTAACATTGGATAAACTGGCATAGCATGACTGTTGAAGTTTCTTCTTGACAAGATGCTGATCAATTCAATTTGCAAATAAATATAACCCTTGATCATTGATGATTTTTGTAGATAGAACAAAGTAGTATTTCATGCTCTACTGACATGGCAGCTACTTAAAAAGCCCCTAAAAGAAAAAAAAAGCTTTTTAATTGGGACGCAAGTCAAAAATAATTTTACGCGAGAAAAAGTAAATAGTTTAGAGCAATATTGACGGCGCGAGATTTATTTTAAATTTTGCACGCAAAGTCCATGATGTAAAAAAATGGTCACACACTCTTTCCACCTAAAAAAAGACTGTCATTCACTCTCCCCACCTCAACATGATGGCCAAGCCAATCTACCCCTCTTCCACACGCCTGAAACGCCGAGAGAAAACAAGTGGAAAGGAGGCGACTACCGACAATCTAGAGCCTCCCAAGCAACGAAATTGCAGCTTGCGCAGCCAATATTGCTATAAAAAAAATATCTTTTCGTGTAAAATTCATTTTTTACACGAATGTCCAGACCAAACTAAAAAAAAACAAAAAAACATCTCTCTTTTTTTTTAAGTCCTTTCTTTTTCTACTTGTTTTCTGGCGAGCTGCGATTTAACATTCACCAGTTCGCCTGCACCCTTACTGTATTATCTCTGGAAAGAGTGTATGACCATTTTGTGATGTCATAAAATTTGTGTGCAAAATTTTAAAAAAATCTCTCACCGTCAAAATAGCTCTAAATGTTTTGTTCCGTACAATTAATTTTTTGACACGTGTGTCCCAATCAAACTGCAGAAAAAAATTTTTCCTTTTTCTTTTTAGGTTTTTTTTTTATGGTGTATTCGCACGAGAGAGCTTTATCTCCGCAGCTGCGAGAAGGAAACAACACGAGAAGGAGGAGGCATCACAGAAAATCCAGGCGAGCATTCGCATGACGGGACAGTTTTTTAAAGAGCCTTTTCCCTTTCCCCCCTCCCTTCCTCCCTTCCCCTTCCCTTCCCTTCCCTTCCCCCCCCCCCCCCCCCCCCCCCCAAAAAAAAAAGAACAAAGCCTTTTTTTATTTCGTATTTGCGTTGCAGGTCAAATTGAAAACGGCAATCACCTGTCCTGCTGGGGTGGAGGGAAGCGATCAAGATGAGAAAAACAAAAACTAAAAATCAGTTATGGCAAGAAAAGAATAAAACAATTTTTCGAAAGGTGTCTATAATCTTTCAGGAGAATGACCCATGTGAACAGACGTGGCCATGCAAGGCAGCATACGACAGTCTGTAGCCTACTTGGTTGAGAGACTCTGTGTGACCACCTGTAAAGAAGAAAACAATGCCCCAAGAAAATGGCACCTTTGTATCAGGACTTTTGCATAGTGTAAATATAAAGACACGGCGTTAGTGGCCACACTTCACTGACTAAACTACCAGCTATGGCAAGGATAGAAAGTACAGTTTTTAAAACAAGACTGCATGCAAGACCATAAACACAGCCAATTCAATTTTCTCAGACTTTCCCAGGTTCGCCTTGCATGGAAAACAATTACTGGGATGCAAGCCCCTGCAACAGAGACAAAAACGTAGACTAAAATTTTTCCATAGCCTTTATACAGTAAACACTGATCTCGGCACATCTGCATATGTCCTAGCACCCCACTACATTTCTTAAAAAGTAAATCATGATGGAAAGATTTGCAAACTTTTTGTGCCAACTGATGCACTAAATGCTCATCTTTAGAAGGGTTGAAAACTGGGCTAGTTGGTAAGCATTCATTCTGGTTAAAAGAGAGCACAAAAGACGACGTCGAAGTAGCGAACAAATGCGACAGCGCTTGATCGTATTTCTCTTTTTCATTAAACGTCAGTTGTTAGTCAGCGCTCTACCCTGTCTCCCTTGTCGTAGTTGCACCGTGAATTCCACAAAATTTGTGTTCCAGCTTCTGTTTCATGCTTTCTATGCTGTGTTTGCTGCATTATGTATTCTACGTTCCCCCCTTTTACTTTAGTGTCCTTGGGGCAATGTAGGTGTTAAATAACTAAATTATACCATAAAAACTCTACAAAAAGTGTGGCAAAATTTAATTGTCTAGAATCACCCACAACCACGGCAGCAATGTACCTCGAGTCTTTGTGGCCCGAAAGAATAATAGATTCATGTTCAGAATGTTTGCCAATGTTCTCAAAGTTTTTGACATATATGTCGCAGCAAATTGCAACAAACCAAGTCACTGAGCACAAGTCAGCATAGCTAGACTACAGCGCTGTTCTCCAATTGATCGCCTTTCAGTTTTTCACAAATCTGCCGGATCCTAGGCTCTGCATTGCAATAAACTCTCCTCCACGGTAATCTGCTCATGCTGTGGCATCACTAGGGTCAGTGGCACCTGGGGCAATAGCCCTCCGCAACCCCCCCCCCCCCCCGGCCCCCCCCCACTCTCGTTTCCCCCCCCCCTCCCCCCGCTATCATGTGGCCCCCTGCGACAGCCCTCCCTTTCCCCTACCCCTCCCCCCGCTCTCGTGTGGCCCGCCACGTCCCCCCCCCCCCCCCCCTTTCCCCCTTTCCCAAATGCCGAAGGCAGACAGAAAAATAAAACAAATAAAAGAGGGAGTCACCTTGCATTCTTTCTTTACCAAAGCATTCATCTCTGCCTTGAGTGCTTCCAGGGTTTCCTTTTCGAGTGCCACCTTTCGCCTCATCAGGTCCTTGTCCTGCAACAACGGAACGGCGACGACCACTGTTGACCGTTTTCCGTACGTGCCGGCCTTCAGAAGCATTGCGCGCTTGTAAAAGCCGACAAGTGAGAATCGAGAGGAACGCTGCCGCTGACAGACGCGGGTCTCGTCTCGTCCAGAGCCTCCAGCCGGAGTCGCACTGCGCTAACATTGTGCAAAAGACGCAGTGCTCGCCGCAGACACGGCGCGTCTCGAGCGTGTCTGCTTCGAATTGGTCTCCAGACGGGTTGGTGACCGATGTGGCACGACCCTCCTACAAGAAGGAAACGTGCCTCCACAGACTGTCTTCTGCATCGTGTACTTACAGCGGTGCAACCACGGCACTACACCGTTCCAATGGTCGCCTTTCGCGTGCTGGGGTCTTTGTCCACCAAACTGTGGGATGCGTTTGAAGTGCGTGTAGTAGCTCTCTTCCACGAAACAGTAGATGCCACGCGTGCACCTACGTCTTAGTACCCGGGTGGTAAGCGCCGGAAAGGTCTACGCATGTTACTGGAGAGTCCGACAGGTGGGCGTGACGTGCATACCCCTGTGGACAACACGAGCCAAAACGGCCGGTTCGGCTTTTTTCTACATCAGTGGTCCCCGCAAGGTCCGTCGTCTCTCCATCTGTCAAAGTAGTCCAAAAAACGACGCCTCGACCTTGCATTTCGTTCCCAGTGGGGACCGTGGATCCCTCTCGCAGTGTGGCAGGTTCGTCAAGGCGGCACGAAGCACTCTTCTTGCTCGTATTGTCCGCGAGGGTAGCCGTTTTTACGGTGAGCGCCCCCCAGTTTAAAGGGGCGGTGCAACTATTTTGATCTCGCAAGAACCCGCGGCTCGCTACTTTTATTTCGTCGTCTTAGCAACGGGTAAAAGAGAATGTGTCGCTTTCCCCAGCAGCACCACGATTCCATCGTGCAATCGCGAAGCGTAAGGACCATTCCCCAACCTGCAGCTGCACGTGCGTTTGTTGAACCCACCTATGCTTTATTCGCCCCCAAGCTGACAGTGCGGTGAAGGCTACGTGGACCGGTTGCGCGTCAATCTACCGGAAAGGCGCGTTGGCTCCCGCCTACAGGCCTTTCCACCAGCTGTCTCGATGGAGACAGTTTACAGCACGCGTCTGTAGCTCTGAAAGTGCACGTCGGTGTTGCCCGCCTGCGCCGGGCTGTGGGTTTTCTCGTCATGCAATCCCGGATGCTGCAGACAGCTAAATTGCAGAGTTTCATTGTTTTTGAGCATTTTATGGGGAAAGGAACTTATCAAAGACTTTGGGAAAAAATTTTACAATTTTTAGGAACAAAAACAAACTAAAACCTATTTTTGGCGAGTCCGCGAGCGACAGAAGGAGTGCAATTGTAACGTTTGTTTCATTTCACGCAGGTTTTTCACGCCGCCAAACACTCGGCCGCATCAACTTGCAAAGATCAGAACTGTCAAAATTATTTTACCGCGCATGATTGCCGAAACGCACGGTATTCTCCGCCTGCAACGTGGATTTTGATGAGTCTCGTCCATCGAACATGTTCTACGTCCCCACGGTGCCACCTGGTCCGAACAGACTTCATTCAAGAAAGATCTCAAACAACACGGCACATAGAATCTACGGTGTTTATGACAGTCACTCCGCGACGATCGTCGGGTGGAATCCGGATTTGCTGTATGTCTTGAGGAGAGCTCATTTTTTGCACCGCATCGAAGCAAAGGAAGGAACGTGTCCGTTTCGTCCTCTACCGCACACTCGACAAAATTTTTTGCCAAGACCAGGAGGGCTTAGCGGAGAGTATCCCGACGGACATAATCCCAAAAGAACGTCGAACGGCCCGCATCAAGAGCCGCTCGAAGTTTGCATTTTTGTGTGTTTCCCGCGAGGCCAAGCAGGTTACGAGGCTCGGCATTCACCGGTTCTCACTGTGAAAGATAACGCGGAAGAATAAGCATCCTGAACGGGCAAATAAACTAGAATATTTTGGAAAACACTCGGAAACTTCGAATGCACAACGCAGGTGGAGAGTCGCGCTGAGCAGGTCTCCACAGCCCGGGCGCATGGCAGAAATTTCTGACCGATAGGGATCGCGACAGTTTCAAAATGGCAGTGGCCGGAGAGATCTTTTTGGAAAGGTCTATACCCTCCTGCGAAGAGATGGGTCAGGTGACAAAAGGCAGGCAGTCGATTGGTCTGACGAAAGCGGCGCTACCATCGCACTCTCAACGTAGTGTCCGAGTTTCGATGCGGTGTCAGTCGCTTCCCTTGCCCAGTTTCGGCTACGCCGGTGAGACTGTTACGCATAATGCATACAAGTTTGGCCGTCTGCAGACTTACCGGTGGAAGCCCGTGCATGCGTTCAAGTTTCTCTTTCAGCTCTTTCTTCTCCTGCTTGAGCCGCCGCAGCTTCTGTTCATCGAACAAAGGTAAGGGTTAATATCCGAGTGCCATGCCCAATGTCAGTTAACAGTTAGTGTCACCACTGGACCCAGTGTCAGGGTCAATATCAAATTAAGATTCCCATGCAAATATAGTGAATTTTGAGTTCGAAGCGAATTTGAAGTGAAAAATAATTTTGGACAAATATTTTTGATTTGAATACCGAATAGTTTTTTCACGCCTCTCACTACCATTGCATAATGCTTAGACGAAAACCCCGCTAAAATCGTGAAGGTTGTTCCCCTTGTTCAGCTAAGTTTAATCTATTTATATTTATGAACCGCGACCCCAGAAGGTCTGATGTCTTGGGAATCCTATAGAGATGGCCAACTATACCTAGTTGAGTGAATTTACAAATCTTGCTATAAAAAACATTCTTTCTTTAATCTCGAGTTATAAAAGACAGAACCGTGCATGATGATCGCAGGTTGTAAGGGCATCTCTGCCTAACATATACTCTCGCGTAACAGTTTAATTTTGATACTTTTACCAGGGACCCCAAAACTGGGAGGGCAACGGGACCTTGAGCACCCACTCACATCTTCTAGGGGGTGCTGAGCTATATTCTGAGCCCCCGTGTGTTTGGCTCTAGTCCTACTGAACAATGCCTACACCCCACTCCCCCCTCCGTTTTCCCATTGTTGCTCAGCTCCGCCAACATGCATACTTGGCCAAGGGCAAACTCGTGGCTCTGTTTTTGTCACGGGTGCAAACTTGGTGGGTAACCACCACACGCTTACCTTCAGGTCATCGACCAGTTGCAGTGGTTCAAAGTGCTCCGGTACTTCAACAAGCTGCATCTAGAAGAGACGAAAAAGGCCTATAAGGACACTGCAGACAAGACCAACAGTGACGGGACATAGTTACGTATAATAGTAATTATATTGCTAACACTAGTGCACCCAAGCAAGAAACAAGTTAAAAAACAAAGCCTCTTATCATCACTTCACAGAAATAATGATTTCAATGATCCTGATGCTATGACATCGTTGCACAGACGTCAACATGATGTGTGGCAATGCAGTGATGTACTACGTTTCAAGTGGAGAAAGCTACGTTTATCGCATGAAATAGCGAAGCAAACAAAATGTTTAGTAGTAGTAAGGTGGAAGCACAGACTACCGTAGAATACCGCGCATCCGCCCATTCCACATTAAGCGCCCATATCCAAATTCCTAAGATCTGAGAAAATATTTATATGTAAAAATGATGACCGAACAAGTGCCCATCCCCCATTTTTTCATTATTATCTCTATATTTTAAGTGGGAGCTTGCCGGGTATTTTACGTTATATAGCTTTCCTAACAAGCCATGTGGGATCAATAAAAATAACTATTTGCTATATTGTAGAAGAAACAAAGTCACACACCATTCTTCTGTTGGGTGGAAAGTACATCAGTTAAAAATTGAGGACCGACATAAAAGCGATGTTAGCAGTCTGTGTCAAACAAAGTGAATAAGTTGTTTTCAAAACGAGACGTAGGCCTTAAAATGACAAAGTTGAGAACAATCAATTTAGTAAAAATATGCCTTTTTGGTGTATGAATGCAACAAATTATACGTCTCTGCAAGATATGATCACGCCGCAGGGGCGACTGGGGTCTTGAAATGTTTTTCTTTATCAACAGACTTTCCTAAAAATTGGCATGCAGATATGTCGCTGACTTCATATCTGGCAATAAATTTGCAATATCTCAGAACAAAGGATGTGACAAGATATCAAACTCCAATTGGGTCATTTCTTTTGTGTCATTACGATAATTTATTTTTATAAAACATCTCTTAACAATGAAAAGTGATTTGCAAGGGTCCACCACACATTCTAAAGCTGACAAAATCTTTGTGAAGCCAGTTTTTTTTTTCACCATAAATATATCGCAGACTTCAAAGCAAACAAAATCATGCCATAATTAGGCGATATTTTAGCTAATTGCTTTTGACTCAAGGGAAAAAAAGAAAGCTGTAGGATACAGTTCTATTGTTAATGAAAACAATACCAAGTTTACTGGGTTCGTGCAAACATTATCAAAACTTCCGTAAGGCAACGGCACCTTAGAAAAAAAAATACTTTCAGCCTTTCCACTCTAGTGGAAAGGCTGAAATATTCTCAAACACAATATTCTCAAACATGCGGAGCATATATAAGCCTCTTTACGGTGACATTGAACAATATGGCGAACTAACATCTGGAATGTTTAGGCTCCGCATCGGTGCTCATCTTCAAATTCACCGTGTCATGCAAAGGCCGCCATCAGCATGTAGAGTTGGTGTACACTTAGGTGAAGATAGTTATCGAAGTGGCCAGACAATTCCAAAAGGGGTCCATCGCTGAATTGGTGCCGTATCTGACTGTGGCGATGCTCCATGGATGAAGAGAAGTATGTTTGCAGGCCCGGTTATTCAAGGTAGTTTTAGTTGCCTGTTCGCTTTTTCTCAAACATCGGCGTAGGACTTGGGCAAGTGCGAGCTCGCTCGTGTATGGCGCTTTGACGGCCGTCACCACGAGTGTGACGAGCGTCGGCCCACGGGTAAGGCCTAACTCTTCCTGAACTGCGTGGTGCGGGATGATTGCACCGCCGCTGCAGTTAGCCCACAGAATATCAATGGACATGACTGGCCTTACGTTAGTTCAACATTCAATAAACGGGAGCAAAACTCCACTCCTCGGTATCTCCGTGCATTTATGTGTTTGATTTATGTCCCGAACACAGCCGATGGACGGTCCGGTCTACTTGGTCGCTATCAATCTGGGAGCCGGATTGCCAGCGGGTCTACGTAGGATTTCCCACACAAATCCTAACGGGAACAAAGTGGCTCACCTCCACAGCCCGTAAGTTTGCCTTGTCGGCGTCGTCTGCTTTCTGCAGGGACTTGATCACGCTGTCGAGGTCGTCCTTCTGGGACATCGGGGCCGGTCCCTGGTTTTTTCTGAAAGGGCATTTCGGTCGGGGACAAGGAAAGTCTCACACACTTTACAGCGGCATTCTTGCAGACTAATAAGGAAATCGTCGAATGGTCTCCACAGATTGGTTGAGTAGCTGGCGATGAATGAACAGTGCCAGCTCTACTCTTATTGCATACTGAAGGCATACAGAGACGTTTCAAAGTGCCCCAACATTTAAAACGGCTCATTATTTTGCAGTGGGTCATTAAGTTTGGTCAGTTGGTTACACGTTTAAAAAAAAAGATAAAATAGTGCTAAAATAGACCAAGGACACAAGGAAGAGAGTGGGCATATAAGGCGCTGACTTTAAACAGAATGTATTATTTCCGGTACGAAAGTGGAAGAGAAGGAAACTAAATTAAAAGATTAAAAGACGCGCGAGCCACACTCTTTGCACACATTAAAAACCATTGTCATAGGTACGCTCCACACTTCCTTATAAAATTCGCCTCCTTATCTAAAATACTTAAAAATGCAGAACTGACACACACATCTTTGCCTTGCATATCAATAAAAAAAAAAAGGTTAATTTATTTGCCTCACAATCTTTTTTGTGCAGTGACATCACTGTATTTTAATGGCAATAAACATTGTAAAGGACTGATTGAGAGTTCATGGCACATCATCATCTAAGGCTATGTTGTGCCAAGCTTTGACTATAAGGAGGAAAGCGCTTTAGTAGCGCAATATCTGATAAAACTATGGACATGAATGTGTATAAGTTTTTTCCTGTTTTCATTTAAGGCATGACGAAAGAAAGCAGGGTAAGTTCCGCTACAGTTTATACATTTGACTTCGTATTCGCAGATGTCCGCTACATGGTCGGTACCACCGCACTTTCCACACGTTTCTAGGCCGTGGCAGTTTCATGGACTGTGCCTAAAACGTTGGCAGCGGAAACATCACCGAGGATTTGGAATGAAAGGGCAGACTCTACAGTTCAAAGACCCTGCCTTTACGGTGGAAGGAAGAGGGTGGAGTTCAAATACGAGAATTGGTTGTCGAGTTGGTTTTTCTTGTCCATCATGCTTTAAAGTGATCCGTCAAACAGCTACCACAGCGCCCTTGCACAGCCCTTTGAGGATCTCCTCTTCCCCGCATTCGAGAAAGCCATCTTCTGAGATGACACCGCAAACAGTATTCGGGGTACGGTGGGAGGTTAGAGTAACCTGGTAATCTCCCAGGCTTGTCATCTTCAGGAGTGCTGTGCTCTGCAACTTATTTTCTATTTCAACGAGGAGCTCTCGAGCTAGCTTTTTTGCCTCGTAATATTTTGCAATCACTCGTTCCAAGCAATGAGAAAAGGAGAAACTTTTGACAAATGCACAGTGTCACATGTAGAGTGAACTACAAGAAATGAAAGATATTTTTCTGGTTCGTCAGCATTTTCGAAAATTAAGCGGAGCAGGCCAGCCTGTTTTGAGGGGTTGCTTCACTCGGGGATTAGGAGCGCAAGAAGCCATAAAAGGGGAAGTGTGTTCAGGATCTGCGGTGCACCGCCCACTACCGAGCCCAACAAGGGGTAAGGTAACGCACCGTAGCAAGAAGGGCTTGGCTGGAGACGTTACTCTCACAGTGCTGCCGGGAAACTATAACCAAGCGTGAATCTGGAGGAGGGTATCTGCTACCACCGAAGGTTAGCCCTTGCCGCCAAAGAAGGTGAAATAGGAAGGAAGAGGAGAAGGTGAAGAAAGGAGAGGTGGAGAAAGGCGACCAACTGAATCATCCTGGTCGGGCCAAGCCAGGACACCCGTCTACGAGAAGCAGGGGCCAAAGTGGTACATTGCCTCGCCCGGGGTCCCTGAACGGTCCAAACGTACCCTGGGCTCAGCTCAACCACCAGGATCCCCTTTTTCCCGGGTTAAGCCACGCACAGCCAAGCGCAGATGGGCAAACTCACACAACTCGGGGTCAGTGGTAACGCCACTCACTAAGCACCTAACACCTAGGGTGTAGGCGCCTCCCTGCGGGGCATTTTTTTTTAAAGGAATTGCTTTTTAAAGAAAGACTAAAGTTGCGACTGATAATGCAATTAAATGCCAAGGGGCAAGCAAGCTGGACAAGAATGACGAAAATAATCCCTGGAGAAGGGAAACAATGGGGAAAAAGGACAAACACAAATCTCCAAACACAGCTAGGTGACTGGTGCGCGATAGAAAAAGTCCACCTGGCCCTGGTGTCGAATTAGGGGCCTCTCCCTTTGTATTTCATTGCATTATCAATCGTAACCTTAAAAATGCGAGCCGTTCACCCCTGTTGGGGCTAGACTGGTGGCAGTCGACAAAACCCGTTCGCTCTACTGACGTCTAACTCCTGATTAGATCGGTTGGTAGAGTGCTCCATTGGAAATTAAGAGGTCCCTGGTTCTATACCAGGAACAGGCTAATTTTTTTCGGTCGCGCGCCAGTCATTTAGCCGTGTTTGCAGATTTGTGTTTGTCCATTGTCTTCCTTGTTTTCCTTCTCCAGAAATTGTCTTTCTTTGTCTTCCTTGTTTTCCTTCTCAAAAACTAAAGGTCATAAAACCTTTCCTTTTTTTTTTTTATTTTTAACATATTCAACATTAAAGCAGTTTTGTATGCAGATTTCAGATGTAGAATTTCATTTCAAGTAGTTAGATACTTGAAGCTAACTCTTCCATGAACGTTTTTCACCTAAATAACATCCTTTCTTACGAGTCCTTGATGCAAAGTAAGGTACCGAGGAAGAAAGGACACTCACGCTGCTTCCTTTGCGCAGTCCAGCATGTCTCCCAGTTCCTGGGCCACAGGCTCCAGCGATTCAACCTTGAGCTGCAGTTCCTCCTTTGTCGCGAGCACCTCCGAGAACTTGGTCCTTATGCTGGGGAAAGACGCACAGAGGTCCCAGATAGAGCCCCAGAGGTTTACGCTTAGAGCGTCCACACTCCACCGCCCCGACTCTCTCGTGGACACCGCCATTTTGTTGCCTAGTGTGGAGCGGGCACAATTACCGACAGTTACGATAAAAAAATGCGACTTCTTGGTGATGCTGTCTTGCACTATTGCAGACTGCTTTGACGTTTCCGGAGGAGGGAAAAACGTTGTCTCCTATGATTTTAAATAAGGCTTCAGGTAACCGGCAACAATGGCTTTTAGCAACAAGATGGTTAAAGTGTCGCTACTCTCAAGCGTGGCTCACTTAGTGGCTCTAGCGGCAGCCTTTTGTTTTGCCTTCGAGATTCTCGTGCGTCTCTTCTAATGCAGTTAAGGAATTTTTGTTTTTCTCATTTTAACTAAACCAGCCCAACACTTTTTTATACAAATATGTAAAAAAAAAGATTTTCTGTCACGCTGGGTGTACTTTAAAAGCAACATTGGAAAACTGTTTAAAAAGGTATCATTAAATTGCAAGCACTAAACATTGAATTTTAGCAGCGGCACGTCTCGTAGCTTCTTTATGGTTCTAGTACACCAGAAGCCATAAAGTGCTGCCATTACAATGAAAAGGTTCGATTATGTGCAGACCTTCAGACCTGGGACACATAATCGACCCATTTTTACAAAGAACTTGTGAGGAAACTGTGCTTGTAAGTGTCCCATTCAATATCTATCAATATATATGTAGCACACTTGGAATTGCATGTTTCGTAACACAGGTATGTTAATCCAGATTATGATAGACAGTTAGATTCTTCTTCCTAATGTGCGCTATCACATTTGAAGTAGCAGAAATTCTAGAAGTACCTAAAGTTTTTCATTCCTATCTTTATTGCAGCATGTATTCAGGTTTGCAAGCTCAACATGTTCTTAAAGTTTTCTTTACTATTTAGTGCATTAAAGTCCTCGTTCCCGAGACTATGGCTCCTTTTCTCGTCTCGACCTCTTTACATTACATCTTTGTTTTGATTTTGAAGCTCCACAAACGTAACACTTGGAAGATATTGAAAATGGTAGACCGGATAAATTCGTATTTTCACGCTAGACATCATAATTTTACGGAGACATCAATCTATGATACACATATGCTTTCAATTTGGATGTACTGCCTCAGAAATGCACAACTCAAGTTCTGTCTCTAGGCTGACAACAGCTACACCCAAAAAATCCCAGAAATGAAGGCATATGTCCCTGCGATCGCTACACAGAAATGCTTCCCCTTCCCCCCCAAGATAAAATAGGCAGAGCCCGTATATTTCTATTGCTGAGAGTTTGCTAGAACGTCTTGCCATCTAGAACTCGTCGTTTTTATTTATTTATTGAACTCGTCGTTTTTATTGAGCCCAACAAAAAATATACTATCAAAAGCAAGCTTATACAAAAGCGTGCGAGTGCCCCTTTAAAAATGCAATTAAACCAAACTTTGATGCTTAGGGTATGTAGATTCCTTTCGTGCCATAAAGGGATGACCTCAAATTCTCCCTTGGTGCCCCTCAAAGGCTGCTTTACACGCTTGCTTGTCATCGAGAGGACGTGCTGGCGCACTCTATTGGGTAGCTCGGGAAGCACTTCCGGTGGGCGCATCTTTTCTCATTTTTTAATTCCGGCAGTGTTATAAACGGGAATTTCTTGCGGATATTGCGTCGGTTTTATCTCGCTAATATTGCGGAAGCTTTCAGTCTAGTTCAGGGCCGGAAGTGCTCCAAAGGGCCCCTTGCACTGTGGCGCCACCTCGTTTCAACTCCGTGCAACGCGTCGTGGTGGAGCGCAAGCGTGGAAACCAGCCTTCGGTCTTACGCGGAAAGTCGGAATGGACTCCAGATTGTGTTTCTGCTCAATTTGTATTGTGGGCTCTGCGGCCCATCATGGGCCAAAAGAACGTGTGCTCCGCGCCCGGCGCGCAACGTGCGCGCGAGCCACGTTGGAGGCGCGGGGCTCGGCAGTCGGTTGGCTGCCGCCAGACAGTAAAGGTGTGTTCTGTGAGATCTGCCTCGTTGGTCCTTCTTGCGGGTGAGCAGTAGCACCGAACCCTACATTATTTGGCGCCCAACGTGGGGCTCGAACCCACGACCCTGAGATTAAGAGTCTCATGCTCTACCGACTGAGCTAGCCGGGCACTAACGCTTCAAAAATATGACTACACTATTGTGCACAAACCAGGCTCACAAAACAAAGTTGCAGACGCTTTGTCGCGCGCTCCGCTCGGCGAAGAGCGCGTGCTCGAGGATGCCAATGTTGTGGCTGCGATAGATGCTGGCTCGCGCTGGGGTACTTTGATTAGCCGAGATGAGCTTCGTGCTGCACAGCAGAACGATGGACTTTGTCGCAGGGTCTCTGAGTGGTTATCTTCACGTGACCGACGTGGCAACAGAGACGCTAACATGGGTTTTGACTCGTACTTGCTGGCCGAAGACGGTCTGCTTCTCCGGTACATACCTCAGATTGACGACGAGGAGGGTGGCTCCACAGACACTCCATTTCGAGCCGTGATACCTCGCCGACTTCACACGTCCTTCATTAGATACTACCATGACTCTGCTTTGGCTGGTCACAGTAGTGGCTGCAAGACTTTTGAAAAGTTAAGCCGTACTGCAACTTGGCCAGGAATTCGTCAGGACGTGCTGAGGTACGCTCGTTCATGCCCGGTTTGTCAGAAAGCCAAACCGCGCGGTGGTCAGCCCCCTGGTCTCATGCAGCCAGTCGTGAGTCGGTCCCCATGGGAATGCGTTGCTGTCGACGTCATGGGCCCTTTCCCACGCAGTCCGCGTGGCAACCAGTACTTGTTGGTTGTCACGGATCACTTTAGCAAGTGGGTGGAGCTATTTGCATTACGGTCGCTGACGTCCAAAAGAATCTGGTCGTGTCTGATGGAGACGTTCACACGCTTCGGATTTCCGGTGAAATTGATTAGCGACAACGCTACCTACTTTGCCAGCAAAGTGTTCCGAGACTCTTGTGCCGCATTGGGCATACAACACAAGCGGACGTCTCCCTATCACCCACAGGCAAACATCACGGAGCGGGTGAACCGAAACCTGAAATCGATGTTAATAGCTCACACCGAATGTCACCCTGACTGGGACGCAAAGCTCCCAGAGCTCGCGTTCGCAACACGCACAACCGTTAACCGGTCTACAGGTTTTACGCCAGCTTGCCTTAATTTCGGAAAAGAGCTGACTTTCCCGCTGGAAAACACTTGCACGACCAACAACCGTGGCGCTGCTCGCTCATACGGTCAGTTCGCAGGAAGCCTACGACGCAGACTCAGGGACATCGTTCGTGATGCCCGGGAGAGCTTGGACGCCGCACGGCTTCAGCAGGCTGAGCAGTACAATCGTGGCCACCGGGACGTGCAATTCGAAGTTGGAGATCTTGTACTCCGGCGGACACACCCACTTAGTGACGCCTCCAGAGGTTTCACAGCTTCCCTGGCAAACAGGTGGGATGGTCCGTATCGAGTGCGAAACAAGGCCTCACGCCTTACGTACACGCTTGTTCATTGTGAGTCTGGTCGACACGCCGGACCTGTTCATGTCACCAACCTCAAACGGTATTATGAATTGGATGACGAACTTCTCTCGCAGGTGGAGAGTGATGCCGATCCGGGTTATACTTAATTCTGCGAGGACTCTTTTTGATGTTGGTGACGAAGACGAAGACGAAGACTTAGAAAATGCGCGTTGCATTAGGCTTTGAAGAGAACTAGTTTCCGCACCATACAGATTGTGCGCGTAGTTCTGTGCGATATACACCGACAGTGTGCTCGCAAATTTAGCCAGTCTATTGCCGCGCCCAACGTACCGACGCTTTCTTGTAGAAGTCTCTCCAGAAGACAACTGTTGATTCTTTTTTTTTCCTTTCGTTCTTTTCGAACCTTCGACATGTCTCGCTACCGCCTCAACCGTTGCCGGAGGTTCTCTCAACCCCTTCGATGAGCCACGTGGTTTCGGGGACTACGGCAACGCAGTGGGCGGCCGAGGACCCTCTACCGGCCATAGCAACGCCGCAAGATCAGCAGCCCCGGCTGCGGCTACAACGACGGTTACGGGACACAAAAATGGAGACCAGGATCGCTACGAAGGTCCACCAGAGCCCGACGTTACCAGCTACGGCCCCGGACGTGTCCACTCGTAATCAGGCGGCGGACCAGCATCAGGGGTTTCTGGTGATGGTGTTTAACTCTGAGACGATGAACACTCTGAAGCTTTTCAACCTGCCCTGACTGTACAGCAACGTCGTCAAGATCACGTTCTGAAGAACAAGAACGGCTGTGTCATGGTGCAGATGGAGGACCACCTGGCCAAGCAGAGAGCAGTGCGTCACCTAAACAACGCACAGTTCTCCGACATCAAGATGCAGATCGGGACTTCATTGGCAACTGCAACAATCGCATCACCAATCCGAAGGCGGCCTCCACGAACCGCATCCGGCCGCCTGCACCGTCACAACCCCTCCTCCTCTACCACCAACAATCAGAGAGGACAGCCACGGAGCCAGAGGACAGAGAAGGGGGGAGGGGGGGGGGGAGAGTTTGTGGGCTCTGCGGCCCATCATGGGCCAAAAGAATGTGTGCTCCGCGCCCGGCGCGCAACGTGCGCGCGAGCCACGTTGGAGGCGCGGGGCTCGGCAGTCGGTTGGCTGCCGCCAGACAGTAAAGGTGTGTTCTGTGAGATCTGCCTCGTTGGTCCTTCTTGCGGGTGAGCAGTAGCACCGAACCCTACAGTATGTATCGCATACGCGCAAATGTTTTTTTGTTAGGTTCACGCTACATTTTGGTCGCGAGAGACAAAATCGTTGAACATAGCATACACGTGGCACTCGCGTGACCACACGACGTCGAGTCGTGGCATTGCGGGATAATCTGACAGTGGCACGAGCCTGTTTGCCCGCAGTAACACACATCAGCAATAAGATTCACGTTTAACCCGGGACAACCGAGCATTTGTCATGACTGCCAGTCACGCGACATGTCAACCATGCAACACAACGAGCAGCCAACTAGTATGCACTCGCGCATATTCTTAATTATTCGCATCGGGGGAGGCTTTCTGGCAGAGAATCGCGGGGACCCTATTGATGTGCAGTTCATCTCTCAAAGCGTGATATCGTAGATTTACCGCTAAATTTAGCGTTTTATTCGTTTCAAGCGTGACCGTAACACGATACTTCACTGTACGGGCCAAAAAGAGCCCTGGAATACATTAAGAAGAAAAAGAAACAATTACTCGTCCAAGGTGAAATCTCCTTCGCAGCCAACGAGCTCCGCGCACTTGACGAGGTCGCTCAGCCGCTTCTTCACGGAGGCCGGGAGCTGAGCAGGGCCAATGCCGGCAGCCTGCAGCGTCGTGTTCAGCTTCAGCGCTGGTCGAAATAAAACGCCGACCGTTGACACGAAATTCGGAAGTAGCGCAGCAGACGCACACTAATGAAGCGGTGACCATTAATTTACTCGACCGATCTGCCAACACCAGAATGAAGTCAAAGCCAAAACTTTTATACAAACAATTATATGATTTTGATGTGTCAGTGCCCCTTTAAAAAGGCACTGACACATTGAAATCATATATTTTTTTTATTATCCTAAACGACTGAAAACGATGCCGGGACATTACCCTCAAATTTCAAAACTTGTGAATTCAGTATTTGTGAAGTAAAAAAAACAATTTCCAAATGCCGAATTTGAAGTTCCCGCGCGATCCGCGCCGGTGCGTTTACGACAAATATTGCGGAGTCCTGGGAGTCTACTTCCTTTCACCACTTTGAGCTGTTGCCACCGCTACCCGATGCGAGGAGGAAAGGAGCAGGAGATGAGAGCACCGGCGGACCGAGAAAAAATGCTTTTGCGGTGCCGCCTGCCCAGGCGGCATGTTTTCCGAGGGAGGATACAATTCCAGGAGGCGACATCACACCAAACTCCAATTTTTGCTATTTCAAAAAGAAGGGCCGTAGAGCGTTTGAAATTGCGTTCAAAACATGTTTTACGATTGCCATTATTAAATGTTATAGAAATGTTGCTTACAAAGCTTCTAAATTTCTCAATTTTTGACGTCACGAATCAAAAGAAGCGAGGAGGCGAAGAGCGGGAGAGAAAAACGCCAAAAATAAAAAGGCGTGCGCGCGCTTAGAAAACATTTTTTTTACTATAGTTTATTTTTTGTCTATGACTACAACTTGCATCGTTTTAGACAATAAAAAATATATGACCCTTGGGTGTTAGTGCCCCTTTAAAGGGCCACTGAAAAAAAAATGTTTCCTTTAAACAGTCTGGTCGGGACACACGTGTCAAAAATTTAATTTTAAGCGAAAACAAACAATTTTTTTATAGTAATAATGACGGCACGAGATGCGATTTAGTCGATAGTCACTTCCTTTCCACTTTTCCCTCTCGGCATTTTGGGCATGTGGAGGAGGGGTGGATCGGCTCAGCCATCACATTGAGATGGAGAGAGCGTACAACCATCTCGTCAAGATGGAAGCAGTCTATGACTTTTTCGTGATGTCATGGACTTTGCGCGCAGAATTTAAAATAAATCTCCCAACACTAATACTGCTTTAAATATTTTATTTTGCATGAAATTAGCTTTTTTGCAGGCGTGTCTCAATTAAACAGTATAAAAAAAAAACTTTTTTCTTTTCAGGGCCCTTTAAGGGAGATTCAGAATTGCAAGGCATAAAAGTCATAGCCGTCGTGAATAGCCAATTTGACTCTGCAGGTTGAACCGTACCTTGCCGATCGTAAAAGCTGGCCATCTCTTTCATCTGACGAATGCTACGTTGGTAAGTTTCCTCGTCCGCCATCTTTTTTTACCTGACACAACCTTTCCTCGGCGTCTGGAAAGAAAAGTGCAACAAAAAGGGCAGGCGTTAATAATATGAACCTTATATAAGCCGGCTACAGTGAATCTTGCGCCGAAAAACGAGCCAGAAAAATCACCGCCCGTGCTTAGAAAGTTGAAACTTTCACCGAATGCGCAATCGGGCGGTGGATTTCACCTTGTGGAATTTCACAGCATAGTTTCCTTTCTGTAAAATTTGAGGACAACAAAGTTGCCCGAGTCAGCGGTTGGCATGTTTTCAGAGAACACATTGAGCAATGAATGTGGTACCACTTCCCAGAAGGTGCAGCAAGCAGACGACGGGGAGTGCCGCCTGCTCACTGCGCCTCTTGGGAATAGGCGTCACAATTTACCTCCATCTACAGCCCTGTATAGAGAGAGTCCGGTCAATAAGAAAAGCCGACGGAAGCCGGGGTGGAGCGGCGAAAGCGGCGGCGCCAGCAGCACCGCACATGCCCCCCGTGATGAGCTTGCGAAGTAAGAATGCACCGGGATGACCTTGAAGGGTTTGCATAGCACGGCACAGCCATTTTTTGTTACTGGATGAGGCTGCAAGTACATGAATGTATAATTCTAAGCAATTGGTGGAAAAGAGGAGTTTCAAGGTGCCGAGTGCACTTACTGAGCCAGGGAAGGTAAAACCGACAAGAAAATGTGGGGTGCGCATGCAGAGTTTGGGTCAAAGCTCCCACATAGTTGAATTTGCAGCTATTATTGCTTACTTAGTTGTGGCCGCGGCCGCGAGTGCAGTCAAAAGAAAGTATAAGTGCGTTTTGAATGTTGCCGTGATGACAATGTTGCGCGCATTGGCCTCTCAGTGAAGAAGAGCAGCAACTCTAGCATGCTGAAATGAAATACTCGAGTGCATTCTTACCTAGACGTTGTGATTGGAGAATATTTGTTAAGCTCAATGCCTTTGCTAGGGGAATATCTGAGGCTAGTGGTTGGTCACAGGAGCTGTTAATCATTGCGCCCAAGGTCATCGAAACAATTTCGGCCAATGATGCGCCCTTATTTTCGCCCTATTCTTACCAATTAATGACCAAACTCCACATATACGGTTCTGTCTCCATCACCGGCTCGGTCGTCAGAGAAAAAGTCCACAGTTGACTTTGGTAAGTTTGCTGGTCCCATTTTTTACAGAAAGAGAACTACACCTTGACATTTTGCCAGGTAAAACTGATCACCTTCATGCACATTCAGTAAAGGTTTCAGCTTTCTATGGCACCAATTTTTTTGGCTAGTTTTACAGTTTAAGATTCACTGTAGAGACACTCCATACTTTCACAGAGCTGTACAATATCTCGGCGTGTTAAGAGTCGGATGCCAGACATCGATAGAATATAGAACAATGGGATTTATACTTGTTTGTACGCCACTGTCCCCGGCCTTCCTTTTCTCGCCCTACCTTCTTGAGTTCACGCGGCTTGCGCTAGCGTCGCGTCAGCTGCCATTGGAGTGGTACAGCTGCAACGGAAAAAGAGTAGCACAAGTGACCGATGACCGGAGCGGCAAAATCGCGACACGCGGCGCTCTTGTTCCCGAACGCGCCGATAGCGAGAGTGACAGTCACGGTCCATGTCTCAACGCGGGGGCGGCCGGCAGCAGGCAGCTTATTTTAAAGCCTGCATTTTAAAAGCTATCTTATCCCTCAACTTTCTGCCGGCCACCCCCACACTGAAAAATGCAACATGACTTGCACTCTCGCTATCGGCGAGCTCGGGAACAATAGCGCCGCGTGACGCGGTTTTGCCGCTCCGGTCATCGGTCTCTTGTGCTACTCTTTTTCCGTTGCAGCTGTACTTGCTGCCGAGCACATGCTTATACCAAATGTGTTCTCCTCGGCAAGAACAGGAAGGAAGGACCATCAGCACAATACGCCGACATCACATGCAAGCCATGTAGAGTGGATTTTTCAATGTGCATATACGAGCCAAAGCGCCGAGACGTCCAACGCAGATTCTTCGGTATTTTCATGCACTGAATACCGTCGAAACGACCACGAGTTGGGCGCCGGACAACCTTTGGGGCTGTCAAGTTGTGCATTCAACTTCGCAAGAAACGACCCCAAAAGCCGACCCTGGCAGCGGACCGTGTGATATTCACTCAGTTCCAGGGATACACATGTCGTATTAGGTTGAGGTATTGGCGATACTTCGACACTTGGGAACTTTTATAATACAGCAGAGCAAAGCACGCCGTTCGAAAGTGTGGGGAACAGACAGAACCGACAACACAGGACGAATTTCAGTCCTTCATTTGCTTCTGTGGACTGTGGGCGGAGACGTTAAGTTGGCCCGTCTTCTTCAAAACAGCTTGTAAAAATTAGAAAAAAAAAATAAAGAAACTGAAACCGGAGGAAGACGAAGAAAATATTGAAAGCTCACCCCAGTATTCCCAGTGTTCCTTCGAGCCCGAATTTCTGAATTTCGACGACCCCGCGCAAGCCAAGATCACGTGACGGCGTATTTGGGTATCGGGCCAATCACCACTTGCCTGTTAGTTGCTATAGCAACTCTTACACGTATGATATTTCTGCACCCGCCCAGTCTTATTTTATTTCATTCATCGAATTGAAATTGGATTGCGTAACAGTTTATTTTGTGTATGATAACCAATAGCGTATAAAAAATTAAACAAAAATAAAAAACTTGAGCTGTCGCGCCATCTACCGGTCTTCCTCGTTGTTGAAAAACGCCCGCTGTTGGCAAAAAGCAACCTTGGTGTTGGCTCTGTTTGGCGCCATTTTGATTCAAAGCCGTACGTTTGATGTGTTTTTGTTGGCGTAACGAGCTGATATTCCTAGACGCTGCTTAGCTCGAAGCCATCTCGTCGGTGCTTCGCCCTGCCACCGAACTCGAGCAGCCCTCGGCGAAGAGGCACCAAGTCCCGTTGGTGAGAACATACGGGAAATTGCCGGCATAAATACGCGATTTCGTGGCCATTGGCCCAGTTGGTTGGACCGATCGCTTTTAGGCCTAACGCCATCCACACACGCACTGTAAACAAACGGCGCGCCGATATTTGCACGTTTTAGGCAGCAGATTTCACGCGCTTCGAAGCGCGTTTTCGCTAACAAAAATGAAAACAGATCGAAACCAGTTGGTCGAACCTGCTCGTGGAAGTGGCGAACAGCAGCTCCGAGTTTGATCGGTCCTGGCGAGTTTTGTTTGTGTTGTTCGCAGTCGCGTACCGATTATGCCTGGAAAGTTATGTAACATATTTTGCGCGGCGATTGTTCGCAATTTTTTCGCGTCCGAGACAAGTGATCGCGATGAGGCACTTCCATGGAAAGTTGTGCTGGCACGAACGAGCGTCTGGTTCGAGAAAAGGTTTGTTTGGGGGATGACGTTGATAGATTTTTGATCGCTCGCTGGATCGAAGCAACGACCCAGCTTACTGGGAATCTTTGTGGATCATGTGCATTGGGGATCTCGAATTTCGATCTCAAATCTCGGTGTTTGCGACTTGGGTTCTTTCTCGAGTGTTGTGGGGGGTCGACTTTGGAGGAACACGGGCGAAAGCGCGGCCTTGAGGAGGGGTGACGGTTGCAAGTAGCCGACAACTGTCCATTGTTGTTTTTCACGCTGTCCCGCGGGGCGCGCGGATGTCCGTCCCCGAAAGGAGGAAGAAAGTATGAGGAGGACATTTGGAGGGGTCAAGGTCACGACAATGGGTGGAGGGGTTCTCTCGGTGAACGCGTGTTGAACAATGCACACTGGCAAAAAACAAAAAAACAAATCGAGGTTACGGTTTGGTTCAAGACTTCCAAGCCGGTTGATAAAGCTTAGTTCTATCATGTGAACGTGTTTGTAGTACCAGGAGCACCTGGTTGTAGAGTTTACTTACATGCACGTTAAGAGCCCGTTTTTGTCGTGATTCTTCCCTTTTACAACACATAATGAGAAAGTAAATTTTGCATAAAGAAAGAGGCAGGGCAGAGATTGAAATGGCCATGAACAGCATGCAGAAGAGAGATAATGAATCCAGGAGAGGCTGTTTCCAGCATGTGCGCGTTGTCATCTGTCGAGCTTTTACTGTGCGTGCACCGTAGTGTTATCCAAGGTGCTGGAGGCGGAATATCTACCGTTTCTTTACCTGTCGCCGACCCTAATGACTTGCAATGAGACTGGTTCAGCCCACTGAACCTGTAGGCCGGCTTTCTACGTGTGGAGCTGAGGTCGGATTTACAAAGAAAGTCTCGTCCAGAGACATTTTTGCTGAGGTCCGCTTAAGATGGGGCAGTTTTCTCTGCAATCTCGACGTTGCTGGCAAGTTGTCCCTTACGATTCTCTTGATCCACGCACTGCGACACGAATCGCTCGGATCCAGTCATGTTCGAAACGGGCGAGCAACTCTGACAACTTGGAGATGTTTGAAGTAGCGGCAGGAGCCAATGAGAGATGCAATATTTTCATCTGACGCCACGATGATGATAGCAACTAAAGACTGGGTTTAACTTGGTTCTGGTTTCGAATGAATCCTTTTTGGGAATAAATCGATTAAAAAAAGAAGAGTTTGTATTTGCAGCATCATTTAAAAATGTAAAAACATGTTTATAGCACGTAACTGCGTCCCTATAGTGTAAATGCGTGTTTAATGATAACGATGGCAAGTCTCGGCATTCGGCTGCTGCGCGTGAACGCAGGGGGCCCATGTCGCTGGTGTTGCGACGTGAACTTACTGAGAGAAATTGCCCCTTTCTGAGCGGGCCTAACAAGTCCCCAACTCATGCACATCGTAAGAAGTTCTGAAATCTGTATTCCAGAATGCATTTGTAAGTAAGAGGAGGAAAAGGAGAACTTCAGGTGTCCCGCAAGTTCCTGATCACTGCGAGTGCAGGCTGTTGCTATGGTGAAGGCGTCTTGGACAACAGAATGTTGCGGAGCTTGTGGGTTTGGGCCACTACCTGAGTAGGCGGCGTGCAAATTCAACGAGACTGTCGTCATTGGTAAAGGCTGCACGGCTAGTTTGCAAAACGACAAGCCTGAGAACAAATCGCCACGGCATTGTTCCGGGTCCCGGGGATCTGGAAAATATAGCCGACACTCGAGATACTTTGGTACAACAAAACTACCAGCAAGGAAGCCGCCTGTTCATGCAGGGAGCAGTGCGCGTTCGATCGCAGCGCTAGAACCCCACTGTCAGACCGCATCTTAGTAGCCTCTTTGAGACCAATCTTTTTTCATTACAATCACTTCTATGTGCTGGGAGATGCTACAGAATCTCAACTCGATGTTGACGTGATGTTCAGTAAGGGTAAGCGTTAGACCCCCTTCCGTAGCTCCCAATAGATGTATTTCGACCCGTGTTGATGTTTCTACTACTACTGTCGCAAAGGGACCAGGGGAACATACTTGGATCAGGAAGTGTGTGTACCAAATAATGCGGAGGTAAACTTTACTATATTTATTTGAGCCCAATGTCAAACAAAAGCAGCAAGTTGAATCAACGGTAGTTTCACCGCGATGAGAGAATCCGCCACTCAACAAGGACAACGAGGGTACAAGAAAAATCGAGGTCATCGTTTAGGCTACTTTTACGGGAAAGGTCGCGGAAGTGACGTGATGGCATCTGATTGGTGGAACCAGTGCCGCCACCAATCGGTCGCCATTACGTCACTTCCACGACCTTTTAAAATGTATGTGTAAATGTCCAACCTAGCCCTCCAGGATCCACCACACAAAGGTGCATAGGCCTTAAAGCTCGCGTTGCGTCATGCAGTATAGCACCTCCGACTCATCATAAGGGTAACCATAGCAACAGCTCGACACAAGCAGTCTTAATGCAGTCATGAGCAACCATGTGAACGAGCCTTTAGTTTTTGACTTCTTCGAAGAGACGACAGGGGAGCGCTTGGGTTTTGCTGGCGAGTACTGTCGAGGAGATTAAGACAAACACTTTCCAGAAAGTTTCCCGCTGCGGACCTCCTTTAGGTATTTTGTTGATAACCACACGAGAAAGAGATGCAAAACAGAAATACCTTTTGGTCCAGTTTGTCATTACATGTGTGCTTAAAGTAAGGTTTTGTCGTGCGTGCACAGTTCACCCTCGGTGTGAAGGGTCCTGTTGCATCGATCACGGCGACGATGTCGAAATCAGTTGAAGTCTTGGTTGCTGGTGAGGTGAATTGGTTTATTCCACCCCATTTGTTTTTGTTGACGGTGTGTAGACAACGCCTAGCAAAGCAGTCTCGCGGAGGAAAATGGTCGGGAACGGCAGCCAGTTGCTGAGCGCTTTTTCGCGGAGCTGGGCGTCGAATCCTTCCAGCGGCCGCTGTGATGGCTCCTCCCAGTAAGGCGCCCGTTTTGACAATGTCATCAGCCGATGTTGAGGACCGCGGGGGAAAACAATTGGGGCAAAGAATATTGTAAGAGAGGGGGCTCAAGCTACTGCCCATTTACAAACGGTGCAGTCCTTACCTTCTTTACACTTATGTGCAGGGTTGGAGATATTAGGCTAAAAATTGATTTTACCCAATACATTGAACACGCGCTGCTAGATAATTCTTTTTCATGAAGAGGGGTACGATGACCAATGGCAACACGCTCATCAAAATATTAATTTCTTTTAGAATGCTCGATTTGGGAATCCAACCCTTTGGGGCACCTCTCGGAAACTAATAGCCAGACTTGTTTAGTTCGGCTTCTGGAACTGGCCACTGTCTGCAAACTGGAAAAGAGAAAATTACAAAAGCACTGCCACAAAGTGGAAGAAAAATGATGCTTCACGATGGAGTTTATTTCAATTAACCTCGTTTGGGCAGCATTGCAGATGTTGATTTGGTTTTTCCAGCTAAATATTAAACTGGCTTGGAATATGAATGTTCCAATATTATTATTAATATTAATGGATGCTGACAGGGTAATTATGCTCGCCAAGGTTTTGATTTGCATGTGACACTTGAAAGCCCAACTAACCAGAACACAATTTGTGGCTCGAAATTCGGTTTCTTTCGCCCCGAAAACTGCCGATCGAGAACTGGCCAGTTAGAGTCGCACTCACTCTCTTCTCCGTGGTCAGGTGCCATTCCCTATGGTTTAGATACAACCACCAAATATAATCAGTCGTGGGTCATCGAAGGCACACACTCAATACTAAAAATAGAAAAAGAAATATGATACCCATTTTCTGTGGCTTCTAAAAAAAAAGTTGCGCAGCCACATGACTTCCGGCAACACTCCTCTCCTCTCTATATTTCTTCTTCCTCCCCAGTCCAGTTCAGGTTTCGAGCAGTTGAGTTTTTTTTACTTTATTAAAACTCTATGTGCAGCTGCAGCAAAATATTGATTGGGTAGGCCTCCGACACCATGTTAGAATGTGAGGCACAAAATTTAAAAAAATATTCTTTTCGGGGGTGTCAGTGTCTTTATAAGTAGAAACAAAAAATTATTAAACCTAATTTTTACTTTCTATTGGGCGAAAACATGTTACTAAAGATGTCTAGCTCTAATTATGGACCGATACAAGTAAGGTATGTTTGTGAATTGTAGCACTGCACCTCCATGGTGCATATGAAAGGGGATAGCTTCCAAAGGTTTCTTTCTTTATTTGGAACCCCAAAGTCTGGAGAGTGGGAAGGGATTTACAGGGCAGCTGGGGACCCTGACAGCCTGATCAACTACCCAGCTCGCCTGCGCTCTTTTCCTTTACGGTGTTTTTGTTTCTGTGCTGCAAGCAGATGTGAACTTCATACTTTTAGACCTTTAGCGCATGGCGGGAGATCGCCTACTGAAATCGAGAACCGTCGTCCATTGCCAACAATGCATTCCTTTTTTCATACTTTTGTCTGCTATGCACCGAGTTTTCGTGTTCTTTGAGGCGGGCGCAGTGCATCATGGAATGTGTCAAGCAGCTGCGCACTCCAGCTGCACACAGGCTAACACAATCTCCCTGTTGAAGGCACAAAGGGAGTGAGTCTTTGGTGTAATCGGGTGGAGTGCAACCATTTCGAGTCTCGCTGCGGTCAAAGTTTGCGACATGCCTGCTTGTGTATTTCCTGACATCTCTTGTGGAGTCCCACAGTTTGCTTTGTTTTCATCTGTCGACTGTTGTGTCGTGAAGGAAATCTGTGCCACATATGGCAGCTGGTACTCGGTGTCAACAGTTTTAGGATACAATGTCGAGGCTAGTGTAGTTTCTACAGTACTGCAGTACTGCACTGCTGCGAGAGCAGGTAGTTTTGTCTCACGTTTCATGCGCTCGCACAACTAGCACTTCCACAGTGGAGTATTGCGGAAGCTATGCTTGCCTTGACAACGTAGCACAGTGCAGTTCATACTGAGTATAGGTATAACAAACTTCCTGCACAATTTTTAAAATGTTGAGATTATATTTGGGGAGCGAGGGATCAGTTTTCTCATATTGTTTTGATAAAGTTTCTTCTTTTTATTTAAGTAGTTTAGCTTGCCATACACAGAAAAAAAGAACAAGCAAGACAGACAATTGGTTGTCTGTCGTATCATGAGTCACTGCCATCTAGCTTAACTTTCAACCCTTCTGTTGTCTTTTGCTGCCAGACATGTGCACATTATTAGAAAAAGAAACTAGGACTCATTACTCAATCAACAAGTAGATATGTGACTTGTTGCTGTGGCTTTAAAAGAATGTATCGCTAAAACTCGGCATTATCTCGATACATATTACTTGACATCCAAGCAAGGAGCAGCGCTTCACTTTTATTGTTTCCCAATAATATCTGAAGCAGTACCCACCTTTCTCATCTAATGCACATTCTCAGCGGTGCTACTAGTGATGTGTTCACTGGAGGAATCACTTAAAAGGATGCTGAACCGAAATTTGGATTTCACAAAATAAGGATGCAATTGAGTGAGGATCGCGACGTCACGTTTCCTGCAGTATAGAGGAGGAGGAGGGGAAACGGCCTTGCTTCCTTCCTTCCTTCACGTCCTTGCGGAGTCAAAGCGAGAGCAGGAAAAAACGCAAATCTTTTGGCCTTGTTCAAGCGCGCTCTTTTTTCACAAAAATACGACCATCCGTTGGAGCTTCATGAGTGATGCTCTCAAATTTGTAGCGTCCCGCCTAGCGCTTCTGCGTTGTTTTCTGAAATCAAAATTTCGGTTCATCATCCCTTTAAGGGCTGCTTTAAATCTTTGCCACGATTGTAAGCGCCTGCCACATATGCAGAAAGGGATAGGGACACGTGATATGCTTTTCCAAGTTTGGCAGGAGGCTGATGTGCTACCACCCTGCGCTTTATTTAACGAAGAAAACGTACGATGATGATGTTGCTTTTGTCTCTCATTTTCTTAGCATTTAACTTTGTGTTCAGTCAAGACATGGGGACAGTATTGCTGCTGGCGGGGGAAACCATATTGTGTGCTGATCCCTATTCACACGTTATTGGGGCTCCTCCGAGTGAATCCTGCCGTCTAGGGTCTATTCACACAAAGGAGGGTCGCATTTTGAGGTCACACGTGTCCATATCACGGCTGTTAGCCAATCCTCTTCATCTGGACAGAGCTTCAAAAAGCGACCCTTACCTCGGAAGTAATTTCGTGCTTTTTTATTTTTTATAGACTTCTTCTTTTTTTGTACAGAACGGCTGCATCGAACTGTTGTGAGGGTCACGAGTCAACTCTGTCCATTCTGTTGTGCAAACGCGGAAGAGTTTGTATAAACTCTTCCGCGCAAAGGAGAATGCTATTTTCCTTGGTATTTTTGACTCCTCGGAGTGGCGGAACCTAGAAGCAGACGTGGTGGGCCTAGATTGCTGGCAAGCCTATGAGAAACACCAGGGAGCCGCAAAATATTGTCACGAATAAGAGGAGGTGAACGTAAAGCTGAAAATAATAATAATTTGATAGTCCGAACTAGTTTGCCAGACTCGAAGGGAAACTGAAGCAATTTTGTATTCGAGGAAAAACTCCTAAATCATCTTCATTCGGCCTTTAAGATCGCGAATGTCGAGATCATTTTTAAATTTGGTACACGGAGGTTGCAGAAATGAACTTTCCAAGTACCGCTGAAGTCTCTCTTTTCCCGGGCCGTGACGTCGTATTAGGAGTTTTTGGAATCTTCGCTCTCGCGCATCTTCAGCGCCTGTCAAAGCTACGCACGCGCACACTCGCTTTTTTAAAAAAGTTCAGAAATAGACGTCATGCAGGGAAATATACACCTGGCAAGCTCGCAATTACATACGCCGCCCACACAAGCGACACGCGCTTGGCGGCCCAGAGCTCAGATGTCACGACTCGTCGGAGGTTTTTCGTGTTCTCTCGCGTTTAGTTACATCTTTGTTGAAAACAAACGTGATATTGGGATTCACAAGATGAAAATACATAAAAATTCATTTCTAACTTTTTTTTTTTTTTTTTCTTCAAAGAAGTGTTTTAGCTTTCCTTTAAGAGAAAGGTTCTTGTGTCAAGGAGAGGAGGGCGACCGTCCCAAGGTGGCGGTTCCTGTCGCATTTATGCTCGCAGTGATTTCCTGAATGTTCAGAACCAGAATTAAGAATGCACGATTAGAGCCAAGAACGAGCTGGAACTTTCCAATAGAATACAGAATAATAAAAGGAAGATGCGCCGAGAGGGCTGCAAATTCCGTTCCTCCACACGTGGTAGCCGAGCGCGTCGGCGACTGCGCCTCGCACGAGGCAATGTCACTGACGAGGCCCATACTAGCTTTCTATGGCTCGGTTTTCTTAGTAAACACCCGTGTCATGCGTGCTCTAGAAAGATTATAAGTTGACTGGCAATGAAATGACGCGAACCCGTCGAGACGGAACCAATGTGGCTAACCTTTCATCGGCTTTCTTTTTCGCGGTCTTCGCTCTCTTTCTCGTTTGTTCTCCCGAGAACACCCGCGTCGACGCTTACGACTTGCCACCCTTCACTCGCGTCTTTATCTCCCTGCCGAGCGCTTTTTAGCGACGTTTTTTTTATTTTCGTTCATTCGGGGCCGACCAACTTGCCGCTGTACGAGCAAATACGGTTAGGATTACCTGTCGTCCAGGGTGGTGCTTCCCGAAATCCGCTATCCTGCGGCCCCCATCAGCCCCGGCTTTTCGCTATTCCACGAGCTCTTTCGAATTCGGCGCATGAACACCGGTGCAGAAAGTTGGCGCCGACATTTTATTTAACGGTTAATCTGAGTGAATTAACGAAACAAGTAATCCTAGCAAAAGAAAAGACAAAAAACAAGGATGCGTGCCAGCAGGAATGAACTGTAATAAAGTAGAAAGTTGGGCTAGTTGGTTTTTGTATTTGTCATTATGTACAGCAGGAATGACTGTTTCTAACAACTTTAGCGAGCCGTTGGAGCACATCTTCTCAAAACGAGAGCAATGTCTGGACGCCACAACTCTCAGTTGCGGCTCAATGTTGAGCTGCGACGCCTACTTTGTTTTAGCGAATAAATAAATAAATTAAACACCTTAAAAAAAATAAAGTAAAAATAGATAATCGAATCATTAAAAATTTAGCACAAACCAGACACCGAGTGTGGTTTGTACGGGACACATCCCTGATCTCTGTCGGTTTGATCAAGCTTGCGTCTACCTTTTTTCTCCGAGCACCTCTGCAACTTCCAGCCGATTCTGTCGGTTGTCCCGCAGTTTGAGAAAGGAGGTGCGCCTCGGTTGCCGAGAGCTTCTGGTGTGCGCGTACCGAGAGAGTTCCCTCGCAGGAGGCGACTGTGATGCGGAGCCCCTGGTGAGCAGCCATGCCGAAGGCGGCGGGGCCCCAGAACCCCCCCAAGGTGCTCTACCCGCCTGGGGTCAAGGAGATCTCGGACGACCTGAGCACGGACGACCTCGTCCGACGCCTCAAGGTGGGGCCTTTTCCTCTACCCCCAAGCAAGGAGTATTTAGCCTGCCAAACACGGAGCCCTCAGTCGTACGAGGAAACGGGACAAGCGCTGACAACCAACGAATTTTTATTCGAAGGAAAGAGCGGCGTAGTAACCGCGGTTGAAAATCTAAACTCGCTAAGAAAACGCAAACACTAAAGGCCCTGTCACACTCGGGCAACAGTTGGACTACTCTATCCGGCAACACGGGGAAATCGTGTTGCCAGCGACCCTGTCACATTGAGGCAACGACGACAGTCGGGCAACGTGTTGCTGCCGTCCGGCAACCGTGTTGCCCCGATCTGTTGTCCGACAACCCTGTCGCACCGCACTGACGGCGAGGACAACGCGGGGAATACTCCGCCATCTTGATTGTTTACCTTCGTTTGTGTGCAGCGCGGAATCGCTGGAAATGTGACTCTGCAAAGTGCTAATGCGTTCGAAGGGCCGGAAATCACCGCGGGACTACATCAACCAGTGACTGTGATTAGAAAGCTTGACACGGGGAGTATTTCGCGCTCTTTATTTTATCAAAACGTTCTTCATCTGCTGACAAAGCAGATAGCCCTAACCGAGGAAGTCTCATGTTCGTCGTCTGTTCTGCTGGAGGATTACTTAGTCTCGTGGACAGTTCTCGCTGCAGAAAAGCAAAAACCTCAAAGTAAGCATAGCGATTTGGCTTGTCTTGGTTTGCCACAGCGCACCCCCGTGCTAAGGGGAAAGCGCACCTCCAGAGCGAGACGCCTTACAATTCCATGATAACGCTTCGGCCATATAAATGACAGACTACGATATCCTGGCGGTATCTTTTTCCAAATCGAGATTTAGCGAGGATACGTCGGTATTGCGAGGACATTCATTTGCATTCTTTCGTACGTTTAGTTATTTTTTGCCAACTCATTTATTTAGCTACGACTCTTATATAGGTGTGAGTAAAATAGAACTAAGTTGGCAGGAGCAGTGGATGGAAGCTCGGGAAGAAACTTAATGAGTTCGGCGGGATTGTTTTTATTGTTTGTTGGCATGCCGTTTTTGTTATGAAGTTCTACACATGAAGTGTAATTGACGTGCATAATCAAATGACAAGTGCTTTGTTTTTTCTCTGAATTAAGAATCGCTGTTTTATTACAACCTTTAGAACTTGAAGAAATTATTAATTTATGGGCTCAATATTATTGTATTATTGCACTGGCATTCAATACCTAAAATAACCATTCACAGCAGTTCATGCTGTCCTTCATCACTTACCCTCTCGCCCTGTCTGGCACTTCTCCACGCAACCAAACGCTAGTTTTGTGTTTGAGGGACTCACTCCTGCTGTGCAATTGATGATAACAAAGAGTTGTGTGTCACTGAGAAGTCAATGTAGACATTGCTTTTTAGTTGAACACGCCGACACATTAATCTTGACATAATGTCTGCATTAGTATGAATAAAAGTTATTCTACGAGAGTTATTTTTGCTGCTCCAAAATGACTCGGACCAATCATATCACTGCGGGTATGTCGACGGGTCATTTCTTGTTTCCGTACCTTATAAACTGCATTTTTTTTCTTTTCTATTCTAAAATACTGAACAAAAACTATTTTCATAAATAATTGAAACGGTTTGCACCACTTATATTTTGTATTTCGACTAAAAAAAAGCTTTTAGCGGCTCTGACCAGTAGTAAGCCTAGGGCCAAAGACTTCACATATTGCGCGCTTTCGGCACTGCGGGTCACCCCCGTAGGTGGAGGAGGTTTCCGCGTCATACGGTTAAAGTATGACGCACTGATATTTTGTTACTCTCTTTATGCCCGCTGGCTTTCCTGAACACCAAGAGATGTGGAAACCGCAAAAAAGGTAGACACTTAAATAGCATTGCAGGGCCCCTTTAAGGGCTAGTGTCCCCAGTTTTGTGTCCACCACAAAATAAGTGTCGACACAAAACCCTGGACAGCTACCGCCATTTAAAACGATGGCGGCAACCTTTCCAGTCTTTCCACTCTGGTTTTCATTAGAGTGGAAAAGCTGAATTTCTCTAGGTGTCGTCCTAGAAGTCATCCTTGAGGTCGTCCTAGACGTTGTCCTAGACGTCATCCTTGAGGTTGTCCTCGAGGTCGTCCTAGAAGTCATCCTTGAAGTCGTCCTAGAAGTCGTCCTTGAGGCCGTACGGAAGTCATCCTTGAGGTCGTCCTAGACGTTGTCCCTGAGGGCGTTCTAGACGTTGTCCTTGTGGTTGTCCTGGACGTCCTAGACGTCGTGCTTGAGGTCGTTCTAGGCGTCGTCCTTGTGGTTGTCTTGTACGTCTTCCCTTAGGTCGTCGTAGACGTGCTTGAGGTCGTCCTAGACGTCATCCTTGAGGTTGTCCAAGAAGTCGTCCTTGAGGTTGTCGCACCATAGTGGAAAGGCTGAAAGTTCTTTATTATAGATGTGTAGCGATGTTCTTTTGCGGCAAGAAAACTACTATTTCGTTGATAATTTTTTTGTGATAAAATGAAGCTAGGAGATTACGGCGCAGAGGAGACGGCTGGGCTTACTTGTCGATGTAAATGTGATGGTGGGCGATGTCCCAACTTGAAGAGCCATGTGCAGAAAAGTGGCTCTAATTCATGGCTTTCCAGGTTGCCGGGAGGTATCCAAATGAATATCTGACTGATTTTGCGATTACAATGTGCACTTGTTATTTTTATACGTCAAATATAAAGATTGAAAGACAATGAGACACTGTAAAACCCGAAATTACATTTCGTACAAAATATTTCTGTCTTTCGACCCACCCTTCCCTTAACACACATACATTCCGCGTTTGTAACGGGCACGCATACTGTCCTGTGTCCCCGGCAGGAGTGTGCCCAGACGTTCCAGAACCTGAGCCAGGACGACGACAACAGCGCCTACGTGCACCTGGCCCTGCACCTGGCCGGGGACGGCTTCCTGGAGCACAGCAGCAAGGACGTCCGCCTGCTGGTGGCCTGCTGCATCGCCGACGTCTTCCGGGTCTTCGCCCCCGAGGCCCCCTACAAGGACCCCGACCAGCTCAAGGTGACCCTCCACGCACCTCCCTGGCTCGCGTCGGAGTTTGGGTCGGGGTTGGTCGCGCCCTGGCTGGGCCGAGGGAGGGTGCGACGGAGTGCGGATGAGGCCGTCGATCTGGCTTTGCACCATGCTATGTGCATGAAGAGTGGGAAGTGTCGGTGTACCACTTAGCTAAGTTAAATGTCAAATTAGTCCGAGATTGTATCCTAAAGCGCTCAGAATTGTGTAGAATGAAAGGCACAGTTGTGATGGACAGTGTTTTTTCTTGATGTCTTATTTTGCAGACAATCTTCCTGTTCTTCATTGAGCAGCTGCGGGGTTTGGAAGACCCCAAGGACCCCACATTCAAGCGGTACTTTTATCTGCTCGAGGTGAGGGCTTTTGATCCGTCATCCTTTAGAGTGTGGGTCATGAGACCGTAGAATCTTTGCTTCTCATGCGTTTGAACCAAAACAAAAGGTGTTACTCCCCTAAGTGGCCACGCATAAATATACGGTGTGTCCCCGAAAAATGTACTTCATGTTAGCCCAACTTGGCAAAATATCACTGCCCCCTCGAGTCTGTAAGAACGGCGGACGTCGGAGAGCACTCCGACGTCACATTGTCACCAACCTCGCTCCGACACGTCGATTGGCTCACCACCGTAGTATTCGCGCTCTCCCAAGTCGCGGTGTGCAAGGAGCCATGAGCCACACTTGAACCTGCTTTAGACCGGGTGAGGCTCTCATTTGCTTTAGACCGGGTGAGGCCAAACTGCCGCAAAGAGCGGCAGTTTGGCCTCACCCGGTCTAAAGCAAATGAGATTTTTGATTTTCCCGCATTCACGGTGTGCCGTTTGTTTCTGACCAGAACCTGGCATGGGTGAAGTCGTTCAACATCTGCATCGAGCTGGAGGAGAACCAGACCATCTTCTGCCACCTCTTCTCGCTCATCTTCACCATCGTCAAGTGAGCGCAGAGCACATACACTCTTTTGCGGCGTGGATGCCCGCCCAGTTTTCGAGGTGGAATTTAATGATGTAGTCGCCCGGCTTCGCGGTGCAGTGTCGCCCGGGCATTCTCACGCAAACAGAAACGCGCGCCGACGGAATCTACCCGCCTGGCTTCACTGCCAATCGTCGTCGGTCTCGTTACGGGCTACCCTCGCTTCGCAGTACGACAACAAAACACCACGACGTGTGACGGCTGCTACTTGAACCCCGTCGTAGGAGTTCGAGGTGCTTTCCATGCCTCGACGGTATTTCACCCAACTCCATTGCCACGTTATCCTGTGTAAGCGTAACTGCAGTTAAGTGTGCCCAAGTAATGAGGATATAAGTAACTTTTCTTTTTTTTTTTCCCAAGATCCGGTGGTGCACTTTGTACAACGGCGCTATATATATACTTTTATTTCTAAGTGTGGTTCTTAACTGTGCGTAGATGGTGCCAAAGTTTGCGACGGAGGGGGAACAGCGGCTTGCTCTTCTGGCAGTCCGAAAACGGTCTGCAGCGTGGCGGCATAAGTCAATTGCTGTAGCACGGTGCCGTCCCTCTAAAGAAGTGCGACTTATATACCAACTTCGTGAAGATGGCCATTTATAGGGGGTGGAGCGACTTGTAGGCAGGAAAGTATGGTATACACTTTTGTGTCTCATTAACCACAGTAATAAAGGCCCTGTTCCTGGTGAAACTTTATTGATTTCCCCCCAAAATATTTTGGCGGAAAGTTTATTTCGTGACACAGAGCATTTCCCCATAAAAGTTGTTTGAGAGTTGTTTGCGTTCTGAGATGCTTCTATCTGCATCCGACGTCAGTTATCTCGTTACTTTGTCGAGAAGTAAGAGTTTGAAATGTAAGATTCGATGTTTCCTTTTTTTTTCAACCGTCAACTGGTTTAAGAACTTGCTACTTCCTCGAAGCGGCAACGAAGGTGGGTATGTGAGAAACGTGAGATTTGCTGGAGTAAGGTGCAGTGTGCTCCTCGCCTTAGGAATCTCGAAATGACGGGAGTTTCTCTAAAGTGCTGGTAGATCTTCGGCGGGCCTATTCCGTTGGATACGAGGACGCGTCCCGGTCAGTCGTGGCACGTGGCGGCGAGGACCTGTCCCTCACCCACCACTGACGGGGGCTTTCTTCTCGGCCGCCATCCCAGCGACAACCACTCGAGCAAGGTGAAGAACTTCATGCTGGACATGATGTGCCCGCTGATCACGGAGGCCGACACGGTCTCCCAGGGACTACTGGACATCATCCTCAAGCAGATCATCGAACCCCGCAAGGTACGGAGAGGGTCTCCCATTTCATTGGCCCTACGCCAACAAAGCCGCGTCGGCGTTGCCCGTACAAGCAGCTCTTCCTGAGTCGATGTAACGCGGGCGACGCAAACGTGCAGCCACCCCTACGGCACCTGGAGCGCATTGACAGGTCTGTTTACAGTCGTGTCCTGCCCGTATATAAAAAGAAGTCTTGAACTGGCACCAAATGACGTTGCGGAAGCCGTCGTGTCGTGTCGTTGGACGTCGCAATCCTGGCCGTTGGGACTAGAAGGCCCGGAGAAAAGTAGGAGCTAGCGTCGTCATCGCGGACTGCCAGCTCGTGGCTACCGAAGCTCCTGCAGGCTGTCGAGCTGAGGAGCGACCTGTGGCAGAGCGGGCGTCTGTCACATCCAACACTGCCGCTACGCCGCCGCCGGGACGACGGCCGGTGACAACGTGACGCATCCGCGACGTCATTGGGCGGAAATCGAGGGACCGCTCTTTAGGACACGATAAACAGAAGTGCAAGACACTTTCCAGGCACCGTACAAATTCTATGTCAGGGTCGCTCATAGCCACGTTTGGAGAATCTGAGCCCCTCTGTTTCTCGTCGTCCCATGTGGAGACGAGGACCACTTGCCCTTTCACGTCGCACGACGTCCATTTGCTAGCTCGCGTAAGAACGCCATCTTGTTGCCTAGGGCCGTACGGGCACCTTTGGTAACGGCTGTCGGTTTTAGAGGTTGTGCTCGTAATTTTAGGCAGGGTGTTAAGACACCGGTGGTCGCAGACTGCTTTCGCGAGCGGGAGGACGGTGACTGTTTTCCGGCCGGTCGGCAAAAGCTAGTGATGGCTGGCAACTCTGATCCTAGGCAACTATGGGGCTACATTGGCCGTACTGTAAAGCGTAGTTAATTTTGTGCCTAGCCTAACCTGAGGTAGTCGTACTGTACTTCTCTCAGATGTCTACGCAGTTCAGCTTTAGTGTGAAGCTCGTCACTAGGCGTAACACGAGAATCTTCCCCTTCTGGAGCGTCGTGGTTTAGGGTCGTTCTAAAATGTCTAGCGGGTTCTTGCGGTTGCCATCTCTGCCTCAAGAACTCTGCTTTGTGGCGCACTGATGTGCTAGCTCTCTGTGCAAGCCGTGCGGTCTTGACGAAGGTTGTTGCCTGCCACAGACGCAGAACAAGAACGCCTACAACCTGGCTAAGGACGTCCTCAAGCGGACCCTGACCACCATCGAGCCTTACATCCAGTCGGTAAGTGCCCCTTACGGAATTTGAGTCATTGACTCGTTGCTTTGTACGGGATCCCTCCACAGACCTCTCTTTCTCGCGTTGGTCCAATCTATTGGGTCACAACTTCGCTCGGTGTCGCGGTGTCGCGTGACGTAGCCACCTCGGTGGCAAAGAGCCGGCCTACGGATCCCCGGTTGGTGGGTTCAAATCCCGGCCGAGAAGCCCGTATTCTGACGGTAAGTCGTTGCGGAGGAGGCGTGGAACCGAGATTTCGGTCGCGCCTAAAGAGATCCCTGGGTGGTTCCGAGTAATCCTCAGTTCCCCGCCAAGATGGGCCAGATGTTGTTCGTTGGTTTGGTACGTAAAACCCTGAAATTTGCTGTCGGTGTCATATGGTGTTTTGTGACCTCGGGGTGTCCCGTGACATCATAATTTTCCCGCTAAATTTAGGAGGGGGAAAGGGGGTGGTGTAAAGATGTCTTCTAAACTTTAAAGTACCGCTCGTTAAAAAAAAAAAAAAAATAAATAAAAAAAAAAAGGGAAAAAACTATTGCACCTTTGTTGCATTTAACATAATGTCTAAGCCTGGGAATGTTTTTTGTCCCTTTCACCTCTGTTTACCGTCCCGTTCTCGAGTCTTACAGTTGCGATAGACCTTGGTGTGATGAGAGATAACTAAGGCTGGTATAGTGGAGATTGTACGGCCTCCCTCCCGTTGTGCAGTTCTTCAACAACGCCCTGGTGCTGGGCCGGACGTCCAACAGCAGCGTGGCCCACGTGCTCTATGAGCTGATCTACGAGCTGAACATCCTCTGCCCCAGCATGCTGACCGCCGTGCTGCCACAGCTCGAGTTCAAGCTCAAGGTGGGAGCCTCCTCCGCCGTCCCTGGCGGGGCCTTGCCTTTCCGGAGGGTTGCCTCTGGGCTTTTGGGTGTTCGGGTTTTACCGCATGATGCGTTTTATGTGGCATTTTTTTTTAGAAGATCCTCACGAATGTGCGTCAAAACAAGTGCCACGAACGAGTGATGCACTAGGAGCATTACAGACATTAAGATTATATTTAAAGATACGTAAATTAGGAGCCCAAAGTGGGTCTCGAACCTGGGTTGGTGCGGTGGCTGTCGTGCTATGGCCACTGAGGTACTAGCGCAGCTGGCGTGGACGGGTCATTGTTTTTATTAAAACGGTAGCTTTATAGGGCCAACCAGCTTCACGAGCTGTGTAAGCACGAAATGTGTACCATATTTAGACGATAGTAAGTCGACTCGATTGTAAGTCTACCCCCCCCCCCCCCCCCCCCCCTTGCACGTCGGCAAAGAAAAAAAAAATCTTTAGAGGCGCATTTTACGACGAACACGTGAGAACGGCGGGGGATGTCTTTCGAAAGCCTCCAGCACACGATGGATGCCTGCTGGTGTGCTTTGGCTGCGCATGCACGCGCGAGGCGCATGTTATCGAAACTAGGATGCTCCTGTTGGAGGCGGGACAACTGAAGCTGCTCCCCAACGTTCTCGCTGCGTCTGTGACTAGAAACTACGATGACTTCGCACTGGTGGTGTCACTCCCGTCGTCGTCGGTGCCACGTCCTCAAACCACGTCTTCGGCATCGTCCGACGAAATCTCGCACTTTGCAAATGACAGCATCAACCTCATCTTCCGCGCTCGCTCGAGGATCGCATCGTACGTCAGGGTAGGGACCGAAGGCGCACTTCTGCGGCATACGCCGCGATCCCAACCCTTCACCTCGGAAGGCATCCCCCCCTATCCGGACTTTGGCCTGCGAAACCCTCTTCGTTTGCCGCCGCAGTTAAGATCCCCGCAGCTGGAGACTCCACTGACAGGTCGAACTTGCGTCCAGGAGCACCAATTAAGGTTGCCACAAATGAGCACCGAAAGCCTAAACTGCCCGGATCACGGGTGTCAATACAAAAAAAAACTTAGTTGGCACTCCAGTGCAATCTCGACACTCGATTAAACGATGTGCGACCGTGGCCATCTCGGTGGCTCCGAGGCGAGAGCGCTGGCCTTCGGATCTTCATGTGGCGGGTTCGAATCACGGCCGAGGTGCCCGCAATCTGACAGAGGCTTATTGCGGAGAAGGCGCCGTGGTAACCGAGCTTTCGGTTGCACGTCAAAAGATCCCCAGGTGGTCGAAATTAATCCTCAGTCCTCCGCTGGGGCGTGCCAGATGCCCGCCGTTGGTTTGGCACGTAAAAAACCCACAAATTTGACTTTTGACGTGCGACCGTGAATCGTGCGAAATACTGGGAAAAGTTAGGCGTTTCTCTGGCGTGCTGTCTGGGTAATGGTAGAAGCTCGTGTGGTACTAAGTTCCCTCGCCTCCTTGTGGCCCGCAGTGCAGTGACGAGAAGGAGCGGCTGAGCGTGACGAAGCTCCTGGCGCGTATGTTCTCCGACAAGAACTCCGATTTGGCTGCCCAGAACCCCCTGCTCTGGAACTGCTTCCTGGGACGGTGAGTGCACTCTCTTCCCCGGCGCGCTCGGGGATAAAGCCGTCTCTCGCCGCAGACGGTTGGGCAGATTAAATGTAGGGCCGTCTGTGCCTTACGACATTGCGTCTGCGGGTTGGAGTCTAGCCGCTCGTGAACGGTTTTGACAGTCGTTTGGACGCAGCAAGTTGGAGTCTGGGACATGAAAGTTGCGAGTGTAGCTTTATTTGAGAAATGAATCTGTAGGGCATGATTACTACCGGAGCTCACTTGGAAGATGGCCCGAAAAATGAGCGTCTGCCCGTAGCGATTTCAAATTTCGATTGAGGGTGTATTTCAGTGGTGCATGTGAACTGGCCCTAACTCTTAGGCTAAGCTTTCTTTCTCTAGAAAAGGACACGAAACACCCTCGCCACGTGTAATAAATAAATAAACAATATAAACGGCAAACGCAGATGGCAGAGTTGTTGGAGGCTCGCTGCAGCCTCTCTCCATAGCCACGGCGGGCAGACGGCGGCGCTCCTTTCGACCGAGTTTCTCGTCCGCTTGTTGCGCCTATCGACTGACCTTCTGGTGCCCTATGACACATGGAGCCAACAATTCAGCTAATTCAACTTTGTGTACTCCAGTTTGTAAAGAAGGATACAGCACAAAAAGCTACTCAACGTAGCTCGAAAGTTTTGTTGTTGCGTTGCGCGCTGCATTTTATAAAAATGTAGAATTGCGGCGCTTTTATTAATATATTTCTCCAAAGTGGCGGATATTTGTGTTGCCCCAACCGGGATCAGCCAGGATGACATGACGGTGCCAAGCGCCGTCGTGCTGCTAACGACAGTTGGGCTCAGCCGAGACCTCGGTAGAACCGGACAAGTGCCCCCGAGTCCTGGATGGCGGTGTGTGCGGCCTAGCTGGCAAACACCAGCTACATACTTCAAATCTCTTTTGTTTGTTCCAGAGGAAGAGAAAGGCGTATTGCATTTGTTAAATGCTCATCAGCGACAACGAGTCTGTAAGATCAGTTTGCTATTTTGGGATGATTGTGCAACCGGATTTGGTTTCGTTTTAGTTTCGGCCGAGCTGGAACTCCCCCTGTGGCACAGTCTCGGTACGGTCAAACCGGGTTACAGTGGGGACCGCTAACTGCTGTTAACCTAACGAGTCTCGACGAGCCTCATGACGAGGGCGTAAGTTAGAGTTACAGTCAACGAAAGTTCACTGTAACTTTGAAAGTAGTATCTATACTTTGTTTGACCAGAGTGCTGTGAAAGGCTGCAAGACACGTAAATGCACAGACTAAAAGCGCGAGGTCACTGCGCATTCGTAGTGCTCGACTGGTCGAGCCGTTAATTGCACGTGCACGGAAGAGCTACAAACAGCGTGGCACTGCTTTTTTGGGGCCGCTCTGTCGGCTCGTGACGTTGGCTGCATTCTGACTCGCACTGAAACCAAGCGTAGTTTCTCAAATGTCTAACTAAGGAAAGTAGCTTTGGATGCTTCTAAAGGAATGCTTTCTGGAGTGCAGGTTCAACGACATCAGCGTGCAGGTGCGCATGCGCTGCGTGCAGTACTCGATGCACTTCTTGCTGAACCACCCCAAGTTGCGGGACGACATCACGGGTGAGGGCCATGCTCTTCTCTCCTCTCTGGGGACGCCGTCAAAACTGTTCCATTCTCGAGCCTGGCGTCGTCAAGCCTAGAAACGCTTAGATAGGCTATAAGTAGGGTTACGTCTTTTTGGCCGCAAAAAAATTTGAAAGGCACTAGCCAGTAACTTTTTCTGTCAATTCAAATTTCCAGGTCACAATAACAAAAAAAGAAAAAAAATCAAGAAAGACATATTGTATTTGCATGTATATAACGCGAGGACAGGTTTTGATGACCTCAAAAAGAAAAGAAAAATTTGTTATTACTGTTATAACGTGAGCTGAGGCCGTGTAAATTTACCGCACTGGGGGGCATAGCACAAGTGAAAAGGCAATGGAAATGGAAGATATATCAGTTTGTTTTGACTGCACTCGTCCTCACTCATGAAGCAGAAACACCAATGCACTAACACCACTCTGAAGCAGAAACTAAAAAACGTGCAGGCAGAAAAAGGACTGCTGGACTGTATACACGGATACAGGATCACACTCATCCTTGTTCTGGTCCCTCCGCATAAACAAACACCTCACGTTGCACGATTGCGTAAACACAGTCAGTGGTCTTGGCTTGGTTTGTGTTGACTTAACTTGGCTTGAATTGGCCGGTGCCCGCATTCCCGCATTTTCGCTACAGCGTGCTTTTCGGCATGTGTTGTACAAACACAAAAGCGATAAAAATGCTTTTCATGTTTTCTATATTGCCCCTTCACGTGGCCCAATAGCTAATGAATTCCCTTTCACATTCACACCTCTTTTTCCACCCGATCTCCCGCATTGAACCGGAGGGATGGCCTTCTCCAGGTGCGGCTGAACTCGATTCTGAATATAACGCCAGGTGGCTTTGTCCCGAATTTCGAAAAGAAACTGGCCTTATATTCCTGCAAATACGGTATTTTTTTAAAATAAATTTTATAAGAGCACAGGGTCAATGGTCCCGAGGCAGGCAGGCGGGCGAAGAAAAGACAAAAAGGAAGTGAAGACGTTCTCTGCCCGAGTAGCCAGACAATTGGAAGTGCTCCTGTCTAACCCCATCTGAGATCAAGATGCTCCGTGGTCCTCGAGTCTTGCTGAGGAAGCAACAGGGGCATCCTTTTCTGGCGTTGTTCCGCAGGCCGTGGGTTGCCGACCCCCGCTCTAAACCGTACGACCGTCAGTTGCACCCACTCCGCAGTAAGCGCCGAAACGGCGGCAGGAGAATCGGGGAGTGACGTCTTGCCTCCGCGAGCTTGGCTTACGGAAAGGGGCGTTCCGGTTGCAGAGTCTCTGCGGCAGCGGCAGCACGACCCGGAGGAGACGGTGAGGTACGAGGTGGTGATGGCCATCATCAGCGCTGCCAAGAAGGACTTCACCGCCATCACGGAGGAGCTGCTCAACTTCGTCAAGGAGAGGACCCTCGACAAGAAGGTAAGAGCTCTGGCTTCGGCGTCGCGCGGGCGTCGCAAGATCCGTCGGTCACCCGATCGCATCGTGTATCGATCAGCGACCTTGCATAACGTCGTGTTGCCGCCGCCCGCTAAATTCATTGGATGGTAGCCACATGGTTCTGACGGTGGCAGCAACAAGATACCGACAGAGTGAAGTCCCGGAAAATCGGACTACTGTATCGAGAGGACCTAACACATTGGTGTCCTTTGCAGTTGGCGAGTCGGAAAAATGACTCTGCCGCCACTCATGGAATGCGTCTATGGACGAGTCTTCTCGGTACCTTTAGTGAGTCGAGAACAGAGGGACATGCTCCTCCCCAAAAGTCCTCCGCTCTTTCCGACGTAGTGGAGTAAATGCCAGATACGAGGAAGCGACCAGCCGTGGCTAGCAGAGAGCCTCGTGGAATGGACTCGCCCCGCCACTCTAAACCCGCAGCCGTAACGATTGTTGGCGTTTAAAACGAAGTGGTGCGGCCGAGGACGCTTCTTTTTTCTTGGCGAGAACGACCGGTAGCTTGGCGCAAGAACGTCGCGCGCGGGCCGCCTATGGGTTTTTTTAGAGCGAGTATTTGGCGGACTCGCATCGCGGAGGGTGCTCTACCGGTCAGCGAGGTGCAACCTTTGTGCAGTTCAAGATCCGCAAGGAGGCTCTGCTGGGGCTGGCCCTGCTGTACAAGCAGCACATGAGCAGCGTGGAGCTGCCCCAGTCCACCCTGGAGTGCATCGCCTGGATCAAGAACAAGGTGCTCCACGTCTACTACCAGACCGCCCTGGACGACAGGTGAGGCCCCGCTTCCCTCCAACTGGTGCGTCTGGCGTCGTGTCTCGCCGGTATAGGTGGTTTTGGGGCGGCAGCAAACGACGTCGCGGAAGCCGGAGTGTTGCACTGTCGGATGTCAGTCACGGTGGTTGGTGTCAGAAGTCCCGGTAAAAGGTATGAGTGATGACGAAAGTCACCGTCGTCGCTGATTCCCAGCTTCTGGCTGCCAAAGTTACTCTGGGCCGTTGGGCGTGAAAGCAACCCATGCACAAGCAGCATGAAACTCGAGGGACCCCTTTTTGTGCCGCGGTAAATGCACCAGTCGTAACCCGTTCGAAGCCTTGGATCCGTGGGCGAGCCCATGGAAACGTGACGCCGGCGGCGAAGTTCCTTAGCCGCCACGAGAGCTGTTGATCCTGGACCGATTTTTTCCCGCGCAGAAAAGGTTTCCGTGCCGCCGTAACCAATGGGGACGTGAGAAGGAAATGGCGCATGCAGACGTCGCATCCTGCCCGAGTCCCGGGGTTGCCGGTGTTGTCAGAGTTTCCAAGTCGCGCAAATGGCGCCATCTCACCGGTACTCGTCTAGATGAAATTATTCGGCCCCGTTCGACGCGATGCATCTGAACGACAAAGACTGCCCGAAAAGATCCGTGGAATCGAATTGGCACGAGCGCTACATATCCATGCTGTCTCCGTTTGCTCTTTATTTGATTATTGCCTTCTCGCATTGCCGAGGGAATGTTGGACATTCTCTCGGCACTGCGGGTCAGCGTCGACTGCGAGAGGAAGTCCGCGAGAGCAGTGTTTCTATAGTCGGTTACAAGTCAAGAAGGTAGGAGAAGCTCCTACCACAAGCGTGATGCACCCGTTTTTAATCTCTCCGCAGTCGAAAGAAGAGTTCACTGGAAACGCTCCTTGTTCCGCTTCAATGGATTCCCACTTGTCTCCAATCCCACTTTTTAAGAAAGCGACCTTTGTATTTATTGGAGGGGGAAGCTAATCCCGGAAAGTCGTATTTGTTTCCGTCGGTGGGGGAAAACTCTAATCTCCCTCTCGTGGCTTCCACAATGCTAAGTCAAAGTCGAAAGATAAAGCAAATACGTACACAAAGGCAAGACCCTCCTCGCGCGTTGCCCGCGACGTCCCGGAAACGATGGGACGCTATTGGAAGCGCAGGTGGCGGAGGGATATATGATTCCCTTTGAGGGGCATTTGCCGCTACCTTCTTAACCTGTAACCGACTATAATGCCGCTGGAGCCAGGAGCAGGCTGCCGTGCAGACGCGGTGGGTGCAACAAATACGTCGATGGGGTATTCTTTTTTCGCCTGGTAAATTCGGTCGGCGGCGAGAGACTCTTCCGCGAGTGCAGGAGCCTTTGGAGATGCGTTGCAGTAGAACTGTAAAGCAGAAGCATTACCACAGAGGCGCACCGCCTTACCAACCCGCTTTACTTTTGGGATTTTTGTAGCACCCAAAGCCCACTGCATGCGCTCTGGGAAGAAAAAACAAAAAACAAAATGCCATTGTAGCTCTGTCAGTGCCAAGAGCTTGTGCCGGGAGATGCTCTTTCGCGCACTCCGTGACAAAAAAGCATTTGGAACAAAATGGTCGGATGTCTATTTTGTTTCAAACGCTTTTGTTCATGCTCTCCACGGTGCGTGAATGTGAGGCTGATGGCCAACGACTTCACTGTGACGTGTCGCAGCTGTTGCTGCAACTCTATTGTTGATTTTTTTTTTTCAATATTAGAGGTACAATAAAAGAGCCATGCAGGTGTAGGGCAATGAACATTGCAGTTACAAGCAGTCGTATATGCCTCGTACGTAAGAAAACAAATATTACGTCATTTCGTACCACACCAAACCACAGTGCCTTCAAACATAAAACAAAAGTACTACTTAAAAACATGTCGTAAATGACTGAAAATGAATTGGATACTAACATAAAAGGCGACATCACGAAACAGTGCACTAGATGAAACTGCTAGGAGATACAGTCACGAATATGAATAGCAGGTTAATGTCAAGTTGAAAATAAGTGCTTACTGAGGCGAACTCGTGCCTACAGAAAAACAAAAAGGAAGCGCACATTGTGCAACGGCAGCAAAAGGGCAACCGACCCAAAGCCGCTCACTACCGGCTCCCTCGTACACGTGGCACATTCCGGAACGTTTCAAAACAGAACGTCGGACGACGGTTAAGAATGGGCCGTAGTTTTCCAGAATAGTACCGAATTATAAGCGAAAGATCCAAGTCTAGCGGCGTTTGAAGCTCGTTCTTCTGCCTGGTGGCCGTACGCCCTGCCTGCCCAACCACGTACGCGGCAATACGGCCCGTTTCGCGCATTGTGGTGAAAGTGCCACCCCCTGGAAGCACCGGCATGGCAGGTGTGTTTTGGGTTTCCATTGCAGGCTCCTGGTGGAACGTATCTTGCACACCTGCCTGGTGCCCTACCAGCTGCCCATCGAGGAGCGCATGCACAAGCTGTACCAGCTGTTTGCTACCGTGGACGACCATGCCGTCAAGTGAGTGCCTCCTGGCCCCTCGGCTTTCCACAGTTGTATGTCGCACCAGTGGCAGTCGGATCCCCGCAGGTGCCAGTTTTCAAGTCGACGCGCCGGCACACGACGGTTGCACACGACGGTTGTGCGAAGCTCGTCGCTTGCGTGTCCTGAACAAGCTGGTGTAGTCGACGTCCCAAAAACAAAGAATTAGTGGGTAGTCGTTCAGACGGCGGGAGTTTACTGCGCGAGAGTGGGGCAACGTTCCTCACCCAGTCTATGTTTATATATTCTTGCTAAATTTGTTTTACTTATGGAAAGGTAGTTTCGTAAATAAATCTATAGTGTCCCCAAGAAACCAATTTCGTTTTTTTATTTTTTTAAATATATATTAGCTGCGTTTCCAAACGCTCATTCTCTGCCTAAACATAGCCCCAGAGGTCGAAACCAGATGCCAAAGTTTCACAACCTTTATCTTGTTCAAAAGTTATAACAGATTTTCTGAAATGCTCAATGCAAAAATGGCGGTCGATAGGCCTCTTATAACAGAGGAAGCTGAATGGTGCCGGTGACCGAAAACGGGTAAAGAGGGGCCCCATTTTCCTTTAGAAATTTTCAGAAAATCACCCCTAACTTTTTGACTGAGATAACGGTTAGCTCTGAAATTTTGGCATCTGGTTAAAACCGCTAGGGCTACATTTGAGTGGTGAAAACAGTTGAATCATCTCAATTGAAACTTGAGGGGGACGGCAAATTCGTTCGATTGAAGCAAAGCTTGCATTATATAGACTTACAGGATGGGACCTGTACGTTTGTTTGAATTATCCGCAAGTTTAAAATAAGAAAGTTTGACGAGATTTGACTGTAAATATTTTTTTGGCACACCTGGTATATATATTTTCGGGTCCACCACATTCGGGAAGGCGTTTGTTGGGTTGGCGACGTCATTCGCCCTATGTCCCCTCACACACACTCGTGGACTTGACTATTTCGGCGTCTTGCGCTTCAGCTTCCTCATTTACTTTCCTCGTTTCGGGGACACGCAGTTTGAGACGACGACGTCTACGGCATTGCTCGCTTCGTCGGAGTCTTCAACGTTGATCGCGGCAGCGACGAGAGTGGTTGTTATCGACAGATGTTAGAAGATGGTTGTTTCGACTTTGACTCGTTCGTGCATGCAGGGTCGGAGGGCGAGAGCGAAAGTGGCATTGAAGTAGCATGAGTGTGCGATCTTATCGGTAGGAGTGAGACAGTGTTCATCACGTGGTTTATGGGCACCATGGTGTGACTAACTCGAGTGGTTTTGCCTGGTCGCCAGACGAAAATTATCAACATTAGTAAATTCATTATTGCAATTACTAAATCTCCGAAAGTAGAGCATTTCATATCAAGAATAATCTACCCGTTAAATTTTTGCGTCCCAACCCCTTAAAGGGATACTGAATCGAAATTTGAATTTCGCAAAATAAAGCTCTAGAAGCGTTGAACGGGACTCTACGAACTCCGAGACATTGCTCGTACATCGATATCTCAAACGGATGGCCGCACTTTTCGAAAAGAAGGGCGCGATCAAGCGAGGCCTCTGACATCTCTGTCCTCCGGGAGAATTTGAGAATGAGGGGGAGCGGCCTCGCTTCTCTCCTCCTCGCTTCGGTTCACCAGCTCGACACGGGACGTAGTGAGGAGGAGAGGGAATAAGAATCGTGACGTGCCTTTCCTTGTCGGCCTCGTCGGCCGGGTTTAGTCGGGCGCTTCTTTTCTAAAAATATGGCGATCCGCTAGAGATATCGCTGTATGAGTGATGTTTTTGGGTTTTGCATCGTCCCGCCTATCTGTCCAGCCTTGTTTTGTAAGTTCGAAATTTCGGTTCAGTATCCCTTTAAGGGGGGACACTGCCCAGAAAAAATAATTTCTGCAAAAAAACTTGATTTTGTAAATTGACATATTTACATCCATTAACATCTGGAGAGTATTCTCAAAATGTTTAATTAATTTACACTGCATAGTTAATTTTTTATAAATTATTTTCTGTCAACTAAAGCTAAAGAAAAGGTAGGGTTTGGAGCACTTTGAACACATCTTTCTCTGTTCCACTTTTTGGTATAAATTCCATTTTAGTAAATCTATCGTTTGATAATAGCAAAACAGGGAAGGCTCGTTCTTCCCTTTTCCTGAATGAAATTTAGTAAGGAATGCGGCTATGGAACGTTTTTGTCACTTTACGGATGTCTTTTATAAAATATGTTGACATTTTGTCGAAGATTCAGAAGACCAAAAAGTTGACCAATTTTGCAGAAGACAAAATTTATAGAAATAAATTACTTTATTAAAAAATTATTCCATAGCCGCACCCTCTAGACATTCTGATACATATCTAGCGAATAAAAATCTTGAATATTGTGATAGTTTTCCAAAGATAGATTAACTAAACAATGTAGGCATGTTGCTGTTAGAAGCTGCTCTAATTTTCTTCCCATTTAACCGACAGACCTAAAATCTTGTTATACACCCTCTAGCATGACCACCAGCCTACCCTGTAAATTTCATGATTTTTAAGACAAGGGTTCAAAAGTTGACCTCCCCTAGGGGGTGTGTCCCCTTAAACGCGCTCGGGCACCGATTTCCCGGAAGTGAGAGCCGTGTTGGCAGCACAAACGGGAGCTTCTGCCATGTGGAATAAACCTCTGGACCCTGATGACGCAATGGCATGATGGGAGCCAACATCTAGAATTTCTCAGTAAATAAAACAACAGTTTCCCCGTGTAAAAAAAGCAGGATTTTGGTCTGTGGATGCATTTCAACTTGTTTTTGCAGGCTGCACGCCCGTTGCAGACTGGAAAACACGGTACCCTAACCTAATAAGGCGCAAGTTTTCCTTCCGCAGCTGTTACTGACTGGAACATCCAATTTCGTTTTTCCGCAGGGCGTTCAACGAGCTCCTCAAGTGCCAGTGCTCGTAAGTCGCCGCCTTCTTTATGCCGATTCGTTTTCGAAGCGCGCCGACGTAGCGGACTTTTATCTCAATGGCGGTGTTACTGAAGTGGGCGTGTGTCTTTTTCTTCTAGTATTTAGACTGCACTTGTTTTTCAAAATTTTGTCGGCGAGCCTTTCGTCGTCGTTTCTTTACGCACACTTTTTAACGCAGAACATGTTTTATGGGTCGTTTTAAAGATGAGCGTCAGGAACGAGCGACGCACTGGGAGCGTCGCGGAATCCTGTTTCCCGTGTAAATTTAGGGGGGAAATTGAGGTTGCGCGACCTCTAGCCGGTCAAGGTTCCCCAATAAATTGAGCTGAGAAAGCGTCTTAGGAGTGTTGGGGAAGGAGGGAAGGGACGATTGAGGAACTGAATTTGTATTCGAGGGACGAGTTGTTGCGAATACCGCAGTTTATGTACTTGTTTTATTTTCACCGAGGTGGTAGAGAAGGATTCTTTTCCAGTTCTCTTTTTGCTTCTTGCCTTTGGAATTGAATGTGCACTCACGATTTTATCTTTGCCTACATTCGCCAAAGGTGCGGTGGGCCCCTTGTCGCCTTTTTACGGCCAAGTCGTAGCTCCGCCATAATTAGTCGCGGGTCCAGTTACGGCGCTCTGGGTACGTCCCGGAGGCACGGAGTAAGCTACGCTTAGTGTATTCCCCAGATCAAAAGATAAGAGAGAGAAAAAAAGAACCTCTCTACAAGCCGGCCTCTAATGTCGTCCAAGCAAGATGCGACATTCTGGATGTTGCAACGTTTATGTTAGTGAAAAACCCTCGACAGCAAGAAAGAAAATATTGTTTTCTTTCTTGCTGACAAGGTTCTTTTTGCACCGAAGATGCACCAGGCATAAAAAATGTCATTTCTCATCTCGTCGACATTAGGCTTACAGGGACGTTGGCTCGTCGAGAAACAGGATCTTCCTTTTATCTTCAATCTAGGCAACGTTCTGTTCTTTTGCATTGTGTCCCAACAGCCGGCATGGCGTTCTCCGGGAGTTCCGACTTTCCGGTAGTGACGTTATATGGAGGCGTAGCTGATTGGTGGCCCCATTGTGGCCGGACGGCTGAGGTGTGGGTGCTGTCGCAGGGTGCGCAACCAGATGAAGAGCGTGGTGGAGGCGCTCCTGCTGCCGGCCGGGGAGGAAAAGGAACGCCAGCTGCTCACCAGGGTGGCCATACTCTCCCGTGAGTCATCTCTTCGCATGGCTGGTCTTGGATTACAGGAAGGACACTCGATGCATTGCACTCATGAGGAAAGCTTCTTCGTCGTTTCCTCGACGAAAGGAAGGACTCCCGCTAAATTGCTTGCGTGACTGACGCAGTGGCTTAGTTGGGGGTTGTTCTCTAATTGAAGTCCCTCCCTGAAATTTTATGCCTTCCCCCTTTCTAATGTCAGATTTTTTTTTGTTTTTTTCTGTTTTGTTAAGAATTTAAAATGCTGCATGTTTCTCTTCCTACTTGACAAACCACTACGGCGTGGGGCCGGGCCATAACATTGCAAAGCGAAATGAAGACGACAACGCTGTTCATGGACTGCGTGAGAAGCACGAGTCCAGCCGTCGAAAGTGCTCTCGCCGAGCTCGGCTGGAGCCTTCCTTCGGGCTCACAGGGGCTAATGACTCTGCTCTCAACATCGGAAAAGCCAGCAAGTCCCGTCCTCGACGAATGCTGGCTTCGCCTCGGAAAATGCGGGTGACTCTACTAAAGTTCCCCTACCCTTTGAGGCTCAACGACTCGAAGCAGTGAGGAGAAAACAGGACGACAAAAATACAAACGGCTCTGCGTCTTTTTGTTCTTCTTTTTGTCCCGTCTTCCTGTCTTTCCAGGGTTTACTTGACCACACTCCTTTAGTTGCAGTAATACACCAACCAAAAATGAAAGACGTTTACAACTCCCTGTAATGTCGAATTAGAGCGCAGCTCTTGAGAGGGAGGAGGAATGGAGAGGAGGGTATGCCCCTCCACATCCTCCTCTTCCCCTCCTCCTCACTCTCCTCCTCCCCCCCTCGCTTCCTCCTCATGACGTCCCTTGGAAGGTCGTGGCCTTCACGAGTGACCTTCGTGACGTCATTCGTAGCCGTCGTGACCCTCGTGACATCATTACGGAAAACGTCCCATGATGCAATGCGCGGTTCACAAGTGACATCGCTGGTAACCCTCGTGACTGGCGCGTTGCATTATGGGACGTTTCTCATAATGATGCCACTCGTGGCCGTTGTGACGTCACTCGTAACTATGGCGACCCTTGTGACGTCCCGTGTGACGTCGTTATGGGAAACGTCCCATAATGCAATGCGCAAGTCACAAGTGAGACCTGTACGTTGCATTATGGGACGTTTCCCATGATGCAACATGCGGTTACGTTGACGGTGACGCCACTTGAGCCGGAAACGGGTGCCAGAGAGCTGCGCTCTAAAATGTAAGAAGCAAAACAAAATGCCTCCCATGAAAAAAAAGATATAGATATATAAGGTGACTGAAATAACCAGGCTCAATCTAAAATGGCCCGTAAAATTTGGTGCCTGCACGTAGCAATCTCAACTTTTCGTCGAAGGTGTATTTCACTGGTCGGTTTTTTCTTGAAAAATTGGAAAGTGTAGTTCTCATTCTGTAAAAAAAATAGGGCCAAAAACTTGCCAAGGTCAACAGCGGACGTTGACACAGACGGCAGAGTCAACTTGCAGGGCGCGCTTGGCAGACTTATTGATAGATGGCGCTACCTCCTTATCGAGACTACTCGCGACGACAGTGATCTACTAAAATGAGCATAATCTTTTTGTAATGTACATTTGGTTTCAAAATAAATGTGCCCAACAAAAGCAAAACTTGGAGTAAAAAAAAAAGTGGTTTTATAGCAACGCTGTTTTTGCTGCCGAAGGACTTAGTTTGTGTGTCGTCTGCTTTTTTTCGCTGGTCGGTTACATCTTCCAATACTTCTCCCGATGCCAGCTATCAATACGTGTGCCAAGAGCGCCCGCCACTTGACTCGGTCGTCTGTGTCGCAGTTCTCATTGTCCCTGGCAAGTTTTTTTGGCCCCATATTTTACAGAAGGAGAGCTATGCTATGTAACTTCACCAGAAAAAAAAATCGACCTGTGAAATGCACCTTGAGGCCGTCCGAGAGGTTGTCCTCAAGGTCGTCCTAGAAGTCATTCTTGAGGTTGTCCCAGACGTCGTGCTTCAAAATCGTCCTAAAAGTTGTCCTTGAGGTCGTTCCTAAGGTCGTCCTCTAGGCGTCGTCCTTGAGGTCGTCATAGACATTGTCCTTGAGGTCGTCCTAGACGTCGTCCTTGAGGTCGTTCCAGAAGTCCTTGAGATCGTCTGACCATAGCACAGCTTCTCTGGTCTTCCTTCTTCAGAGTGGAAAGGCTCAAAGCTTTTGTTTCTTTAGAAATTCTAATTGTTTTTACGTACCTTGTGTACAGTAGAACCTTGTTGATATGGTTTTTGGGGGACCGCGGAAAAACGTGTATCATCCGGAAAAATGTAACAATCGATAACGCTCTAAGGGGGGCTCTACGGCACTTATACGATGGTTTATTTTCTGCATACTTACAGAACTGTTGAGGACTCAAACACTCCAACTTTGCGTGTTTTGCACCCCGAGCCTGTTTAAAGCCCGATCGATAAAAAGGAGCTTCCGCCTCGATCTCCTTTCGTTCGGCGACGATGCTGTTCGAAGTTGAGTCCGAGGTGTCTTGCGACGTGGGATCTCTTCTGGCTGGGATTGCGATCCACCATCTGAAGTATATCAAACTTGCGTTTAAAAGAGAGTGCCTTCCTTTTTCGCGATGCCATGACCATCGTCAATGGGCGCAACGCGCACATACTAGGAAACACCACGGTTCACGCAGTAGGACGGGACAGAAACTAGAAGCGCAGCGTGCATGCGGGTGCACCTCGTGCCAGAGAAAGAGGACAGACGAAAGAGAGAACGAGCGTTTGCGCCTCGCCAGCCTCGCTCCCCGTCCGAGCGCTCCAAGGCGGCAAGATGGGAAGCTGTGGCACAGCTTGGCAAAGCCCAGCGAGGAGAGACGGAAGGGCATGCCCCCCCATTGCATGCTTCGCCTCAGCTTCGCTTCCAAGCCAGCGTGGCAGCCCGTGCACTGCAGATGCCGACACTTTTGGAGGTAACAAGCGGGAAAGCAAACATACCTAACAGGCAGGAAACTAAAATGTGTATCTCTACGGAAGTAAAGTGGGACCGGCGTTTTTGAACGTAACAGCCGGGAAAACGTGTCGGCCGAGAACGTATCGAGGAGGTTCTACTGTACCTTTATGTACCCCATGTACGAGTCTTAACATCGGTGGTGTGGGCAGTCCGAGGCACCTCTGTTCTTGGGGCGCGAGTGTGGCTCTCACCCCGACCGCCGGCCGCGTGTTATGCAGGTAACCTGCCGGACTCCGTGAAGGCCCAGGAGTACCTCATGAAGCTCTGCAGCATCTTGGAGGGCAACCAGCGACTGCGCATCCACATGAACAACATACTGCAGGGAGGGGCCTCATGCGTGGAAGCGGAGCGCAGCGTGGTGAGGGTCCCTTACCAACGTGGCCATAGAGTTGATGCAATAATCTAGAGCAGTGGTTCTCAACTGTCGATGTGTCGCGGGCCCCTTGTGGATTGGCGGAGATGCTGGAGGACCCCGTTTGTGGTGAGGGGAGGGGGAAGGTATAGGCTAAATATTAAGAATGATATAAAAAATGAATTTAACTAAGGGCTAGTGTGAAATAGATTGCTCTATCTGACACACGAAAAACTCGCTTGAAAGAGGAAAAATTCCTTCTCGATCTGAAAAATGACAACTTTTATTGCCAGGCTCGACTGATGAGGGAGGGCTTTGCGGACCCCTAGGACCCCTAGAGTGCCTTCGTGGACCCCCATTTGAGAACCACTGGTCTATAGGAAAAGGTCCCGTGCACTCCAGCCGCTTGGCTCAGCAGAGACGCAGACTCGGACAGTCGCCGACCGATATATCGGACGCCGAAGTTTCGGGCGCGCTGGACTATTCCGATAATTTTCCGGAACCGTTACTCACCCCATACAGTTAATGTATAACAGCTACAGAAAGTCTGGACAACGCACACCTTGTGCTAGATTTTCCGGACCTTTTAGCGGCCGTTATGCCATTTGTTTGTTTGTATTTGGCCCGTTGCCCCTGGGAACCGACGTTTGCAAGGTCCGAAAGGGAACCCCCGGGGCCTTGTTCTTATTGCAGAAGGAGGTGCTGAAGAGCCTGGGCTACCCCGTGCAGACCAACAGCTTCTACGTGATCATCAAGCAGATGCTGGAGCGGGTGGCGCCCGTGATGGTGGACCACGCGGGGGTCAAGCAGATCCTCTCCTACGTGCGGGACTCCCTGCTGGGTCAGGGGGACATTGACGTCCAGATCGGGGTCACCAGCTCGGCGGTCAGGGGCCTCCAGCTGCTGCACGTGAGTCCGTTGCACCCGCCTAGACGTATGACAATTGCTCGTATGCACCAAGCCAGTCGCATCGGTGGAGGGCTCGGATTTGCTAAAATAGTGCTCTCGCTGGGAAAACGCTTTACTTGCGGGCAGAAGGGTCGTTATTTCTGAGTGTGAGAGCTATGTTTTAAGTTTTGATTCAGTGTCGCTTAAGGTGGGACTAGGGTACTTACGTCGGCTTTTTATTTATTGAGAGATGCTGAATATTAGCACGCATATATATCATCGGCCCCGATCAACTCGGGTCTCGCGTAAAAGAAGCTAGCGCTGCGCCCGGGCAAGTCTACGTATCTCAAGTCGAACGCTATACGCTTCCAATAGTAATTAGAGTAATTGGAAGCGTATAGCTTCGGCTATACGCTTCCAATTTTTGATCATTATGATTCCCGGCTTTTGGAATATTTTTGCTTCCAATAGTCGGCAGAACGAAAACGGCAGAGCGTGTCTTTCTAACGGTCGAGGTGCACGAGACTTTGAAGCGCCATCATAGGCGGGAAGCTCGCTCTGAAGGCGGGACGACCGAAGCGCCTCCCTCTCGTTCTCACCTACTCCGCTCTTCATGAAACCGCTCCCTCCGACGACAGGTGCTGTCGTCTGCGTTCCCGGCGGCCTTTGTCGGGGAGGATGTGTACAACCAGCTGCTGTCCTTCCTGGGCTCGGACGACCCCGTGGCGGCGGAGCTCACCCTGCAGATCTTCAGCTTCGTCGGGGCGGAGATCGACCAGCGCTGCCCCAACGTCGCCCAGTGAGCTTTTTCCCCCGCTCTCCCATCTCTGCGTCCACCGCATCCTTGTCTAGGGCCCCTCGATTTCCGGTTGACGACGGTGTAAAGGTCTCGCGTCGTGATGCGATTATGGTGGAGGTGGGTGCCGCGGATGCGGGTCAGCTTCCGGCTCGACGGACGAAGCGACGACGTTGACACTCGCTCACTCTTCTAAAGCGAAGCTATTATGCTTTAGGATGTGGGGGAAAATGCGTTTGCGGATATTGACGGAAAACTCCGTGGCAAGTACGAATAAATAAAAATGAAAAGAGGGGGCAGTAAGCGTGAGTCAGCCTTGGCATTATTAGATAGTGGGGTCCTGATCCCTTGTTATCATTTCTAGGCATTGCCCTCGAGGTCATCCTAGAAGTCGTCCCTTAGGTCACCCTAGGCGTCGTCCAAAAAATCGTCCTTGAGGTCATCCTAGACATTGTCCTCTAGGCATTGCCCTAGACGTCGTAAAAATAATGGCTTCGCTGGTCCTTCATCTTCACGTGAAGTGGAAGGGCTCTAGAATTTTTTGGCGAAACATTTGCGGCCAACTGCCGGGATCGCGGCATCCGACTTGGCGATGTCCTTTTGTTGGGGCCACTTTCGGTGCGCGGGTGGAACGGGACGCTAACCGGCCAAAGACTCGTTACGGGCAGCCTGGCATCGGCGCGCAATTCCGAGCCCTTGCAGAGCGACGGGGTCGGACAAACACCGAGGCCCTATCCCCCGTCTTGCAGGCGGCTTCTTCCCGTGGTGCAGAACTTCGTGGAGAACGGGTCGGTCAAGCAGGCCAAGTTCGCCGTGGCCTGCCTAAACGTCATCGTGAGCAACAAGGAGCGCGTCTTCGGACAAGTCATAGACGTACGTCACCCTCCCTTCGTTACTTTTGATGGAATCTCGTTAATTCAAACTAGCACGCAGGTCCAATCTTTGCCGCTTTGCACTGGCGCGCTCGGAGGAGCGGCTGACAGGGGTTTTTTTGGTTAGGTATAGCGAGTATTCACCGTCTACCATAACAGTGTGCATTTCTTTTGCAACGGGCATTCTGCACCATCGAGATTGCCGGTCTTTGCAGGCTATGAATGCGAACTCGTTCCGAGCACGTGCCCTAAACATCGCCCTCCTGATGGGGTCCTGTGAATACCCCCTATAGTCGCTAATAAAGCGAGAATGGTAGCCACTGACGGAGTAAGAATGGCATGTACTGACAGAGCAAGAACAACATTCGCTGACAGCAAGTGGTAGTCATCGACAGAGTGAGATTGACAGTCACTGACGGCGCAAGAATGGTATCGTCTGACAAAATAGGAACGGCCTTCACCGACGGCGAGAGTGGTAGTCACTGAGAGAGCGAGAACAACAGTCGAGGATGGAGCGAGAACAACCCGCCTCAAGCGTGCACTCTGTGCCCTCCACAGGGCTTTGGCTGTGCACTCGAGGAGCATGACATGTGTCCTCGAAGGTGGGATGCTGGGGGAGGTCTGACCTTGTCGGTGGCTGTTAGAGGCAGGTTGGGAAGTTTGCGGTGGGCACCCGGTATGCTCTGCTTGATTTCCTAGCGTTTTGCGACTAGCGGGTGGCTGCTTACTGTGGTACAGGCGCATTTTCAATATTTTGTGCTATTCCCCCTTGGCTCGAATTGGAGCTTTCCATGGAGTCGAAACGGGCTTTGGCGCCCATTGTGACGACGGGGGCGATGTGGACGTGGGTGCAGCACCTGAAGCAGCACTTCACCCTGGAGAGCCAGTACTTCCGCACGGCCCTGGTGTCCATGGGCCACATCTCGCTGCTCTGCCCGGACCTGTTTGGGGGCCAGATCAAGAGCATCGTGTCCAAGGTGGTCGTCAAGGACCTGCTCATGATGGACCGGGTAATCTCTCTCTTTCTCCTTTTTCTTCTTTAATGGGCAGAACATGTTACTTCCTCTTTAGACCCAGCAGAAATTGAGCATAGTTACCTTTGAAAACAGAAAAGAAACGTGATTACAATGGAGTATACGATGCGGGCAACTCGGGGAAAAGAAATATTACCCTAAACTCCCAAGCGAACGCATGCATCCCGAAAGATCGGTCGCCCCTCCCATTTCCTTGGGCTGAGTCTCCATAACGTAAAAATTCCGAAACATTGCCCACCCCCCATTTGCCACCAGATATCGATCGCGCTATGCCTGACAGGAATTGCGCGAACCGCACAATCGGCGGTACCGGCATGTGTGACAGGTGTGTTTGCAGCGGGTTTCCTCGTGTTTGTAGCACTGTGATGACCAAATCTGCCGCATCCATGACCCGCAGTATCCGTTCCCGTGACGTGCGAGTTCGCTGCTGATTCCCGATTTCTTTTTGCCCCGATCTGCCGTCACTATAGCTGTTTCCAAAAAACAAGAGTTAGTACCAGGTTTCCGCACTGTCTGCGATCTGCGCGTGCAATATCAGTTTGTGCGACACCCCAGTTTGTAGTTGGTTCTTGCGTGCCTATCGCACCGTGGAGTGGGAATTGGCCACGTCAGCAATCTGCGTCGTCAGTTCCTGTTTCGCGTGGTTTTTGTGTACCTGGTGTACCGGCGCTTGTCGCTAAATTTCAATAAAATTTTGCTCTGGCTTCCCTAAGGTCGCCCATCCCGCGAGCACGATGCTTTTTAAAAAAAATTTTATAGGAGGATGTGCACTTAGTTGCATGTTATCAGAAAAAGCAATTTGTAGAAAAGAACAGAGCAGTCAGCCAGAAAGTACCCGGTTCTCTTCTAACCCTCCAACATCTTATAAATTGGTTCGGTGCTACAGTTATCAACAACTCTTACAATAGATTGAAACTCGTTATGTACTTACTTGGATCGAGTGAGGGGAACGTCTACCTTGACACCATCGCCGTTCTTAAAGGTAAATGGGGCGTTGGTGAGCTCACCATACCCCGTAAAACTGTCCGTAGATTATCGCTTGCCAAAACAGTTTGGGGTCTCGAGGTTTTCCGGACGGGTACATACATTTTGCGTTGCTGCGGCCTTCCCACGGCCGGGAAAGGGCGGGTTGGGTGAGAGCGGGTCGCCCTCGCAGGAGGAGCCTCGGCTCTCGGACACGCCCTGGTGCGAGTTTGAGGCTCTGCCCGAGGAGACGAAGGTGAAGGTGGAGGGCATGAAGCTGATGGTGCGCTGGCTGGTGGGGCTCAAGACGGCCTCCTCCTCGGCCAGCTCCACCCTGCGCCTGCTGGTCACCGTCATCACCCACAGGGGCGACCTGATGGAGAAGGAACATGTTTCGTGAGTTCTTTCCGCCTCACAGGCTGGTTTCGCGCTTTCGGCTCGGCCTCTTGCCAAATACAGCGTAGCTTCGCCAGTAGTGGAAACTTCTTCGAAATATCGCGAAAGCGGTGGCGAATGCAACAGTTGCGAAGTCTCTCCACTCCCTTCACCCCTGAGCCGACTGACCCCGCGCTCTGCTTGTGGGTGTGGGCACGATGCATCGCTGGTCTGGCAGGCAGGTCTGCTTCCACTTTCTGCTTGGGGGTGAACGGAGTGGACGGCGAGGCTGGAGTGTCGGATTTGTTACGGGGGCCCCCACCGGAAAGCCGGCACAAATTGAACGTGGGTGCCGTGTTGGCGATCCTACCGACTGAGCTTGGGTCCCAGCCGAATGCCGTAAAATGTGACGGGCCGCTTCGGCAGGGTAGACTACATGGGCAGAGTGCACGCCGAGCAACAGGCTCAGTTTTCAGTTTCGGCAGCACACTTTGGGAGAACGTAGGCGTCCGGGCCTCCTTTTTGTACGGGCTTGGAATGTGTGCAAAAGAATACGGTTGGTTTTTCGACCTCGGCAACGTGAGTTCTGAAAAGAAAGGCATGCGGGCTTCCTTCATAAGCAGGGGCGGCGTCTACGCAAATAAATGCAGTTCGTTTTGGGCCCATGTAGCTCTGGCGGCACATTGTGAGGGGGTCTGCGAGGCTGTGCTATTGCATGTGGTACGTTCTGGGTCGTGGGCGTATTTGCCCTCCCTGCCTATTCGAAGGAGGGCCCACCTCGTTGCAGGTCCATGGAAAAGGCGTGGCTGCGTTATGCGGCGGCGGCTTGCATGCTCAAAATATGCTGCTGTCCAACATACGCCGACGTGCTCTCTCACGAGCAGTTCCAGAAGCTGGCCCTGGTCATGCAGGTGGGTTTTATCTCCTCGGGTTTGCTCTTCCTGCTCTCCAATGTCGTATCCTCCGTTGTGCTTCTGTTTCTTTGTAATTGAGTGATGCAAATCTTTGCCGGGTACTTATAGGACAACAATTCACGACATCAGAAGTCAGCTGCGGCTATGAAATCTTCGTAAAAGTTTGATTCGAGGCACTTTTTTTTTGGGGGGGGGGGGGGGAGTTTTTACTGACTTTAGGGAAGTACTATCAGTTCAGGATTACACTGGTAGTTCTCGAGTTCAAAAGATGTGGCATACGGAATGGCAGTTCGGAGGCAGTGCGTGTCTACTGGCTCTTATGGGTAGAACTCATCGAGCGGGCGTTTCAGTCGAAGTAATGAAATAATAAAAGATTTTTTCCTCACATTTTATGATGTATTTGGGACACTTACACGCTACGAGCTTGCCGCGAAAGCTATGATTTTTGCTACTCATTGTACCAGCCCTGCTTAGCTATCCAGAGCCTTTTTCTTTTAAATATTTGGAACAATCTGTCGTATTAGTGGGCCACTGAAGTAACACATTTCCCGTGTGTCTCAAACTTTGGTTTTCACTTGGATTTTTTCCTCGCCCTCATTTGTTCCCTCGACGGCAACATGTACTAGAGTAAATCATCCTTATCGTCCAGTCGGGATGAAACGTTAACGAGTGGCTGCCACAAAAGAGGTCTACGCGACCAATGGGGGAGAGAAGAGGCTAGGACTTTCAGCTTGACCAAAAAGCATACTTTGTGAGCTAGCCTTTGAAGGGGGGTCATTACTTACCCAGTGGCCATATCGTGCACTCTCATCAATACATTGGTAGTTTGCATGCCGAAACAGCGATGCATCAATTTTCTTATCGGCAAAGGAACGTGCTTCCTTGGAACGGTGGCTACACCGGCAATAGTTGCAACTGCATTTTGCGACGGCTATATAAGCGATTGGTTTTTCAATAAGCGTTAACGACGAGTGTGCCCCGTGTCATCCTCTTTCTCGTCTAGGCATATTTTTTGGTGCTTCTTTAGCCGGTCGTGAACCAACTGACCCAAAATGACTTCTCGCTAAATTACCCAGGCATCGAGGATAATGCTTGGAGTGTAGGTCTATGCACTGCACTCGCCGCCTTCCCGTATAAAATATTCCGAGTAAATAACCGAAACAAGGCGTTGGGGAACGCACGTTCAGGAGGCCACTCGTTTTTGGGCTTTCGCTTTAGAACAGTTAGTGCTGCAGACGCCAGCACGTGCGGTGTATGGACTTACATTCCCAGCATTCTCATTGATGCCTGGGTAATCAGCAATAAGTCTATCGCTATTTTAGAACAATATTATTTTGTTGGTTTCTCATTTCTAAATGATTGCTTTCTTCTTTTTTTTTTTTCTTTCCACTTTTTTGGGTCTACGTTGGAACGGTTACTTCTGGTGCGGCCCCGAACGGCTTGGAATTCACCGCAACCGACGCCTCATGATTCCGGCATCCGATTCGTTCGCGGTTCCGTTGTCTCCCGCTCAAATCATGTCGGGACCTTGGACGACGACGCCCCCAACTGACGGCGAACAACGTAACATCTGCAATGGTTGCCGACCACCCGTCTGCTTCCTCAACTCCGACCTTCTCGGCGGCAAATTCCGAATGCCGTCCCCTCTTGTTGGGTGGGGCTGCAACTGCAAACACGCCGACTGTGCGTGACAAACCAGGACGAGTGTGCGGAGGTGCGGGAGAAGTTTGGCTGCAAGCTGCACAAGCACCTGCTGGCCATGCGGCTGCCCCTGCAGTTCATGGCCATGTTTGCCCTGGCCGGGGTGGAGAAGAAGCGGCCCCTGCGGGCACAGCTCAAGCAGTGGCTCCAGTCCTGCATCAACAAGCGACGGGACTTCCTCAAGCAGCACACCATCAGCAACCGTGAGTCTGGACTCATTTCTTTTCACGGGTTACAGTTGGGGTGCAACACTTTTGGGGTTTAGTTTTCTGGGGGGTTTATATTCTTCGGGCGAGAAATTAAAGTTTGTCGGGCCTCGCGTCGAAGGAACTGAACACAGGCGGGGAATTTTGTAACCTCGAGTTGGGTATGTCCAGTCCGGTACATACAGTCCGGTACCAATAGAAGAAGGAATCAAGATAAGGGGTCTGGTTTCCGAAGGAAAAAGTAGCTTCGCGGAGAGTTCAGTTTGGCTGTATTAGAGGGAAATGGAAAATAAAATGGTAATTAAAGGTTTTTATCAGAAAAGCTAAGATGTTTCTCAAAAAAAAAAAAAAAAAAAGTCCTTATCAAGGGTTTTTTTTTTTTTTTTTTTTTTTTTTTTTGAGGTAAAATTGGCTTGAGGGCTTATTTTCAGGGTTTCTCAGTATTTACCAAAAACGGGGAACCGTACTCGTAGCGCTGGCTCCTAGCAGTTGCTGGTAACGCATTTCCTGTAACGGAACGACACCGCATGCGTAGTGAGGTCCGAACACCTACGCAGCCCTTGCGTGCAATCTGGGCCCCGTACTGGCCTTGAGTGGGTGACAACCCAGCACTAGGGCGGGGCCTCGTTAACATCACTCCAATCACCCCTAGGCTGACAGTGCAGTGTACTCTCGTTGGATCGGCTGTACGTCTATCTTTCGCCACATGGACACGCTCCCGCTCGTGCACATAGAGAGCTGTCAGGTGACGATAGGAAGGCGGTCGATGGGTCCACCTTAGCACCTTTGATGGGAACTACGTTTAGGTGCAGATGGAGCGTGCTCGCACGTATGGCAATGCACGCGTCGGTTATATTTTTGCGGGACACTGGGCTGGCATTGAGTGTGTCGGCCTGGTCCCCTGCTAGAGCCATGGACGAACCTCTGTGCCTTTCAGTCCTCCCCTTGCACGTATGCTGGTATATTGAAGGGAAGGAGAAAAGGGACAAGCATACGTTTAAGAGGGATGGGAACTAAGCATTTCATTTTCGCTGGAGCGCTGGTTTTGGCAGGGCTCTCTATCGGGGGTGCCATGGTGCACAAAATTGGTAGCAAGGTCATCTGTGTAGTATCACCGTGAACTACCTTTGCCGTAATGATGTGGGAAAGGGGTACCTTTTTTCCCCACATTGTCCTTTTCAGACTGTTGGAATTATTGTTCCGCTGGAGGGACCTTGGACTCCTGATCTAATAGACCCTTTTCAAAAGTTCATCGAGCAACATTGTTCGGTCGCCATTGCTCGCTCACAAAGCGTGCGATTGTCTCCGAGTTCCCGCCGAACGGTGACGTCGGCACTCCTCATCAACACGAGTTGACGCCGAACGCCGACGTCACCCTCGTGTCCAATACATGCTCGGAGCATGTGAGCAAGCAATGGGGGACAGGCGTTGGCGCAGACTTGTCTATTGGATGGTTCATTTAACGGTTCTGTTTCAGGTGGCCTGAAGCTGTGTAACATTATTCTGACTTTCCCGTTGTATTCTTTCCAAACGAAGAGTTTACGATTGTTTTGTAGGCCCTTAAAGGGGCCACAAAACTATCGCTGGCAGTTATGGTAACAAATGGTCGTTGAAACTGTCACCGATAATCAAATCTGACTTTATTTAATGGTGCAATTAAATGAACCCTGAAACTGTCGCATTTCATTGGAAAAAAAAAAAATTGTTTCATGCTTGGTAATTGTGAATTCATTTATTTTGACCTCGTTATCACGATTGTAAAACAGTTTCAGCGTATCTTCCAAAGAGGACACTCAGTCTGCCAAACTCAGAGGGGAGTATATTTGGCACCAAAAATAAAACACTTCTTGGGGGAAGAGTTGCGTGGGCTCCTTGGCTTCGCATGGAGCCAGCACGGTGGCGCTAGTGTAAGCCCGGTCTCCCCAACCCAGGGAAGCTGTTCACGGTCCATCCGGACTTTGTGCTCCCCTACACGATCCACCTACTGGCGCACGACCCCTGCCTGACCAAGTATGACGACGTGCCGGCACTCGTCCAAGTCAAGGAGTGAGTACCACTTTCCTTAGAGAAACAACCCAGTGGTCTGGAAATGGTGGTGCTTTTCGTCCTAGTACATAGTTTTTGTCACTGTGAGGGGCACTGATGCTAGCAAAAGTTTTTAAAAAACATGAAAAAAATTAAAGAGCAGTTGTAGCACCTCTTACGGGGAGTTTCGATTCATCCGAAATAATACGAGCCCTAAGCAGCAAGTATAAATAGCATTTGCAATCGTCCATCTTATTGAGGGGTCCGTGGGGTTTTGCGAAAGTGTAGACGCATCCAACGAAATCTGCATGTCGGCTTCCCCAAACGTACGTCCATTCTTTAGGTGCTCCGAGTGACCCAATCGGTCGACTCCTAGCATCTGCAGCCCACTTTGATTTGCCCCTAGGAAAATCTTTGCCACAACTCAGACTCCAGACCAGGTAATGGAAGTAGCATGGCATCATCTGCAGAACCACCGAGAGCAGCAGCAGCAGTGGTATTTCGGACAAAGGAGGTACAACAGCCCTCCACGCTTAGGACATGCCGCTTCTCGAAAAAGTGTTGGCAGAGGACTCGGTCTTGGAACTTTTTGAAAGGGAACGGCATCGCAGGCATGGCAAAAGACCAGCCTGAATTTTGCAGCTCGTGTCGTCCGGGGGTACCCCCAGCCCTCACGGAGGTGTTTGTAGTTGCGGCGGTCGTCGGGAGTGGTAGCACCATTAGGGATAATACTGATAGCATTGCCATATTCAATGTCTCGGTGTCCCTCAGTGGAAGAGCTGCTGGGACGTGAATTGGGTGTGCACGTTTGCCATAAGGCACATTGGAGGCTGATCGTAGACCAACGAAGGGACCGACCAACCAGGATTGATTCCTTGTGCTGCCACGCAAAATAGATGGACAGAGTTTTTGCGGACTCTAACCAAAGTTTTATTTAAAAACACATAAACCCGACGTTTCGGGACCCGCTCGGTCCCTTGGTCACGGGTGACTGTAGGTGGGGGCGCGGTGGGGAAGGTTGCCCAGGTGGTTGGCCTTGCTGAGGCTTAACCCAGAGGGCGCGGGGGAGGGGGCGCGGTGTGAAAGGTTTGCCCGGGCGTTTGACCTTGCTAAGGTTTACCCCAGAGGGCGCGAAGTCCAGACACGTACGCGCTCGGGAGAGTGCCCTTGGACCGGTTCACGTTCTTACTCGTTGTTTGGATAAACCAGGACTCTAGATGAAGGCGTTTCCTCCAATGTCCCTCGGTGGCCACGATCTGAGTCTCGTCGAGGGAGAAAGAGTGCCCCGTTTTTTGCTCGTGCTCTGCCAGGGCGCTGGCCTCAATATCTTTCTTTCTCACGTCGTATTTGTGTCGTCGAATACGATCCGGGAAGTTTTTTGTTTCCCCCACATAAGCGACCGGGCAATCCGCGCACGGCACGCGGTACACGAGGCCTTGAGCCCTTTCCCTTCCTGGTCTGTCTTTGGGGAGAGGAAGCCGCCGACGGATGGTAGACACGGGCTTGTGGGAGACGGCGATGCCGTGTTTCCGAAGGACGCGTCCGACGGTCTCACTCACATTTTTCACATAAGGGAGACAGATCCGATTAGACGGTCTCGAGGTCGGAGTCACAGGGGGGCGGCGTAGGCGTTTGTAGATGTCGTTAATGAACCGCTTTGGGTAACCATTGTTAACTAGATCAGCTTTGATCTTCTTAACTTCTTCTCGTAGGGCCTCCTCCGTAGAACACACGGACAGCGCCCGTCGGAAAAGGGCGCTGACCACTGAGGCCTTGTGCGATGTGGGGTGATACGACTCGAAGTCCAGGTATCTACCGGTGTGCGTAGGTTTCCGGTGTACCGCGAAGTTGAGCGCGTCAGAAGCTCTCCTGACGCTCACATCCAGAAACGGGAGCACGCCGTCCGTCTCTCGCTCCACCGTGAACTGAATCGACGGTTCAACGGAGTTCAAACACTGGCACAGGCGCTCAACCTCACTGGCTTCGACGATGCAGAAACAATCATCCACATACCGGAGGAAGGTCTTGGGCTTTGGATTAAAGCAAGAAAGAGCTTTTTGTTCGATGTACTCCATCGTGAGGTTGGCCATGGTAACGGAGATCGCAGCTCCCATGGCAGTTCCACTCGTTTGCTTGTAGAAGCGTCCATTGAACGAGAAGTATGTGCTCGAGAGACACAGCTCCAGAAGGCGGCAGATTTCGTCCACGGACAGACAGGTTCGTTCTGCTAACCCGGAATCGGCGGAAAGGGCCGTCCTGGCCACAGAAAGTGCCAGGGGCACCGGCACACTCGTGAAGAGTGACACGACGTCAAAGGAAACCAGAGATTCGTCGGCGTTCACCTTTAGTCCTTTGACGAGATCGATGAAGTGACTCGAATCTCGCAAGTATGTGTCCGTGGTGCCAGTAAGGGGGGAGATGAGCTGGTGCAGGTACGCCGAAACTGCACGTAGTGGGGAAGTAGTGAAGTCCACAATGGGGCGGAGGGGGACCTCGGGCTTGTGGATTTTTTGGTAGACCGTACAAAGCGGGAGCGGACCCGTTGCGACAAATTAACCTAAGATAAAGGCTGCGTGAATCCGGGTGCTCTTTGAAAATGATAGACAGGGCCCTGTTTATGGTATTCTGGATCTTGCCGGTGGGGTCTTTTTGTAGGGGCGCGTACGCCGACGTGGAGAGCATATCCGTCACCTTGCGGATGTAGGAGCTCTTGTCCAGGACCGCCGTTGCGTTGCCTTTGTCTGCGGGCAGAACCACGATGGCGTCGTCTTCCTTCAGGCTACGAAGGGCGCGGTGTTCGGCGGACGAAATGTTTTTCTGGCGACGGCGCACCTGTGCGATAGCCCCGATAGCCTTGAGCCGAACCTCTTCTTGCAGAGATGGGTCCAGTTTACGAATGCCGTCTTCAATGGCGGCCGCCATGGCGGGAATTGGAGGCTTACTTGGGATGTTGAACCCGTGTCCTTTTGCCAGCACGGATGTTTCTGTCGGCGAGAGCACCCTTGAAGACAAGTTCCTTACGAAGTTGCTGTTACTCCGGCAGACGCTAGGTGACGATTTCTGCCGGAGAGCCGCGATCTTCTTCTGATGTTCGTAAGTTCTTTCCTGCGTAGCGGTGATAGCCGTGGACCGGGCGAAATCATCAAGGGCGTGGAAGGCCTCCGGTATCTTGAATTCCAGCTGTCTTCGCAAGAAGAAAAGGTCCAGTTCCCTTCTTTTGACGTTCTCTCGGCACTCACGGATGCGGGCGTCGAGAAGACGGCGTTCCGCTTGATCGATGACCCTGTGCCCCTCGGATGAGCTCACCAGGCGCTTCAGCCGCAGGCTCTTGGGAATCAGGTTGAGCTCCTTGCAGGTCTTGTTAAAAGTAAGGTGGGTCTTGAAATTGGCGGTCGTGCGATTGGCGTGCACAAACCTCTTTGCAAGCTTCACCGCGTCCGGACCGTAGTCATCGCATAGAGATTTTAACGTAAACATTTTTGACAGAAGTCTGTCTGGTTAGGAAGATATTGACAGAGTTTTTGCGGACTCTAACCAAAGTTTTATTTAAAAACACATAAACCCGACGTTTCGGGACCCGCTCGGTCCCTTGGTCACGGGTGACTGTAGGTGGGGGCGCGGTGGGGAAGGTTGCCCAGGTGGTTGGCCTTGCTGAGGCTTAACCCAGAGGGCGCGGGGGAGGGGGCGCGGTGTGAAAGGTTTGCCCGGGCGTTTGACCTTGCTAAGGTTTACCCCAGAGGGCGCGAAGTCCAGACACGTACGCGCTCGGGAGAGTGCCCTTGGACCGGTTCACGTTCTTACTCGTTGTTTGGATAAACCAGGACTCTAGATGAAGGCGTTTCCTCCAATGTCCCTCGGTGGCCACCGAGGGACATTGGTAGCCTTCATCTAGAGTCCTGGTTTATCCAAACAACGAGTAAGAACGTGAACCGGTCCAAGGGCACTCTCCCGAGCGCGTACGTGTCTGGACTTCGCGCCCTCTGGGGTAAACCTTAGCAAGGTCAAACGCCCGGGCAAACCTTTCACACCGCGCCCCCTCCCCCGCGCCCTCTGGGTTAAGCCTCAGCAAGGCCAACCACCTGGGCAACCTTCCCCACCGCGCCCCCACCTACAGTCACCCGTGACCAAGGGACCGAGCGGGTCCCGAAACGTCGGGTTTATGTGTTTTTAAATAAAACTTTGGTTAGAGTCCGCAAAAACTCTGTCAATATCTTCCTAACCAGACAGACTTCTGTCAAAAATGTTTACGTTAAAATAGATGGACCGTCACATTATTAGCTGCCAAGAGATGGGCTACCAGGGTAGCATTGCTGGGCAAGCGAACCATTGCATTAAGCCGATCACCCTTAGTCCAGTACCCTGAACGCATTCTCGACTGGTGCGTACGTTAAAAGAGCCAACGTGTCGTGCCATTGGACGTTACAATTCCGACAGTAGGTTGCGGTAAAGGAGAGAAGCGAGTGTGGCTGCTGAAGCATTTGAGAAACGTCGCGCCGGAGAGAACAACTTGCAGCCGAACGGCCGTCTTCCGCGACCTTCTCCATTGCCACACCACTGCCGGGATCGTGTTGGGCGACGGCATGGTCGAGTGCAGGTGGTAGGATCGTAAATGAGGAAGCGTCTTCTCGGGCAATCCCCCTCCAAGGCACCTGCATTTCCCCCAGGTGCCTGTGGTTCCTGATGGAGCCGCTCATCACCAAGAACGAGGGCTACAGCTTCAGCTTCTTCAAGCGACTCATCGAGAACATCAAGCAGACGAGGGACAACCAGTGTCCCGAAGACAAGGCGGCGCAGCTGGTGAGCGGAGACCTTGGCCGGCAGGGCCTCCGGACGCCAGTTGGGGAGGGCGGAAATTTCTAGCGCCACCATTGAACTATCTATCTGATGAGGAGTGCCGTGAACGTAGGCGTCTGGAAACTCGGAGTATCGCTACATGTCTGTGTTGCTAGAACATTTCACGTATGCAACACAATTGCCTAACGATTTGCGATAAATTTTGAGGCTTTACAGATTTGTTAAACAAAAACCACGAAAGTTCCACTATCGTAAAATACCTTGAAAGTGCCCACTTCGTACAAGTGCCCACTTCATACAAGTGCCCACTTCATACAAGTGCCCACTTCGTACAAGTGCCCACTATTAATGTTTCCTAAATTTGGGAATTGTACAAATCCTACGTTAAACTCCCACGCCCTCCAGCCGAAAATAGCCGTTGCGGCAACCACGAGACCGCTAGCAGTGATGGTGGGGGATACGGGGGATACCTTGCCTGCAAAGCTTTTTATTGGCTGCCACCTTGGTTTTTAATGATTTGACAGGACCTTGTGTCTATACCCGTTTTCACCTCCAGAACCGTAGGAAAAAGGTCATTACTAATTTCCCTCTTTATTTCGAGAATTAAGATATATGTAGGAGAATTTTAGATTAGATATATGTCATCTTATCAAGACGTTTCAAACACCAAAAGCATCACATTTTCCTCCGACAACCATATCTATAAAAACTACTTCACACTGTGTATGAACAGTGTGCAAAACTTGAAAAGGGCTATAAATTGACCTTGTTTTCAGTGAAAGGGGGCTGGGCGCTTCTCCGATATTTTACGGCAATGCGGTCTGTGCGGGGGAGTTGTACGTCCAAGGGGGCGTAATATGAGGGGCGAATCGTCGCAAGAGGCTGGCTAATTAACTGAAAGAGGTTCATTAACTTTTAGACTCTTAGGCTCCTGTTTCTGGCTTAAGCGGGGTAATTGCGCGTTGCATTATGGGACGTTTCCCATAATGACGTTGCACGTGACGTCACGAAGGTCACTCCTAAAGGTCGTAAGCTCGAATCGTGAAAGTCGCGACCTTCACGATTGATGTTACATTCTCTCCGTACCATTCCCTCTTCCTCAAGAACTGCACTCTAATTTGGCATTACGGGAAATTTTAAATGTCCCTCATTTTTTTTTAATTAGTGAAAAGAAATGTATGGTTCCAATTAGAAACTTGCCAAGTGTCTCCAAAAATCTGTAAATTTTGGTGAGAGCACGTGGGAAGCACGTTAGAGCTCTAAAGTTATTGCTCGTACAGCAGGAGCGAGGCTATTGGTGCGAACGATAACTTTAGTGCACTACTGTGCTTCCCAAGCACCTGGAACCTTTCTAAAAATTACCGATGCTAAGGTTTTCTTGGAACCATATTTTATTTTTACTAATTCAAAAGTTATTTAAGACATTTTAGTTAACAATTGGACTGGACGTGACGACTAGCACCCCATATTATGTCCCCCCAAGATGTATCGCTCACCTACACAGGCCGCATCAGTGTGCTTTTCGCGAAAGCATAAAAAGAGGCGCCCCATATGAGGGTGGTGCGTGGATGCCAAGCGACTCCCCTTGTGCAGAAACTGTATGCGGTGTGCGACCTGGCCCTGGGGCTGGTCATGACCAAGACGACGAGCTTCCTGCTCAAGGACTTTCCCCAGGAGCCCGTGCTGCCTTCCAAGTGGTACACCCTGCAGGACAAGGTACCTTGCTACTTAGCCACCACTGGCCCCTGTCCTTCCAAAAACAGCCCCCTCAATTTTTTTTTTTTTTCCATTTTTTTGCCAGGCGATTTTGTGTGGGGTCAGTAGAGTACCCAATTAATATTTTACTACAGAATCATTTATATTTTTAATAGAGCCAAAAAACGCAACTGCTCGGAACCGGAACCCGCTTGCGGAAGTCGGAGAAGTTGGGAGGAGAGAGTGGGCGGAAGTCACGTGGCTACACCCGACCGTGCGCTTCTTTTTTTTCTCTTGGCTTTTTTTTCTTTTTTTTTTTTTTTTTTTTTTTTCATTTTTCGCCAGGCGATTTTGTGTGGGGTCAGTAGAGTACCCAATTAATATTTTACTACAGAATCATTTATATTTTTAATAGAGCCAAAAAACGCAACTGCTCGGAACCGGAACCCGCTTGCGGAAGTCGGAGAAGTTGAGAGGAGAGAGTGGGCGGAAGTCACGTGGCTACACCCGACCGTACGCTTCTTTTTTTTCTCTTGGCTTTTTTTTTTTTTTTTTTTTTTTCATTTTTTGCCAGGCGATTTTGTGTGGGGTCAGTAGAGTACCCAATTAATATTTTACTACAGAATCATTTATATTTTTAATAGAGCCAAAAAACGCAACTGCTCGGAACCGGAACCCGCTTGCGGAAGTCGGAGAAGTTGAGAGGAGAGAGTGGGCGGAAGTCACGTGGCTACACCCGACCGTACGCTTCTTTTTTTTCTCTTGGCTTTTTTTTCTTTTTCTTTTTTTTTTTTTTTTTTCATTTTTTGCCAGGCGATTTTGTGTGGGGTCAGTAGAGTACCCAATTAATATTTTACTACAGAATCATTTATATTTTTAATAGAGCCAAAAAACGCAACTGCTCGAAACCGGAACCCGCTTGCGGAAGTCGGAGAAGTTGAGAGGAGAGAGTGAGTGGGCGGAAGTCACGTGGCTACACCCGACCGTACGCTTCTTTTTTTTCTCTTGTTTTTTTTTTTTTTTTTTTTTTTTTTTTTTTTTTTTTTTTGCACACAGCAGGCGACGTGTGTTTGCGGGAACCGTATGCCGCACAATTGCTTTGCAGCTATGTTTGTTCCGCTCGCTGTTCTGCACTTGAAGATGAGTTGTTTTGTACATTGAAGAGTTGGAAATGAGTAGCCAGTGCCTGTGGTGAATTCCCGTGACCGGCTCTGAAAAGAATGCCCCCAAGATGTTGCGTGAAGAGCAGCCTCACAGGTCCTGCGTCCGAAAAAGGCATCGTGCGGCGGAGTGTGCACAAGTTTTTGAAAGATCAACGGGCCGGCTGCAAGTCGGCAAGCCAGAGTGGAAAGGCTCGAAAGGTTGCCGCCATCTATGAGCAACGGCGGCAACAAGAGATCCGGCAAGCCGGTTGTCTAGTTGCCGCCGTCGATCATAGATGGCGGTACCTGTCTGGAGTTTACTGTCACCATTTGTCTGCTGACGGACACGATCCTGGGGAAACTAACCCTTAACAACTCAGCTATCAAGAAAAAAAAAACAAAAAAAAAAAACAGTGCATCCACTGTGGATTGAACCTGGGTCCGCTGCGTGTGAAGCAGACATTTTTCCATTGAACTGCTGGGGGAACTCTTTCATTCGTAGTAATGCAGCCGGTCGACTCTAGGTCGGAAGGTTTGTTGCCGATTTCTCTCCTACAAAGGCACTCCCTATGGTCGGGCTGCACCACACCAACCACGCATTGACCACATTTGTACCTAGTAAAGGAATCGTACGCCTGCATATTCAACTTAAAGTACGCACTTCGTGCTCGACGTTTGAGCGAGCGATGTCTTCAACCACGAGAAGGGGCATTGACTCGGCAACGTCTTTGTGCAGTCGGCTTGGTGGTGGGGGATGTCGTACGGGATGAATACGAATTCTTTTGATTTGTCCGAAATTTCTCTTTCGAAGAAAGACAGATTCATTGGTACCGCGAACAACAGTTCTAAAGTAGAAGTGCCACGTCCGTCGTCCGCTGCCATTGCCGTCTAGTCCGCGAGTCCCACAATACAAGATGTGACACCATGTTGAGAATTCGCAGTGAAGGCACAGAATAAATGCTTCCAATTCTCTGTGCAACTTTTTTTGTTTTAGTTAACATATTTCCAGCTTTTCAGAAGCCACAAAAATATGGGTATTATATTTCTTTTCTATTCTTAATATTGTGCCCTCGATGACCAATGACTTTGATAACATTTAGTGGTTGTGTCTAAACCATAGAAAACGGCATGTGGTCACGGAGAAAAGAGTGAGCGCGACTCAAACCGGCCAGTTCTTGATGGGCAGTTTTCGGGCCGAACGAAACCGAATTTCGAGCTGCAAAATGTGCTCTGGGTAGCTGGGTTCTCAAGTGTCACGTACAAATAAAAACCTCGGCGAGCATAGACACCCTGCCAGTGTCCCTTTAAGGACCCTGTAATGATCTTTGGTGCAAAAGGCAAACTGGTCAAATGACAAAGGTACCAAAACCTGCATAAAAAGAAGAAGAAAAAAAATGTGCACCTTTATTTAGAGTTGTTGAGTCTTTATACGCAGAATTGAGTCTTATGAGGAGTGCAAAAGCAGCCAACTCCTGCCTCGGCCTTCCAGGCACATGATGCTGTGTCAGTGTCACCAGGTCCTCATTTTGTACCATTTCTTGTTTAACTTTCGCTGCTGACAACGTCTTTTTGAAGCATCTCTGAGTCATCTTTTCTGCATCTTCTGTTCGTGCTTTTTGGTTTTTTTTGTCGTAGTTTTGTTGTGTCGCCTCGAAGCTCGCGGCACAGGTATTTTGCAGCCGGCCAGCCCTCTTTGACTTTGGCACACTTTACTCGGTTTTTTGTTCCACCGGGGTTTGCATGGGCGAGAGTGCAATTCTGCATTAAAGAAAGAAAGAAGGGAGGGAGGGGAGGGGCAGAATCCAGCGGAGCATATGCAAACATTGTACAACTCCTCTAATGGTGAATTCTGCTGATAGATCCAGAGCGCTTTCCCAAATCTGCGGGGGAGGCAAGGGTCCGCTCCGTGGGACCCGCTCCAAATCAACGAGCGGAAGTTGGACGTGCATTTTTGGAGCGACCCGCCGGAGACTGTCTGCCGTTCAAAATGGCCGCCGCTCGAACTTGACGAGCCAACCGAGCTTTTTGACGACCGATCACTACTGTCGGTGTCCACCTGTGTTGGCGACACGGGCCAGGCCCATTATCCGTACTACGGAGCCCACGTCGCAAAAAACAAGGAAAACGTCCGCATTCGCCATTGTCGCGTGCCTTTCGGCCTCCTCGAAGTGGCAGAGCATGCGCAGCGATCGCCATCGGTACAGCTCAGATTGCCGGGAAAACTTTGAGAAACGCAAAGAGGTAGCAAATCATCGCTCGCTCGATTGTTGCCTAGTCTGTTCTTGCTTTATTGTGCAGAAGAATGCCGGCGGCGCGCAGTCATAAAAAAGGAAACAATCAGTTGTGACGAAACGAAAAGGTCTAACTGTGCGTCTGCTTCCTTTGGACTTTCTGTCGTTCCTTTTCTTGTTCTTCCTCTCAGGATCACAGATGTTAGCGCTTACAATTTGCCACATTCCAATCCCTCCTCTGTGCTCCCGATCCAGGCGAGGTGGGAGCGTTCGAGCCGTCAGAACCCTGCTCGAACATCCGACGCGTCTGAACAGGTCCGACTCGACAATCCAGCCTGACCGGCGGCCTCGCCGCAGAGCGAAGGGAACTGATGTAGTGCGCTTCTCTCGACTTCCGGCAAGCTCCGTCGAATTTCATGGATCAAGTTCGGCGGGGTTGGAACCGCTCCGCAGGGCCTCAAATCCCCGAGCAGGAGATGGACAACTTGAGCTGGATCTGCCGGTGGAGGATGCGCGTTCCAAAAGGGCCGCATTTTGAAGTGCTGTGGAATTCGCCGTAAATTGACCAGCATGCACGTGAAAGAAATGGGGGAGATGGCACTGCTACCCAAAGTTGTCTTGCCCACTGACGCGTGATGGGATCCCCCGGAAAAAGTTCCACGCATACAGTGTTTAGACTGTCACGCCACAGGGGCGATGGGCTTCAATGCGATACGGCTAGTGTTTTTTATATTTAAATATTTAACACGATCGATATAAAAGACGGAAAATTGCATCAGAGGTCGTTGGAAAAAGTTCATTAGATGGTAAAACTCGGGACTGGGGTAAAAAATACGCACACACTCAGACTTTAGAAAGAGACGGAGAAAATGAGACAGACCACGTCTTAAACTCTGCACAGCTCATAGTTTTAGTGGTAATTCACGAACGGCCGCGTGGCGACCCACGTTGTGCAGCGATCCGACGAAGTTTGGCAAACCCTTCACGCCTGCATGTCTCTCCGCAGGTGCAGCTGCCCAACCTGAAGACCTACCTTCCCCCCGAGCTGGCCTTCACGGCGCCAAAGGTGGGCTTTTTCTTGGTACTTTGGGTGCACCGGCATCGCGAGGAACGCGGTTTAGCTACCCGCGGGTGCCCGCAAGCATGGCGATGCGTTCGATGCACCATTTGCACCCAACTGCCCCAAAGTTTGTTGTCTGTTGGGTGCGTTAGTTAGTGCGGCGTGCACTTCTCGCTAATCGCCGACGGCACAGTTGTGCATGCCGCTTTGCCACGCTCCAGCCACGCGTGTAGGAGAAGAGTGCCTTTCCACAGCTCGACGGTACGCGTGCGCTGGGGCGGCGCGTACGTAATTTCACTAATTTATTTCGTCCAGAAATTTTCGGCAAGAAGGAAAACGAGACCGTCGTTCTTGCCGACGAGTTGTATTCACCGAAATAAATACCGCAGGAACCCGCAATGCTGTTTCTTGGTTCGATAAATATTAGGCCAAGGTGTAGGTAAACGTTGATTTGTAAAGACATTTTGTGTTTTCTGTTTTACCTTTTGATCCAGGAAATCCGGTGTTTTCAAAACATTCCCATTTTGTCGCCGGGTTCCGGCTTTCTTGGTGACATTGTTTGTGTGGGCCGAAAACGTGGTTTTCTTTTCTCTATTGGACCCTGTATATGGCGCGATGCCGTTGACGCGAATGAGCAACCGTCCGTGTTTTCTGCATTTTTCTAAAGACTGGACGGCTGCCAGAAAAACTACTAGCGTAGTGCAAAGTCCTTACCCCAGGCAGTAACTCAAGCGATAGAGCGAGATTAATAGAGAGAGAGATAGGGTGGAGTCGGCAAGACCACGCTTGGTTGCTTACCTACTACGCTCGGTATCCCGAATATTCAACCTAGAATGTTCAAGAGTGATCGAGGGTGAGACCCACTCGTCAAGGTTGTGTTGGCCTCCTCATCTTTTACTCTCGGAGCGAGAGGAAACTCGAATCTTCTAGAAGTACGGAGAAGCGTTCCTTCTCAGTCGTGCATGCGGCAGTATCGTCTGCGGCTGTACGTCGCGAGGTAAAACGGAGCATAGTTTGCCGCGCGCTCCGTCACTTTACAAAGGAATGGTACCGAGAGGTGCTAGTTTCCGCAGAGCTGTTGTGCTCCAGCATCTCTGGTCGTCGTCCCATTTTCACCTCCAGAACACGGGAGCAGACGCTGGTGCGCCCGGGTCGGCTCGCCGCGGCGCCAAGGGCGGCCCCGCCGCGCGTCGGGGACTCCTCCAGCGTGGCGGCAGGGCCAGGCACGAGGGGGTGGTGCTGGTGGACACCTCCCTGGAGCCCTCCCCCGAGGTGGGCCTGCAGGAGGAGACGGTCGAGGGCGAGGAAGAGGACGAGGAGGAGGTGGTGGACGACGTGGTGACCCTCTCCCCGCACGACTCCCTGCAGAGGTGAGTGCACCCCGGGGGCTTTGTCCTTGGCTGGCTCTGTTTGTTCGCACATTTGGGTTTGACCGTGCTCAAGCGCATCGCGATTCCTCTTAACCGCTTCACACCGCCGATCTCCGCGACAATTGCGGGATGGCGCTTCTCCACTCAGCGAATGCTGCCACTGACGGCTATCTTGGGCCCTCCTATGTCGGCCGGTCGAGGCGTTGCGGAGGCCGGGCGGCTTCGTGCCGAGACTTTTTCTGCCCGTTCGCCGTTATTCGTCGAAGAATTTCGTTACCTCGCAGTAGCAATCCTAGCTGCCTTTGAGAACAGCCGAAAATTTTTACGAAGACGCAGCACCGCAGAAAAAAGGCGCGGCTCGTCGAACGCGAGTCCCATGCTTGGGCGGCGTGATCGCAGGACGCGCCTCGGTACGCCGAAGTCCCGTGTCTCTGTGTTCTTGCACGCTCGAATATCGATCGACAATCGACGCCTTGTGGATGCGTCGACCGTCTGGGAAAGTTTCACGAGAGCAACGTGCTTGAAAGTGAGGGAGTTTCTAGAGTAGCGTTTTCCTGTGCTCCGACGACTGTAGTATTTGTAACTCGCAGAACTCGCACGCCAGAAACGGAACTGATTCAGTGGCAACGTAACGGAGGGAGGGGGGAAAAGGGGACGCGCCAATCATTCTTTGCTTACCAGACATTTCTTCTGAGCAATCGGTTCGATAGTTGGGGGTGGGGATCTTTCTGCACCCCGATCTCCCCGAACCTGCATTGTTCAAACGCAGCGATGGGGTTCGACCCGCACTTAGCAGCTCCATAGAAGGAATTTGCTCTCACGATCTCGGTTCCACGGGGCACCGGTTAGTTGAGAGTCGAAGGGAAGCTCTTCTTTTGGGGCGATCGGACATTCGCGCCGGTGGCACGGATAGCCATGAACCGAGGTGGTGGAAGTCTGGAGCAATCGCTCGAGGCTACAATGTTTCGCCGTATTTAGTTTCTTTTTTTTTTTTTTAATTTATTTATTGTTTTTGTGGAAATTTTGTAAAAGATTCCACGGGTCCTCAAAGGCGGCTGCTGCAATTTACGTGGAGTATTAAAAAGCATTTTTTGTCGAATGACGGCGAAATTGTCGTAGAGGTAGGTGCTTTACATGCACCTGCACTCAGCCAACGCCGATGATTGGATTTCTCCCAGGCTCGTTAGTGGGCGGCCAGAGATACCAGCGGACAAAGCGTGCAGTATTATACACAGCTAGGGGGGCTACATTGCAGACTTGCGATGTGTCGGAGTCGTCAGTCTGCATGCAAGAGCATCCAGAGTGTTATACTTTTCCTGCGTCTTTTAAGAAAATTGACATAGTACCACCTAATAATAAAAAAAAAACTTTTTTTTCCAAATTTGTTTGAGCAGGTGCATAGGATGCTTTCAAAGTATCATATTCGAGCTATTTTTACTTCCGTTAAGATCTCACTTCTGCATCCACCAGGTGTACACTATATTTTCATTGATGAGAGGAAATGTTACGTCTGTCTCGTTGTTATTGGCAGACATTTGAGCGAGAGCTCCGAGAAACGGCCCCACGAGCAGAGACGAATGAGGAGCGTCCGTTCCCGTCGTCTGCTCTTGCACGGACGCCGAACCGATTTGGGAGCCGGTGCAAGGTTTTGAGGGACGGCTCAAACTCATTTAGAACTGGGACAAATCGAATGCACCGGTTCCCGCACCGCTGAACCGGTTTGGGTGCATAGAATGGACCTGACGTCGAGATCGGTTGAACACGCAGCCCGGAGTCCGAGCCGGCCAAGGAGTCGACGACCCCGACCCCGACGGTGGTGAGCCTGCGTGCCCTGCGCCCCACCAGGAGGGACCGGGCGGCGGCGGAGGCCACCACCCAGGAGGCGGCCACTGCCCAATCCCAGGGAGGCCTGGAGCCCCCGGACAAGCGGTGAGAGGACGCTCCGTCCGGGCCGAGGGGCCCGGCGGAAGCCACGCGCTCGCCGGACTCGTCGACCGCCTTCCTTTTGTCGCCCGACCCCCCTTCTGCGCACGGGCACGGGCGGGAGTGCGATCGCGTGGCTCCTCTTGGGATGCATCTTTTCTGACGCCCTTGCTCTTGTGACTCTTGACAGGCCCAGGTTGGAGGAGGTCGCAGGGGTTCCCCAAGGTCCAGGAGCACAACTGGTTTGCCTCGACAGGCAAGTGTTTCCTCACCAAGAATGTGGACGTAGTAGAAAGAAGAGAAGAAAAAGCATACTGACGTCCTTGGCGTTGAATACCGGACGTTTTTGATAAAAGAGAACGGCGTATTTCGGCTTGTGTAGATAAACTGCGCTTTGCAAAAGGCTCAAACTCCGCGAGGGTGTGAGGCCAGTGGTAGAGATAGAATGCAAAAGTCGGAGGATGTGACGTCACCTGGATCGAGAGAGAATTGGGAAAGACGAAACTTCTCTACGAGCCGACGTCCACCTAAGCCTAATGTCGTCAAAACGAGAACTAGGATTCTGGATGCACGTGGCATTTATGTCGATGAAGGACATTCGTCGGCGAGGAAGGGAATATTGTTTTCTTTCACGCTGATAAGTTTTGTTCTTCGCTGGAATAGATGCTACGAGCACCCACAACAACCGCATTCCTTGTTTTGCCTATAATAGACTTAGGTGGATGTCGGCTCAAAGAGAAATTCCGACTCTTTTTTTTTCTTTTGATTCGGGTAACATTGTGTTCTCAAACTTTAGCGTTCTATCCTAACCGCTAGCGTCGCATTCTTGCGGAGTCGGAGCTTTCTGTGACGCATAGTTCATTTATGCAATCCGAAAAACACAGTGCCGTTTTCTCGTGAACGCCCGGCCTTCAATGTAGACAGCATGAAAGATTTGTGCGAGCAGTCACAATGTTGTTCTGCTATGTGCCTAAGATGTGAACCGAAAAGGATAGGCCAGCGTTTTGAGACCATCATCCAGCCTCCATCCCACTGTCACATCTGAAGCTGATCAGACATGAGAAGTGCCTTTCGAGAGATTCTCCACATGACACAGTTGAGAAGTGCTACACACTCGTATCACTTCGCTGGTGACTGTGTCACTCCTTTAGTCTGCATCACGGCCACTCTAATTGGTGAGAAGCTCCTATTCACCTCCACCCTCCCAGCCATTTCGGTCGCTTGTGTCAATGAGGGTTGTGACGAGTTTAGACTCGCACAGAATCTCTCCCACCACAGTCACTCGGAATTGGTGGCGGCGGTACAGACCGGTTTTTGAGATCACCGGTTATACAGTTATTAGAATTAGCAAATTATTTGAATTTGAAAATCAAATAACTGGATATTTGAATAATCGGTTACGGCAAAGAGGCCGAATCCTGCGCTAGCGTAAGACTGACTACGGCTTGCCACACTACGGCTTGCCCTTTTGTACGTGCTTGGGCTTCTGGAACCACCGGCGTAGAACATTCTAACCTCAAATCAGCAACACGGTTCTCGAATTCACCAGAACGTCACGTTACAGAGGAAACAAAATTGTGTACCCGCAGTCAGGCATCGAACCTTGGCTTTTTGCGTGGAAGGCAAGTGCGATAACCGCTAGGCCACCAGCGTGCTACCCACTTGGTCAGGCTCGTGCGCGGCAATAGTTTGCTCTCCTTGCCAAGCCTTCAACTGAACCGGTCGCTCAATGGTTGTTAAGAGTAAAGCAGAATGCCTCGTTCCCTCTATTCTCTGCAGTTTTAGCATATCCGTTTCGGTGCATCCCAGACAGCGCCGCATAATCCAGGGACGATGCGTCTGTTTAGATTTTTCACGAAATCTAGGGTCGTTGCGTGGCCTTTCTGCGCAATAATCCCTCGTTCGCTTTTTTCGAATGATCGCTTTTGTCGAAGTTGAATGTGGTCCCGACCGAAATGTGCGCATTTTGAAATGGATTATTCGAAGTGTATCGGCGGCCGACTACGCTTATTCCGAAAGCCGAGTTGCCGGAAACACGCGAGCCTACAGAGAGGTGCACGTAGGCCTCAGTGTTCCCTCCCCCTTCTCCACTGAGGCAAACGGAAAATTGCGAAAACGGCAGACAAGAAAACGGAGCAAACAGGTGACTGAGGGCAGAGCACCCTTTCCGATGCCGACGCACCGACGCGGCCAGGGAACGGCGTCCGCGTTTCGACGCGACATCCGCGGCCGATGCTGCTCGACTCCTGTCGGAACTGGGTCGAGGGAGCGATGGAGCCCGGAGGAAATAATCCCTTGAGAAGCTTCCGACGCGTGCGCCTGCGCGGGCACGGTTGTGGCGTGCACACGCGTCGTACAGGAGGGCGGAGTGTTTACGGTTTGGGCGTGCACACACGTCGTATGGGAGAGCGGGAGTGTTTATCGAGAGTCGCTTAGATCTGCGAGTTTGAGAAAAGTGGCCAGCCCAAGTCCGAAATCACCGAAGAATTTGACATTCCGGCGTCGGCTGTTTGACGCTGTCCACCGTTTTGCGGAACAAGCGAGGTTTGCTGGACGGGGTCGAGAAGTTTTTCGCGTGAGAGAAAGCGTGCCCGTGACCCCAAGGTGAAAGATGGCCAACTGCTTCGCCGACTTCAGAGTTTATTGCGAGGACGCTTGCCGAGCTTGGGCACGATTCTCACAGCTGCTACGATCTCTATAGCAGTGTGTGCAAAAATGTTGGCGATGCTGCCGAGGAATACATTGATTTGTTTGCGCTTCGTGTATCCTGCGATAGAAGATCTTGCGTGCGGTCAGAGTAAACATGAAGCGACGTCAGAGAGGCACCTCGGGAAATGCCGACGACTGGGGAGATGCGAAACGTTCGAAAACCAAGTGGAGTGCAGCGGCGGTGACAGTGTTCGTGCGCTGCCTGGAGCAGTTTGAGAACTGATGTCCGGATGAAGTTATCGGCAAACTCCAGTTGTTTTTTTTTACTCGGTAAAACTGCCGCGAGTTCATAACCGAGGTTTTGTTCGATTAAATGCACGGTCGGAGTGTTCCACGGGGCTCCCGTCCACCTTTAAGGCTGCTGTCGCCGTTTATTTTGACTCTCGCCTTCATCGAATTACCGCTTGTATCGGATTTCTCTGCCGTCCCGTTGACTCGGTTGTAACGAGGGATTACCGTACGTACATTTCCGGAGTGTAGTCGGCCTGACCTCTTGGCACATGTACACGCAGCGGGGGTGCGGAGGTGGACCAGGAGGGCGCATCCACGGCGATGGTTGTCGAGGGCTCAACGTCCGCCGAGGCGTCACAGGCAGCACAGCCCCGGAGACCCCTGTGAGTCTCTCTTTCCCTCAACCTGCTGCCCCTGCGTTAACGGCGTGTCTACCTCTATGGGTCGACGAATTCTAAAGTCCGGATATCTGAACGAACGGGTAACCTAACAGGTCCTCGGAATATCTGGCTACCCGTTCTCAAATTCGAACGAACCGGCTGACCAGTTATCCCCAAGACAGGTTTGTGCCGGTAAAACTCTCCTCCTCGACGGAGAGGCTGTAGGGCTGAACGCCCAGCGTTGCCTGGCGGAGGGCAGCGTTTGGTCGGGGACCCTCATTCCGTTAGTGAGAGTGCGGCCCTTGTGGCTCGTCTCTTGCGAGCACCAATCTCCGGCGGGCGACTCGGAAAGTTTGGCGCTGCGGCCTTGCTATCTACGAAGGAGGTGGTGAGGGAAAGCGCTCACACATACTGTCGAGACCGCTCATTGCTAAATCGATGGAAATCGGGAATCACTTCGCTATATCCGCTTCGTTATATCTATACTCCGTAAAAGTTGCATGCAAAAAGCGAAAAAGAAAACGCTGGCCGGCCCGGGCACACATTCATCGTGTCTGCAGAAAGCAGTCGAGGCTTCCCTGCACCGCTTTCTGCTAGGTCGAAGCTGCTTCTTGCCAACTGTAAGAAGAAGCTTCGATCAAGGGGAGATCCTATGAGCTACGTACGGGCTGCGTCGATATCTGCGACGGCCGCCAAAACGAGTACACCGGGATAGGTTGGTAATTTCTTCGGTTTATGCGCACTTCGTCGAAGATGGCACGCTTCTGTCTTAAGGAGATTGCCTTCCTCTTCCCCGTCGAGGTGCCGGCGGTGACGGGACCTAGCGCGCTCGCCATCATCAGGTGGCAATGATTCGCTGAATCGGTGCATGAGTGAGTTGTTTTACTTTCGCACAGAGAGTGACCACACTGACCAGCAACACCGACACAGAACACGGAGCGAACAAAGAAGCCTGCACGGCACCAAGTTCACGTTTCAGTGGTATAGAGAGCCTAGATTTAAGAGAGGGGGTAATTGCTCGATCGGAGTCGCTCGGTTTGTGGGCCGCGTTTCCAAAACGAGCTGCAACCTGCTAGGAGTCGAAAGTGTTCGTCGTATGACAAACGCTCTGTACAATTTTCTCACCGTGCTGACTACGTGACAACCAATCTGCACGGGAGGCGTCTGCCATTAAATTGTGAATGCTCGCCACGGTTGAAGTTGCTCCCTTTCTTAAATCTAGGCTCTCTCTGTTGGTACATCGTTGCTAGTGCTCCGAACGCCCCCGTCGGCGTGCTGCGACGGCTTTTCCGCATGCGATGCGGAAAAGCCGCTTCCCGTGTGAGGAGCGGGGAGCAGACGACCGTGCGGAGGCCACTGCCACCGGCCTTTGCAGCTTCGTCTGCCGCTCATTGTTTTTTTTGCACACTTTGCCGCTGCGGCTCGGCCGCAGCGGCAAAGTGTGCAACTTTGTAAATTTCCTGAATCTAGTAGTTTTTGAATTTTCGCATAATTTTTCTTCGCTATATCCGTGAGAGCCACTCAGTTTTCTTTGCCAAAAACAGACACAAATACATTCAAAAAGTGCAAACTGTAGAGGACTGTGCAGGGGGCAAGAACAAGCACGTGCTTTGGGGAAAATGGGGAGACTCGAAATGGCATGGTCCACTGGTTCTTATGATCCTTCCCAAATTTGCGTTTCCTTAGGACGAGAGGGTGCACTGGCACGCTTGCACCATCTACGAGGTGACCGTAGAACTGCATTTTACTAGAGATTGATGGTGGCAGTGTCTTCCCTCGTCGTAAGAGATTTTAAGAGTTTTTGAAGCGCACTGTCATAAGCAGTCGCACGCGCGTAAACCAGTCTTAAGGACTTCGGGCACCCCCATTTGAGAGCCAACGTGACCGTTGGAAAGAGATTTTGGAGTTCCCGCTTTGGAGCCCCGGTTTGAAGCGGGGCCGGTCCACTTTGGGTGGCACCCCTTGCCGGAGCTAACTGCCAAGTGCACCCGGTTTTTGCGTGCAGCCGGTCGGCTAAGCTCTCCAACGGCACGGAGAACACGAGCCCCAACGGCAACCCGGACCCGGTGCAGGGCGCCGCCGCCACCCGCCGGACGGCGGCCGCCGCTACCCCGGAGCCCGGCCAGGACACTGCCGTGAGTCACCTTCCCTCCGCGTTGTTTCCAACATGCCGCCGGTCAGGAGGCCCAGCAAGGCGGGTGGCCGCGTTGAAAACGAGGGCACCCTCGAAGACATATTCGAGAATGGCGGGAACACTATTTACGGCATTGTTTAGCACGCTTAACGAAGAAAGAGTTTCTCGAGAAGTCTGTGTCAAAGCGACAGGGTGCGGTACATTCGTTGTGTTCTGATCCGTAATCGCCGACGGGGTGAGGACAGTGAGGACTAGCTTCGGTTGCCCCGCCTCTAGTGCGACCTTCTACCCTTGGACGGCGCCCCGGCATCTCGTGTGCCCCGAGCGCGCAGCATAAGCGCGACAGAAGAGATGCAGCGAGTGTTCTAATGACGCGCCCTGCCGTTCTCACTCTCGGTGACCGTAGTCCAAGACACATTTCGTGCACCCTAGTGCGACGGCAGTTGGTCCGGCAGGTCGGCCGTCGCTAACCCTCGGCCGCCCCTCTGCCCTTGCAGCCGACCAAGAAGACGCGGCGGAAACAGTGACGCTGCCAGCGGAGGGTGCAGCCCCGTGTACAGTATTCATGGCGCCACAAACGCCGCCCACCGGGAGAGCCTTAGCCAGACAGCAGACGCAACCAGAAACACAGTCTCACGTGTACTTACACATTGCGTGCTTGCCCTCCTCCATGCTTTCTTTTACCTATTTAACTTTTTCCTTCGTCCCCACCGCGCCGCCAGCACCTTCTTCCGCCGGTCGTTCGATCGGAATCCCACGTTCGACGCGTTCGGCCTAGCTAGGCCTATACGTTTGGGGGGGGGGGGGGTTGCGCATGTTAGAGCGAATTGTTGCCAAGCGTCTCGGAGGTTGTGCAAGTTAGAATGAATCGTCGAAAGGGAGCCGCAGTGAGACGTGCTCGATGATAAAGCATGGAGAAAGCAGCTTGCCGAGTTCTAGATTCAGTCTAAAGATTACTAAATCTGCATGCCAGGCTGGATGCCTATTAGGCTTAACGGCGACGAATTGGGCACGACCGTGCTGGGTCGTTTGACTTAAAATGGTGGCCCACGACCATGCGAGGTCGTCCTTAAAGCTTGGGCCGTAGATAACGACGCATTCCCCGTTGAATGTAAATTTTGCGGTAGAGTGAAACGGCGTTGCAGTTTGTTTACGCAGAGAAATATCGTGTAACTTGCTCGACCGAGTGTCGCAGGTTGTGCTTAGGTAAACGCTACGCGAGCGTAAATTGCGCGTCGAAGCGACCCGTCGGAAAGGTACGTCTGCACAGGGGGGATGCGTTGCCGAGCGTTAGGCCTAGCAAATCGTGCGGGGTAAAGCGATATCCTTAGATCAATTGGTCGACGAGTTTTTGGAAGAACGTCGTTCGGCCCTTCTCCGTTGCCCGCCCTTCGCAACCAGGTGCAATCGAATGGCAGTCCTAGTGGCACCGCTCCCACGGGCAACGAAGGAGGGCCATTCTCGAGCTACGCTCTCGTTGCAAACTTTACGTTTACCGCGTAGGGTGGGCCGATGACGCGCCACGAAAAGGTGCCTCGTCTTCTGGGAAGCTCGTTAACCGACCTTGATCTAGTGACGTCGGGGAGGGGAGGATCAGCCGAGTCAAACGAAGAAGCGGGGAACGTGCCGACGCGGTGCTCTTTTTATCTTTTTACCGAGTTTTCCGCCGGAAAGATGGCGTCCAAGAGGAGTTTTGATTTGAGCGGGCCTTTCCAGCCGCGGAGGGACGCTACGATTTCGTTGTATGTTTTATCGCCTCGTTTTTTCGGAAGCGAGCCAGGGGGCCACCGACGTCCGAGGGAGACGTTTTGCCAGGGGTTCTGGGAAGTGCACCCACCGCCCGTTCCGGAGGTTTTTTTCCTCAGTTTGGTGTAAATAAACTCTCTTTCTCAGCCTCGTGTGCACGGTGCATTTTCTGAGTTCGATTGCGTTTCTGAGCGAACCGTCTGCTCTTTACTTATGAGTACAGGCCTTAGTGCACCCGACAAATGCACTACGACATAGGGGGAGTTCCTGTGAAGCGAGAACCCTGTTTTTTGGCTAGGTAAAAAAACTAAGCATCGCAGGAAGCTCTAACTTTGTGAGAATATGACGCCAGAGGTTCGGATAGAACACAAAGAATTGAGAACATAATGTCGCCCGACTCGAAAGAATAATGAGGAAAATCAAATTCTTCTCCGAGCCGACGTCCAGCTAAGCCTAATATCGTCGAAACAAGTGAGTGTATGCGCCTGTAGTATCTAGTTTTTCTCAATTATTTTTCGATGGGGGTAGTGTCATGTTCTCAAACTTTCACGTTCTGTTCCAACCGCCAGCATCACATTCTCACGAAGTTTGAACTTTCGGCGGTGCGTAGCTCACATATTCGGGCCCAAAAACGCGGCTCTTGTTTCTGGTAAACTCCCTGTCTTTTTATTAATTACTGTGCTTGTCAGCCACTTATGCAGAGGCCAAGGGAACTAGAACCACGCAATGCAGTGTAACATAAATTATAACAGTTGAGACAACAATAATGTAAAAGAGTTGCTGTACAGCGTGGTAAATGTAGTGGTAACACGGATTGTGGTGTGTTAGTGTGGAGTAACTGTTAATGTGTGTGGAGGTGGAATGGCACGAGGCGGCCCTGTGGCAAGCAAGGTAAGTCTTGCGGGGGCCATCTACTGCTGCTGCAGTAAAAATGCGACTTTCTCGGAGCCTGCTGGAGTCTGAAAAGGAAATGTGAGGAAAACGGGACAATTGTCCCGTTTTCTGCACCCGTTTGTTCCGTTTTTTTTTATGGTTCCCCATTTCGGGTTCTACAAGATGTCAAATATTTCCCGCCCTTGCTAGGATGCAAGGGCGACTGAGATGGAAACAATATTTTTGTTTTGAAAGGCCCGATACCGCTTTAGGCGTGCGCTTTAAAGCGCACTACTCGAAGCACGAGCTCCCGGTACTAATATTGCTTTACAATAACACGATCTGCTAAAATTCTTGCCTAATTAATTCTCTATGCAATATTTTAAGGATTTATTGTTTGAGCGATCGAATTTGCGGGTTTCTAAATTGCGTATATCTACCAGGAGTCAGCTGCTAAAGCTCCTCAAACCAAGTTGCGGGTGACTGCAAATTTCTTTTTATATCCTGTTCTTTCTGTCAAAGATTTTATAGCCCTCGTGGTCTAGCTTTCAAAAACGGGTTTTTTTCTTCACCATTAAAACAAGATGAAGAAGGTGTCCGAGAGCTGAAGTTGCTGCATATTGCAAAGTCATTGTTGCACACCATCTTCCTCTCTCACCAGAACGGTGGACGACGGAAACATTCTCCCCAGTTCTCTGCGGAGTATGGGGAGTAGACGGGACCTTGTTTTGCCCTTTTGAGGACTCGCGGGACCTTGAAACGCAGTGGTGAATGTGCCTGTCCCTGGAGAAAAACTCCGTCGTGCGAATCGACTTTTCCACGGGCCAATACGCACCCGCGTCGGACAACAAGCGCCTATCGAACGGGGCAATCCTACGACTCGTGACGCACTTTCTGAGTTGCTGATGACCTCCCTGCTGCTCTACAAATGGCCAAAGTAATTCAAACCAACTCGCCGTTCAATCGGTCCGACTCCGATTTCCCTTCGATGTACACTTGCATTTTCGTAAGCTGGGAGGAGCGGAGTGGGGGAGAGTAGCTATAACAGAGGTGGCCAGGCTGACTCGGCCCAAGAGCTGCAAAAAGAAACCGCGAAACTTGAAAGAGCCGCATGGAAGAGGAAAGGCAGAAAACTTTTGTCCAAAGCAACAAACGAAATTCAAACTGCTTTCAATCTGTCCGAGTCAAAAGCAGTTCAACTGTATGTAAGGTAGCAGTAGCACAAGACTTCCAAACCTGTCTTTCGATTAAAAACGCCTTCCATTTCTCTTTTTGGGGAAGTATTCGTGTAACGGGAGGGAGGCAGGGGAAGGGGGGGGGGGGGTAGTGGAGGAAGTTGCGAGCCGCACTTAAACGCAAGAAGAGCCGCAGCTTGGCCGCCCCTGAGCTATAACCTCGTTATCGGTGTCCCCACGCCGCTCAATCAGTTTTCATCATTTTCTTTGACGGAGACTTTCACTGAATATGCGCGGGTGGTACCAGTTTTTAAATAGCGGAACCAAAGTTTTGTTCTAAGAAGGCCTCTTTCAAATACGGCAACTCGAGCGATATTTCGTCGAAAGCTTGCGGCATCCGTAGTTGATGAGGGAACTAAGGAGTGGTTAGGTGAGGTACTCCACTGGGAGCAACGAACTGTCCAGGGAACGAACAGCTCGAGTTCAACTGCTTCTGAGTGAAGGGCACTAGGGTCATGGGGAGGAATGAAAGCGGTTAATCTATATACGCTCTATTTGTTTTTTTGGGGTTTTGTTTGAGAGTGGTTTTATGACAAACCGATAAACCTAGATTGCGTGGAAGCATGTTTTTAATAATATCGGACTTGCACATTTTGTTTGCTTTTTTATTCTGTTAATAAGATTTTAACGATAAATTAGGCTTTGCATTGCAATAAAAAGAAAATGCCCGACGCATGCCTAGACACGGAATTTGTAGCGAGAACCTGAGCACAACCACCACAAATGTTACCGTTGAGGACGTGGGAGAGGCGCTTTATTACCTCGAAAGCGCCCGCCTGCTCAATCAGCTATTCGAGACCTTCGAGAAGTCTCCTTTATTTTGCCTTCAGAGTGTCTGTCACATCGTTTGTGTAGATTTCAGATTCCGGCATGGTGACTTTTTTGTATACACCAGACATTTGGAAGTGCACGTGCCTGGGGCCTACCACTTCCAGTTCCTTGTTGGCAAGGGCAAGGTAAGTTGCTGGAAGGACGACCACTTGGGTGTCTTGCAGCGCTGGTTCGATCCCCATAGCAAAGTACCCACTTATGGTCACATTACAGGTCCAGGGAATATCCTGAAAAGGAGAAGAAAAGCATTCGCAGAGTAATTGCAACTTCAATGAGACATTTGTTGCACCCTTAAAGAAAATGTCTATCAAGCAGCCCGAGTTTTTGCTGCCTCAATAGGGTTTCGCAGTAGTGTGCAAGCACTACTTTCCGCACAATCGACATACCTCAAAAGTCTGTTTGGTTCTTAAATTTTCACCTATTCTTTTACTGGAGACGTTCAAATATTAGATAAACTTAATAAATGGCCTAACATACATGCAGCGATTATATGGTTACATTTATTTTTTGTTTTATTAATTTGAAACCGACAACATACCAACTTTCAAGCATGACGTTTCATGTGAAACACCATAAAACATTGTTAACAGGAACCGCGTGCTCACATTTGACATTGCACTGCCGTGACTGCGCATGTACCGCTTTACTAGAAAGTGCCGTCGTGTTGTATAAACACAAGGACCAAAAAGAGATTGTAGAGGCTCACATAAAAAAAAAAAAAGAAAGGCACAACCTGCACGAGTCGGGCTTTCTTGGCTTTGATAGACAGTGAGGTACTGTGATGTAGAAAAACACTAGTGCCAGCAGGGGGTGTCAAACACGCGACCTGTGACGGCAGGAAAAAACACTAGTTTCTGCCACTGCAGCTTCTACGCTTCGCAACTCGAGAACAAAAAATCTATGGAACATGCGGTTTGTGCCCTCCTTCATTCGAGAAATGCCCCCAAAACATAAATTTTTAGTCAAAATTAAAAATTACTCTTTCAACCTGCCCGATTTGGGATGAAACCACCCACATATATATATATATAGGCAAAAGTAAAGTGCGCGGACACAGCAGCCGTAGGATGATAAAAATCTGACTTAATTGCAAAAAAAGTCACGCAAGAAAAAAGGTGAAGTGCCGAAACGTCGACGGACGTCAGGCCCCTTATTTTAGAGCGCAGCTCTTAGGCGCCCGTTTCTGGCTTGAGCGGCGTCGCCGTCGGCGTAACCGCGCGGTGCATTATGGGTACATTTTCCCGAAGGAACCCGAGGTCCTCCCGAAGGACCTCGGGTTCCTTCGGGGGGACCTCGGAAGAACCTCGGGTTCCTTCGGGAGGACCTCGGGTTCCTTCGGGAGGATCTCGGGTACCTTCGGTGACCTCGGGGAGGGGGTCACGTGACCCTCCTCCCCCCGAGGTCACGTAACCCTCCCCCCGAGGTCACGTGACCCCTCCCCCGAGGTCACGTGACCCCTCCCCCGAGGTCACGTGACACCTCCCACAGGTCACGTGACCCCTCCCCCCGAGAACACGTGACCCTCAGTACCCTTCCCTCCTCCTCAAGAGCTGCGCTCTAATTCGGCGTTACAGGGAGTTGTAAACGGCTTTGATTTTTTTTATTTGTTATTTTTTATTCTTAATTTTTTATTCTATTTTCCATTTCAAAATTTATTTTTGTAAGTTCTTGTGTTTTAACTTTATTCCGTCCTTCAAGTTTTTTCCGCGTAACTAGCGCTCTAGTGCCTAGCCTTCATTATTCCCGTAAACCAATACAACTTTTTTTTCGGCACTTCACTTTTTTATTTTTTGCGTGACTTTTTGCCATTAAATTAGGTTTTTATTTTTATCATCCTACAGCTGCTGTGTCCGCGCACCTTACTTTGGCCTATATAGCAACGGAAGCATTTGTAAACATTTGTGACTCATAAACTTGTGACTCAGAAACATGTATTTCTACTCTTAATTTCTGGGTACAGAAAGTTGGCGGAGGCATCCTGTTTAGAAATAAAAATAAATCACTTACTGTTGTGGCGGTTTTGGCGTACCACTTTACTTGAACGGTCCTACTAGGAGGAACGTTGACTCCCGTGGCGACCGCAAACGTCTTGAGTTTCGTCTGAGTGTCAGTCGAGGCGGTTTCTTTCGCGTACTTAGTGCCGACTGTGGCACTCAGTCCGAATTTCTCTTTCCATCCGACGCCTCCCGACACCTCAAAGCCAAGGCTGAATCCTTGTGTCACTGTGGTAGATGTTTTTTCTTTGCGAACGGTCGTATGCGTCACGGTGTACGTTTGGTTTCTTTTCGCTTTGTTTTCGTAGAGATTGGCGTACAGAAGAGTCCGGATTGTATCCCTTTCTATTGGCGTCCCCAATTTTATTTGGTCCAAATTGACGTTTAAAAAATATCTGCGAAATAAAAGACACCGTTGAATCGATACAAATATACTTTGTCAAACTAAGGAATTGATAAACCGTCGATCAGTGTACGTGCAGATTTTGTACCGGCGCTGCAAATACATACGTCGACTAGACATAGCCGGTGTGCACTCCACCGTGCGAATATCGTCACGTATTAATTTACTTTTTTCATTTCTTTTATCGACAAATTTTTAATTTTTTCCGCAGTGTACGTGTTACCATGGCGATCAGTACGAGTGTTAACGCCACTCCGCGTGGCCCGTGCGGTGCCAGTGCCCTCTGTTGAACGTAAAGTCACTTCGCTGACGAGACACGTCGCGTCCAACGAACGTTGCGAGGTTCAGCACTTCCCGATCGTCCGCTAGAGACAGTTTAACAAACACAAGGCCACGCCTCGCGTTCCTTAAGCTGTCGGCGAGTAAAGCGAATAATGGTCGGCGGAATCCCGAAGCAGACCCTATTCTGATAGCAATGCGCGTTACCGAAAGGAGTTCGCATAACCATTTTTGTGGGGGTAACTTTTTTTTAATACGATTTGCTTCGCGTGCATTTTACGAGCGCCAAGGCCGCGGAACGCGTTGGCACACGTATGATTTTATCCTGTTGCGAGAGCTTGAGGTATCTTCCATGACGTCGTAAGAGCGATGCGTGACGAGGCATAAATCAGACGCCAACCTTATCGCAGGAAGTTTCGCGTCGCTCCGAGTTCCTCTCGCGAAGCATTCTACGGGAAGGCACTGGTATTACCCGTTTCGGGCTGCGCATACGAGCGCGACCGGCGCCACAATTCAATGGAGCCAACCAAAGAGCGTCACTTTGTACGTTTTCCATCACGGGCAAAACCAATGTCGCTCAAAGAAAAGCGCAGGATCGCAGCGCATCCGCTGTGCGTGATTTTATTTTTGCCGGATTTTGGGCATGCGCGCAAAGGGAACGAGCGCCGTGACGATGCACTTTTGCTGCTGCCTTACTGAGTAAAAATTCGTAATGTCGTCTGCATTCGGCCGTAGTCTGAAACCGCTTATGGTCACAACATTTCACAAGTCAGAACGTCCAACAGGCTACGTGATACCCGAGCCAGAACGTCTAATGGGTCAGAACACATATAGGTCGAAACAATCACTGGGCCAAATCATTCGAGGAGTTAAAACGGCCATCCGAGTCCAATGAGCTAAAACATACATCTAAACGTCGACGTTCGTGGCGTAGCCATGGATATTTTTCATTCGGGGAGTGTTTTCCTTTGGTAGTGAGGTTTGCGGTTTGAGGTAAGATAAGATAGAAGAAGTGTGTACGGACCCCCCCCCCCCCCCCCCCCCCCCCCCCCAACACCTCTTATTCCTACTATAATACGCTCAGGATGAAAGTTTTCCGCGGTGTTAGATTTTAACTGGAATACACAGGGTGTTCCACGTTAGAGTGACAAGCACTCCTAAAGGTAGTGTATCTGAGGTAAAAAGGAAGTTTTGTCGTAACGCCATTACTCGTGGTGGCGGACGTCAGAAAATGCGAGATACTTACTTATTAGTTTGCTAATTCACAAAATGGACTAATTAAATTATTGATTAGTGAAAACAGAATTATGGTTTTAATTAGAAACTTGCTTAGCGTCATAGAAAACCACTAATATCAGTCATTTTCAGAAAGACTGAGCGCGTGAGAAACTCAGTAGTGCGCTAAAATTACCACTCGTGGAGCAGCTGCAAGGTTGGGCTCCGTGGTACACGGTCCGCGGACGAAAATCGCGATTCGGTCCGCCGTGTGAATCGGCTATAAGAGACGGAAAAATCGCGCTGGTGCCTTCCCGCAACCGCTACCCTTGTACCTGCTCCACGGGTGGTAACTTTAGTCCACCACTACGCTTCTCACCCGCTCAAAGTCTTTCTGAAGATTAGTGATTTAGGAGTTTTCGATGACGCTCAGTAAGTTTTTCTAATTGGAACCATATATCTAATTTCACAAATTAAAAAGTTCACTAGTCATTTTCAATTCAATAAAGAACTAATTAGTAAGTATCGTGCATTTTCCGACGTCCGCCACGACGAGTAATACGGTCCCGAAAAAATTCTCCTCATACCTCGAATACACGAATTTTAAAAATTTTGCTCACTCTTACGTGAAACACATTGTATATGGGTGGTTTTATCTCAACTCAAGCACGGATTTGAGACCAAATCTTTAATTTTGACGAAAAAAAGATATGTTTCGGGGGAGAACCCTTTTGTGACAGGGTGTGCAAACCGCAGGTTCGGCCGATTTTCTGTTCTCGAGTTATGGACATTTTAAGAAGCCGAGGCGCAAACTGACCTTACTCTCGCCTGTCGGAGGTGTCATTCTTTACTCCTTTCTACTTTCTGCCTTTTTTTTTTTTTGGTAGTGCAATGCAACTTTTTTTGGCCACTCTCAGAGTAGGGATCACATGTGGTGAATAATTTTATTGTGATTATTTATCTTCACTTCTTTTTTACATATTGTGAAAGTCTGTCCCTTTGACAATATTAATCAATGCTTGACCAGCTCTGCCGTGTGATCTATTTGAGATATCGTAACAAATTTAGTATTTTCAGAAAGCTAAGAGTATACTCTTTTTATTGATAACACATTTAATGTTGTGTGCATAAGAGAAAAGGCAGTGTATTATCGTAAAGCAAGGACTATTTCAAAATTTTTGCAAGTTGGAGGTCGATTAAAAAAAAATTGCAATATTCATTTAGCTGACTTTTTTTTTCTCTAGCTAGCTATTGCAGTGCTTTATAAGGTGCTATAGACGAAAGATGTAATATTTTGTTTGTATGGCAGCTCTAAAAGCATGAGGCTGATTTTGTTTGACTGTTTTGTCAGTAAATCAACTTACTCGCAAAAATACGCTAATTCAAAATTGCCGCCTCTCATTTTTTTAATAGATACCTGTGAACACACGTATTCTCCAATAAATAATTTTAACGCGATTATTTATATGAAATATATTTTAGAAACTTTGCCAATATGATGTTTTTGGACAATATTTGTGAAAGTTTACCAGCTCTTTCGTGTGACCTATATGAGGTGTCTTAACATATTTAGTATTTTCAGAAAGCTTAGAGTATACTCATTCTGATTATAACAAATTTGATGTTGTGTGTAAAAAAGAAAGGGCAGTACTTGGTCGTAAAGCAAGGACTATTATATAAAAAAATGTGAATGACAGGTTGATTTTTTTTTAAATCCTACCTTTTATTTGGCTAATTGTTTTCTCTAGCTACCTATTGCAGTGCTTTATAAAGTACAATAAACAGAAAATGTAATATTTTGTTTGTATGGCGGCTGTAAAGGCTTTCATTTGGGTTTTTTTTCACTTGTCGCCCAGTAATACAAGTGACTCACAAAAATACACCAACTCATAATTAACGCCTCTGAAATGTTTAGTAGCTACTTGTAAATTCCTTTAATAAAAGAAGATGCAAACGGCGAGCTATGCTAATTAAGTGTCTAGGTCATGATATCTTTAATGTTTTCTTTAATTGTCAAACCGCCTCTCTGCAACAATATTTGACGATAGTTCAGCATGCTGTGCTGTGTGACCTAATCAATTTATTTTTATGATATTTACGTCACCGTAAAGCTCCAAGTAAGCTATTTGAGTATAATTTGAATATTGTACGCTAAGTATATAACGCGCAACATGTACCTGAAAAACGTATATTTCGAAAAACTAGCAAGTTTGGAGTCGTGTAGAATAAAAATGGCGCGATAATATTTTCTTTGTGCGAGAGTTTAGGTCGAGGTTTAGTTACTTTTTAGTAGTGAAGAGTTTTGTCATCTGTTCATTCTCCGACTTCGTATCAGTCCACCTCACACGGACACTGTAGACTTTTTCAAACATCTTGACGAACTTTTCTACTGCAGCTTCGAGATTGAAGACCTTCGGGGTGTCCTCTAGAGAGAAAAGAAGCAAAGTATTCAAACAGGCCGTATTGCTCGCATTTATATACCCCTAAAATGTGTATTAATATACGATGCTATCATCCAAGAGAAAAAGAGAGTAAGAAAAAGAAAAAAAAGCACAATTTTTATACCAGAGTGTAATGTTAGGAGGTTGGTAAAAGTCCATGATAAGAACAACGTGAACAGAAACGAGAAGCATCCCCAGATATCTGCATGATCGCATTCTTAGGCCATTTCTTAGCGGGTTATGACAGCCCTACTATATAAGTCCATGCACTTAATATTTAAGAAAAGATATTGCAATAACACATTAACGTTCAACTTTAAAGATGTTGCCACGCAAATCCTCTATTATACGATATACTACAATTCGTTTGCCAAAGTGTCAAGATGATGGCATGTATACAGCAGGTTCCTCGCCGAATAAGCTTTTTGAAGTATTGCCACCACGGATAGTCCCTGAGCTAATCGAATGTACAATGTATTCTTAGATAAACAAAACACAACCTAACTATATTTTAAATGTTTTTTCCCAAATCTTATGGAAAATTTTGTGGCTTCTATTATGGTTATTTTTATAAAAAAGAGAAAATCATATTTCGGCAGTGCCTCTCGTAATCTTTTGACAACCTGCTAAGCTTATATGCCCCAAAAATTTAAAAATAGAAACAAAGAAAATTTCAAGATTTGATATTTAGAGCAGCCCAGAAGAATTCATACCCTGCTGAGTAAATTTTTCTCTCAAAGTTATCTGCTTAGGTTCCCGAGTTTAATTTTCAAAATCAGGTGCGTTTATACTCCTTTAGCCTGACGTTAAGATTCGTTTCCAAAATTATTCTACAATAAACTAGCTAACAAAGACAGCAATGTTACATTCAGATACTTTTTTCATACTACAGAATTGTGATTCTGTAGTATGAAATTAGATTATATTAGAAGATTAGAAATGAAGTGGCCGACATACTAGCCCGCTACCGTCACGACCGAAGAAAATACCCGGCACCGCACCCAAGACTATCAAGAGATGAAACCACCACCCTCCGAAGACTGCAAACCAACACGTATTTCCCCCAGCACCCTTTTTCATGCTATCTACCCTGTTCAATACCCCGCCAGCTGTGATTTTTGTCCTCCCGGCAACCTTTACCATCAGGTATGGGAATGCCAACAAACCCCGGACCTCACTCCCAATCCCACCCGGCCCAACGAGCCAACGAGCAGTGGATGGCCGTCCTGACACGGCCGGAACCTGCAACATCCAGCAAGACCTGGTGACGAGGGCCCGGGTTGCTAGCCACAGCCAGGATATCCCGGACTGAGTATGCCCTCCATCGGGCGGGTTCCCTAACATCTGCGCCTGATGCTCGCTAAATAAAGATTTATTCGATTCAAATTTTCAACCTATCCTCATTAATGTTTTTTTCTCTTCATTACAAAAGGTATTCTAACGTATAGAATAAAACATGTTTGTGCATAACTGAGGATTAACTGTCCTTGTCAATTTAATATTGATGGATATTGTTTGATCAAATATGTAACTAGAAACGGCCTCAAGATAGCGAGTTTCTGCTTGAAAACATGACTCGACAGAACAAGGCTCTCCTCTGGACCACGTAGGAGTGGGCAAGGGAGCATAATTATCAGTTTGTGTGGCACCGAAATGGACCGTGCTACAACTGTGAGGAGCGAAAGGGACTTGTTGAACTTGAACTCAGTGCTGGTACTAAATCCACCCTTAATCTTTAAGTTGTGTTTATTGTTCCCATCATGGCAGTCTCAGATTATGTATTACCGTCCCAATTTGAAGCATATATTGGAAAAGAGGTTTCTTCCTCGTCTTGTTGTCTGCATGTTAATATTCAGTCAGCCAAAACTAAAAGTGTTGATCTTGAGTGTCTTTTTTTGCTTAGTTCATTGATTTTGACATTATCATGTTTTCCGAGACCTGGCACATGGAATATACTCACGTTTTTAGGCTACCGCCATACGAATTTTTTTTTCTCAATCGCACTAAAGGACGAGGGGGAGGTGTGTGAATTTTGATTGAGGAAAACATTCAGGGGGGGGGGGGGGGGGGTGCGAATTATTGCCTATGTTTAGCGTAATCACTAAGGACTATGAAGCTTTGTCACTGCGAACTAAGCACGGTATTGTCTCTGTGTCATTTATCAACCTCCCAGTGGCGTTTGGCTCCTCCCTGTTTGGACTTTTTAGGTGTTTTTTTTTTAGTTTGCTAATGAAAAGCTCAACATTCTATGTGGTGGTGATTTTAACATGAACGTGCTAAATAATAGTGTTTCAAAAAGAGAACTAGAGAAGTTAATAATCATGAATGGTTGTCAGAGCGTAGTCAGTTTACCAACTAGGGTAAATGTTACTTCAGAAACGTTGATCGGCTGGTTCATTACAAATTACAAGGTAAGCAATGTAAGGTCTGGAGTAATAAGTTTAGACCTTAGCGATCATCTTCCTCTTGCTATCTGTGTTAAAACTAGCGGTATAAAGAAACAAATGCCAGTGTCTTCTGTGTCAGTCTAGTGTATTACGCCGGACGGTTTGGAGAGGTTTGCGCAGAATGTAGCTAACACAAACTGGGATAATGTTTTCGAAAATGGAGACCCCAATGAGGCGTACAGTTTATTTTTGGAGCGCTTTAAAAGCCTTTGCAGTGTCGATTTCCGATGCAAACTAATTAAAGTAAAAAAAGCGGATTCGGAAACCTTGGCTAACGGTTGACTTACTCAACCGTTAGTCAAGGTTTCTTCCTGCCAGACCAGTTTTCTTCAAAACGACTGATTTAGAAGTATTTTCCATAGTGCCAGGCTGCGCTTGAGGGCATTATATTTTATGTTTTGTGACTAACTGGGAACAGGTTTGTTCTCAAAAAGTTCAATGGCAAGGCGCAGGTGCATAAAATTCAAAAGACAAACTTGTGATTTCAAAGGCGACTGGTTACGTACTAAGTTTTTCCTTGTAGTTAACGTACGTGAACAGTGTGCATTTTTAATGGGAAGGTTCTCCGATGTTGTTTTTTTGTATTGGTTACTTGCAACTGGTGTTTTGTGCTTGTGTTTATGGTATGAAATTTTCAAATGTAAAAGTTCTCCAATGTTTTTTTTTTTTTTTTGATGGGCTACTCGTTAAATAAAAAAATAATTTAGATGGATTCACTGTTGTTGAATTTTTGGTGGGCTTGGGATCAGTCAAGCTTTTTGCAAACAACTGTGTTTTCCTTGTCTTCCACAACATCGTGTTTGTCAAAAAATAAAAGCAAAAATTGTTATTATTTTTAGTGCGTTACAATTACCGAACCATACCTAATTTGAGGCGGTGCTTTTCAATATGGTCTTATTACGGAAGATTTGTCATGATGGAAGCGGATAATAAGATTATCATTCGCATTTTAGCAATGCAAGCTTTGCTTCTGTAGACCATGCGGACCACCGCGCTTCCCATGCACCCCAATTTTTTTTTATGTACTGAATTAGTTATTTTTGATGACACTCAGAGTTAACTAATTAAAAATTATCACAAATTTGTAATAGTTATTCGAGTTATTGGGGCGATTAAACCCCTCTACATTATGTCCCCCTTGGCTGTCTAACTCACCTTCATAGACTGCATTAGTGTAGCTAAACTAACACCCTGTATATAATATATAAATATAACAAATGTAATATCAAAGTATTTTCGGGCGTGGTGTAAATGCCGCATAAGTGACACTTTCTAAGATGATGCTGCACAAGGCGGAATGCAGATATAAATCAACGGGTAGAAACTTATGTGCCTGAAACACTCTGGGCAACCTGCTGGTCAAAATCTTTGATCCAGGTTGCCCGCACGTTAAATCGTCTTTAGTTATTTCCACATTTCCACCGCGAGGTGGTCAAGCCCAATCGGCCACGCGAGCGGCGCTCCGCCGCTGATAAAACACCGGCGCAGAAGTATGCGAGGGGCTTTTGGGGTCGCCGTGGACCGCGTTGCCCCTTCCGCTAAGCGTTCCGCAACGAAGAAGCCGCTACTGCGCCTGCGCGCCGATGGCCCTGACTGCAGAGTTCCGTGTATCGTTGCGGAGGGCGTTGCGCGACGGCGAAAACGGTATACGAAAACTTTTTATTGAATGACTGCGTTTAACCAGTTCCTTGTGTCATTCTCCGAGGCGGGTAGCATGAAGGAAAATCCTACAACATGTACGTATAAGGCCGACATTGCATCCTTAGAGACGTCTTATACTGCATCAACCAATGATACTTGCACATGTTTTGTGCTCTAGACCCACTCACGTCACATTGAATGCGTTCAATCATCTTGCGCACCAACACAACCATAGAAACCACACTTCGTTTCATCTTAAGATCAGGAGCAGCTGACGCTACGAATTGATGGGACCGATCAGACGGCGTCGAAAGCGCACCATCATGGTGTTCGTCATGATTCTGCTCTTGTGACGTGCTTTTGATGCTGACTGATTGGTTAAACCACCGCGTAGCGTCGGCTAGGTATAGACTTAAAGCAACTCTCAAGTTCTTTTTGTAGAAGCTTCGTTTTGATGGCATATAGTTTGTTGGGTTTCAGTCGATACAAATGACCAGTTCCATATGGCAAGACGTACTATAGTAAACTCGCAGAAATACAAATTCAAGTGCAATGTTTTCTTGTTGCCGGGTGAGGGGGGGGGGCAATGAATATACTTGATTGCGCGGAGATTCCGAACGTTAGTATTATTGCTCTTTTTCAACACCTTGTGCATTATACTTAAAAAAAAGAAAGTCAAATATTTGGGTGGAGAAGAAGTAATATCGAAATTATTTTCGAAAACGCCGTCCGATGGGGCCTCCTGATGTCCGCTCTTGTCCTTCGGTACTTCATTTACAAGTAAAGACAGCCAACACAAATGAGAAAGCACATTCCGCTGGAACAAAATGTCTGCATTCAGTTCAAACCTCTGCTGTGTGCCGCCATTCGCTTCCTAAAACTTGCACCGTCACGCAGTCGGCGCTCTAAATAATGTCGCTAATTCTAGGAAGCTCTGCGTGTCACGATCTTTGATTCGATTTTTAATACGAAAATCGATCGCCCATGAATTTTTTTAAAAATAATTTCTCAAGGTATTGTTTTTTTTTGCACGCGGCACTCGGCCTCTGGCGGAAATTTGCACACGGCGTAAGCGTTTAAAGATGAATACGCCACGTGGGGACAAATAAGTGAACTAGAAAATCCTGCCTCAAGTTTCTGGTCATAGAGGAGATAAAAAGGGACAGGAGGAAGCGACACTGCTGCACTTTGAAAGCACAGAGACCATCCATCATGCAAGATAGTAAAAACGGTACATAAAAAAAAACCACACAACAACAGCAAGGCATCCACCTATGTAACCCAACCTTCTATAGTTTCGCTAAATAACGAGATGATAAATTTTAGATTTGGGATAGTTGTCGTCACCTTTCCACGAAATCCATTCTGTTAGCGTTGCCTCGAGCTGGGATAGTAGAATTACCTACAAATGTTGTGATACCATGTACTATAGTCGCCGACATGTTAAGAAACGCGGGGCGTGACATTTTATGTTCACGCTGCTTGATTCCTTCTTCCGAGTTCTAATCAGCTAATTCTGCTAACTCATTGATTTCGAAGAGCCATTAGGACGCTCTGTGGTCTCCTCAATGTGCGCATCATTCGCCGTCAGTGACCGCGCTCACTCACCCAGATTACAAGTGCTGTGTGTGCCGTGTGTCTGTTTTTTTAAAACAAACTTCCAGTTTTTAGCGCTTGGTTTTCTTATTTTATTTCGTACTATTCTTTATCTGCGCAGGGTTTATCAATAATCCCTGATATTGTGCTTCGTTTCATCATAAGTGAGCGTGCTGCCGACACCACGTGACGAAAAGTTGAATCAATCCGGAAATCCGCACCAAAAACGCAGCGCCACGTCGTTCATCCTTCACTTCGTGGGATGAACACCGCTAGATAAATCAAGCGCAGTGAATGTGCCCAGATTCTGCGCTTTTTTACTCTTCTCTGCATGTGTGTCACCTATGCTTTGACTGCACTCAAACTTATTTATACGATGCCTAAAACAAAGTACAAAAATATTGCTAAGTACGTTTAACATTACAATAACACGTTAACAATCCAGTAGTACTGGGTAACGTTAGGTAATATGACCTGAATCCCTATTTTTTAAACCAAAATCCACGATTTTTTTTTTTTTTGGGGGGGGGGGGGGGGTGATAAGAAGCTGCTATTATTTCCGGGAAAAAATCTGGCTTAGTGTTTCAAAGGCCGCGAACAACCTTCGAAGTTTCTTCTTGAGGAGAGCAGCAGAATGCTGCGAGCTTCTAGCCGCTTCGTGTGCGGTTTGGTCACCGTAACCGTAACGATTCAACGAGATCTGTTCACCGTAATTATAAACCTTTATTTCGGGGAACATGAGAGGTTAAGAGTGAAGTGGAAGCTCCCCCCCCCCCCCTCTTTCCACTTTAGCAGAGCAGATACTGGAAAGGGGGCGCCTCCTCTTCAGCCTCCTCTCCACCTCACTCTTAAGCCAGTGTTGTAGGCCTTACCAGAAAATTGTAACGAAATACGTTACTTGTTACTTGGAAATAAAAGGATCGCGTTACCATCCTACGTTACCACAAAATAAAAATAGAACTCGTTACCGTTACCGACAAAAAGTTATGCACGTTACTTTTGCGTAAATTTTATAATTATGAAATAACACGTTTTACTATTTTGACGTTAGAGGAATGGGTAAGCGCCATATTTCAAGAAACATTATGTTCATGCAGAAACCGAACATAATTACCTTATCTTTACGGTTTTGCATAGATACAAAAGAAAACGCAAAGAAAATCGCCAAAACTTAAAAAGTTCACATGGCTTGGCGCCTAGAACCACGAGAAAAATTTAAGTAACGTAACTACGTTACCCGTTACTTGAAATAAGTGAGGAAAGTACGTTATCCGCTACTAGCTTCGTTCGAATTACCTGCACCCCGTGCACCGGTGCAGAAAAGTGTAGGGCAAAGTACTTCCGGTATGCGCATTAAGATGCGACCGGAAGTACGCCGCCTTACACTTGTCTGCACCGGTGCATGAGGTTCAGCTAACTTGAACGAAACTAATTTCTTTTCAAATGTAACGAATATGTTACGCGTAACCAAAAAAAAAAAGTAACGCGCTACCGGTAAAGCCGTCACTTGTAACGTGTTTCCGCCAACACTGCTCTTGACCTGTCACCGACCGTAGTGGTGAAGCTAAGGTCTCCGAAAGGTTCAACACCGCAGGGCGTCGAGAGTTCCGGTTGTCTTATCATCGCTCTGCAACGAACGTCGCATTAGACGATAGGAACGGTGGAGGACGAATCACGAATCGAAATCGTGGACATAATAGTTCACGCCCGGCGTTTCTTAGGTTGTCAGGAACAATAGCGTGATATTTTAAATCTAATCGAGGTAGTGTGAATTTTTCTTATTTTTCTTAGAGCTCTGCGAAGCAGTCGAGCATGCATCGCTACGTAGATTTCTGGCACTCTACTCACACCAAAAGGTTAAGTGTGCAGTGTTTTATTTGCATCATGAATTTATTATAATTAAAACAATTTGCAGAAAAAAAAGAAAAAAGCCTCAACTCACCTGCAGTCTTCTTAGCCTGAAATTAAAACAAAAGAATGCGTGTTGTTTCGTCAATTGAACATTATATTCTATGTGCTAAATATTTTAAGGAAATGATGGGAATCAGATTTTCCTGGGACTTATAATGCACGGATATGTACCTGGTACACACAGAATATGAGTTTGGTCTTGTTCTCTTCGAAATCCGATGAAGGGTCAGCTGCCTCAAACTACCGTAAAGACAGCAACCAACTTCGATTTGAAACTTATATAAAATATAATGCCAATAGAGAAACAGGCAACAAACATGACCAAACTATAATAATGCCAAAAAAAAGAAAAAAAAATTCTTTAATTCTTCGTACCATCAATAGAGACTTTTAGGGGACCGTGTTTGCACACCCGATACTGTACGATGGGTCCTCCGGTACGAACTGCACACATGGGAGACTTCTGTGGCAGCGCATGCGCAGTTTGTACCGGAAGGTACAAACGGTTTCCTGAAACTCTCTAATGAATGGAATAATTTACCGTTAATCGACAATAATCAGCCAAACTTCCTGCCTTTGTCACTGCACTCAAAAAACACTTAGTAAAATAAAAAATGTTAGTTTCCGCTTTAATATTTGTTAATACCAATAATATGTTTTTTTCCATTCGGCATTTTTTCACACCAAGTTATTCAGTGTAGAAATCGCGTACCGCCGCCGATTCGCCATTTCCCACGTGGTCCGTCAACAAACCTAGTCCAGCCTGGTTCTTTCATGGGAGCGGGATTCCGCTCCCCGTTTATTGGTACAATAAAACACAACGCTACAAAACACTCAATCTAAACTACAAATACATACGCGAAATGTATACGCGAAATTACACAAATATTTACACACGCACGTTAAGCCAAAAGCTAAACACAAAGAAGGCCCCCAGGCCTCGTGTTCCGCGATATCCTAGATCCGGTCGTAGAGCCAATCAGAACGCACGAGGGAAGTGGCGCTTGCTGACGTGAGATCCCCGCTGACGAGCTGGCGGTGATATGGTAGTAGATTAGTTTCTGCTGCTGCCATGTACAAATCCCTTCTTAACAATTCTAAAGGTTGGTTCGTTCTGTTAAGGATGTACTCTATGTGAGCATTCCAGAAACGATTTGTAGTTAGATGAACTCCCGGATATTTGTATGGCGTCACTATCTTTTTAAATTTGTGATAGTGTAATCATAATGTAGCATGAAAAGACGGTTAGACGGTTAGTAAATTTTTTTTTCTGTATTTGCATTTACCATGTCTCACACAACACAACAATCCCATCTAGGTCTCTTTATAGCCCATAGGGCACTGCAATCAGACTGATTTGATATCTTACAGTGTGCCACAATCGTCCGCGAAAAGGCTAATTTTTGAGTACTGAAAAATGTGAGATCTTGGGGGTACCTTGGTCAAAATCGAGGCACTTCTTCCAAACTTCAAGGGTTCTTTCCTTTTTCTCACCGCATTTTTCATACAGAATGTACACATCGCGACAGTGCTATCGCGAACACGACATCGGCGCATTTACGCATTTTACTTCTAAATAGTATTAGCGAGCACGAAATTTTATCGCTTACATTATAGAACTGAATGAGCTCTTTCCGTAGCTATAATAACTTGGATGACATCCTTATGTTTCAAAGAGAAAGACTGGAAAAACCGGCGATCGCTTGTTCGCGCTAACAGTGTCGCGCTCTGTAGCAACACGCCTTGGCTCAAGAAGCTCTTGCTTAATTTTCGTAATTTTCCTGCAGCCTGTGTTGTTGACCGAGCAGACGACTGGAAAACGCGGATACGCACAAAAGCTCAATTTCGCGGACAGATAAGTCGCATGGTCGCCCCGCATGGGGCACCTGTGAAAGCAGGTGTTTGGAGAGTGGCGTCTCCACGGACCCCGAGCCCCGCAGGGGGCCCTTGCACTTTAGGTGCTTGGTGAGTTGCGTCACCACGGACCCTGCAGCTACGTGGGCCACCATACCCGCACGCAGGGGGCACCTACTTTGGTAGTTGCTTGGTGAGTGGCGTCACTACGAACCCCGAGCCATGTGGGTTCGCCCACCCACGTCTGGCTGTGCGTGGCTTAACCCGTGTCCGGGGAAAAGGGGACCCTGGTGGTTGAGCTGAGCCCGGGGTATGTTTGGACCCTTGGGGCCCCCCGGGCGAGGCAATACACCGCTTCGGCCCCTGCTTCTCGTAGACGGGTGTCCTGACTTGGCCCGACCAGGATGATTCAGTCAGTCGCCTCTTCTACCCTCTTCTTCCTTCTTTCACTTTTCCTCCCACCTCTTTCTCTTTTCTTCTACACTCTCTTCCTTTTTCACCTTCTTAGGCGGCAAGGACCAACCTTGAGTGGAAACAGGTCCTGTCCCTGAAACCACTCTAGGGTATAGTGCCCGGGCAGCACTGGTAGAGTAATTGTGTCAACCAAGCCCATCTTGCTATGGCACATTACCTACCCCCTTGTTGGGCTCCGTGGTGGGCGGTGCACCCGGGCACTGAAATTTCCTCCCATCTCATATGGGTCAGCGTAACAAAACCTTTCTTGATCGGCCTCTGAAAAGAGGCCGCACCGAAGCTCAAGTCACTCCCGAAACTTCATACTACTCGAAAAATTTCCAAAATTCCTTGTCTTGCACTCTGAAGAAGAAAAACCCCTTGCTAAACTGTCCCGTTTCCTGGTCGCCAAGGTACTAGAAGGAATCGTTGGGAAGGATTACTCTGCTAAAACGATGCCGTCCGGTGACCTTCTTGTTGAAATCAACACCAAAAAGCAAAGTGATGCCCTTCTTTCTCTCAATGCTGTGTCTGAATACAAAGTAAATGCTACTCCGTACCGCAGGCTTAATACAGTTCAAGGAGTTATCTCGGAGGACGACCTAATGGACTCATCCGAGGAAGAACTCGTCGAAGGCCTTTCAGACCAAGGAGTCATTGCCGCTGGACGCATCACCCCTCGTCGTGAGGGTGTAGAGTGTAAAACGAGACACATTATACTGACCTTCGACACCACCACCATCCCAGAGGCCATAAAGGCAGGCTACCTCCGGTGCCGTGTTCGCCCCTATGTGCCGAACCCTCAGCGGTGCTTTAAGTGCCAAAGGTTCGGCCATGGGTCACGGAGCTGCCGAGGAAGTGATACTTGTGCGAAGTGCTCCAGTAAAGAGCATGTCGCGGACAGTTGCGAGAAAGAACCAAGATGTGTGAACTGTGAAGGTCGTCTTCCAGCATACTCACGCTCTTGTCCGAAATGGAAAGAAGAAAAGAAATATTGGGGGACTCTGAAGACCACAGAAAACATCTCCTACCATGAGGCGAAAAAAAAAGTTTTTCCTTCATATCGAAAGGAGGATATGCCGAGGTCGTGCGCAGTGGACCCGCACGGCCCGTGATGGCATCGGCGGGAACACAGACCACTTCAGAGGGTGTGTGTTTCCCGTCAGTGTCCCCTCTAAAACCCACGGGAGCAGTGCCAGCTGCACCGCACCGCAACCGCATGGTGGACGCTGTCCCTTCAACGTCCACCCTGAAACAGTGGATGGCACCCCCTGCCGCCGCACCCCCTCGAGGCCGGGGCCAACCCCGCGTCTCAACGCTCAACGTCTCAACGTCTCAACGTCTCCCTCCGGCTCCCCCCGAGAAGCCTATGGACGTGGGTGGACCCAAGTCCGGCGAGGAAGGTCTTCTTGCTGGATCTGACTCCTCTCTTTCTGCCACCAGTGACTCAACTGGCTAGCAGAAAGAGGCTGTAAGGAAGAAAAACGCCCCACCCAAAAAATATATTTTAAGCCATAGTCACCTCATTTTACTTTTTTACCAGTTTTTATATTCACTTTACACTGGCTAAGCATATAGGCATTATGCAGTGGAACTGTCGCGGCCTTCTACGTAACATAGATGACATCAATTCATTTTTGATGAGCTCCGTCCTGTTGCTATTGGCGTACAGGAGACTTATCTGACTGATTCGCACACGCAGGTTTTGCGTCATCAACAAGTTTTTAGGAAGGACCGCCATTCCTCAAACCCTTAAGGTGATGTAGCAGTTGTGGTTCAAAGTGGAGTGGCATGTGCCGAAGTTCCTTTACAAACTTCACTTGAGGCAGTTGCAGTTCGTATCCTTCTTGACCGCTTTATCACTCTAGTGTCACTCTACTTGCCACCTAATGTTCCGCTGCATCTTCGAACTCCAAGCACTCATCAACCAACTTCCCAAACCTTTTTTAATCCTTGGTGATTTTAACGCCCACCATCCTTTGTGGTGTTAAGTTGTTGAACGACTTTTATTATCAACTGGAATCTGCTTGCTGAATAAGAAAGAACCTACATTTTTTAGTGCTGCCCACAACACTTTCACATCAATTGACCTATAACTATCATCACCATCTCTACTTTCATGCTTTTCATGGAACGTTTTAGACAGTCCCTTTGGCAGCGACCATCTACCCATAATTTTAAAGAGCGTTTTACCAGTTTCATCGATACCAATCCGCTTCCCACGATGGAAGTTGGAAAAGGCCGACTGGTCTATTTTTGGTCTAGAAGCAACACTCAATCCCTCCTCGTTTCTTCATATGACTCCTGAGGACGCGACACTTTATGTTACAGAATGCATTATAAATGCTGCTTCAGCTTCAATTCCACAGACCTCAGGAAATCTTCCACGGAGGTGCAAGCCCTATTGGAATGAGAAATGTACTTCCACTCGGAAAAGCCAGAACAAGGCGTGGGGAACTTTTCGACGATATCCAACTTTTTGTAATTTGATCGAGTTTAGAAAAAAAGAGCACAAGCTCGGTGGACGCGAAAACAGGCCAAGTGGGCTTCATGGACGAAGTATGTTCCATCCTTAAATAGTTTTGTTACTGCTAAAGAAGTATGGGATCGTCTCAAAAAAGTTCGCGGGCAGTACCATGCTTTCAGGATTCCACTTTTCCCTTCAATCTCAGCATCTCTAACAGGGCAAGCAGACTTCCTCGCAGAACATTTTCAGCGTGTTTGTAGTTATTCCAATTACAGTACGGAGTTTGTAAAGTTCCGGTCTACCGCTGAAAAACAGAAAATCACTATGTCAGGCTTTAACTCTGTTGCATACAACAGACCATTCACAATCTGTGAACTTGAAGTTGCTCTCAGCTTAAAAAAGCAATCTGCACCTGGGCCAGACAGAATTCACCACGAGATGCTTAAGCACCTGTCTCATGAATCTTTGTCTCACCTGCTGTCCTTTTTCAATTACTTTGGGAAGCTGCTGCTTTTCCGCATTCTTGGAGAAATGCCCATGTTATACCTTTGCTGAAGCTGTTTCATACTCGCTTTACGTGGATGATGTGCAAATATCTTTTTCGTCCTGCAACCTCTCCAGTTGTGAACGGCAACTGCAGCTCACAATAAACAGAATGAGCAAGTGGGCAAATGAAAATGGTTTTAAGTTTTCCCCAGAGAAAACTGTGTGTGTGCAGTTTTCTCTGCGACGAGGTTTGACTTTGGACCCAATCTTACAATTGAATAACATAGAAATATCGGTAAAGCAGGAACATAAATTTTTAGGCACGGTCTTCGATAAAAAGCTTACATTCAAGTTTCATTTAAAGGAAGCAAAGCAGAAGTGCTTGCGATCCTCTAACATCCCTAAGGTGCTGTCACATATATCTTGGGGGTCTGACAGACGATGCCTCCTTCGTTTGTACAATGCTTTAGTTCGGTAACGCCTTGATTATGGAGCGAGTGTTTATGGTTCGGCATGACCTTCCACACTAAGGATGTTGGATCCGGTTCATCACCTCGGACTCCGGCTTGCCACTGGGGCATTTCGCACGTCACCCGTATTAAGCTTGGACACGCATCAAATGTCTCTCGAAAAACGCCGACAATACTTGAGCCTGTGTTATTATTACAAAGCGCTGTCGGATCCGAAAAATCCTGCTTATACTATCTTACACACCCCTCAGTTCTATAATTTGTTTGAAAACAAGCCAACAATTGTGCGCCCCCTGGATTTTCGAGTTCAAAGTTTCTGTCGCTCTTTCAACCTCCCTGTCCCTTCCACAAGTGGTGTTAACTTGCTAAAATCTATAGAGAGAATTGCCCCTTGGAACGAGCTACCCATATGTTGTGACTGGTCTTTCACCAAACACAGTAAGAAGACCGTTGCTCGACAGGTTCTTCAGAAAGAGTTTCTACCTTTGCAATAAAGGATATCTAGAGGTTGCACGGAGTACTACACCGACGGGTAGAAATCTTTATGTTCCGTTGGTTGCGCAGTTTATTCTAGTAGCTTTAGAAGAGCTGTGCAGCTTGACTCAATGGCAAGCATCTTTACTGCAGAGCTCTATGGTATTTTATTAGCCATTGAGCATATTCTGGACAACAGTGTATTAAACGCAGTCATTTTTGTTGATTCACAAAGTGTCTTAGCTGCTATCTCTTCCAGAGTTTCCATAAAGAATGTACTTACACAACATGTTCGTTTTAAAGTAAACAGAGCTCTGCGCCTTGGACGTAATATCAAATTGTGCTGGGTGCCAAGTCACGTGGGAATTGTAGGGAATGAGAGCGCGGATCGCTTGGCTGCATCTGCCACAGATTCAAAAGCATCTTTTGGCCTGCCTTACCAGGATTTTAAACCACTTTTAAGGAGATCTCTTTTAAAGACTTGGCAGCTAGAATGGGACACTGAAACCAACAACAAACTCCACGTGATTAAACCAGTGGTAGGCATCTGGGAAAGTTCATTTCACAGAAACCGTCGTCTCGAAGTTCTGTTTTGTCGCTTGAGAATAGGCCATTCACGTCTGACACATATGTACCTCCTCTCTGGCGAAGAAGTTGCACTTTGTGCCCATTGTGGGGAATTGCTTACAATTTTACACATTCTATGGAAGTGTGGGTTTTATCATCAACAGCGCGTATCATGTTTTCCTGAACTTTTTGGAAACTATCTACCCTTTCACCCTATGTTTTTACTTGGTGACGGCGCTTTAGTACCACTTAGACAGGTTTTTAATTTTCTTAACAAAACTGGTTATCTACACCAGTTATAAAAAGTTTCTCTAGCCTAGCATCTACTGTTCCCGAGTATTAATAAACACTTTGTTTGGCGCATTGTGGCCTCCGTTGCCGCTGCGCCATTAAAACCTTAATCTTACTTACTTAAGTCGCATGTTCGAGGCATGCGAGTTATCTGAAAATTCCTCTCGGCGGAACAATTCCGTAGTCATCGCCGCTTTCCTTAGCTGATCAAAACTGATTTGAGTCTATTACCGTCTCTCCGGAGCCCATAGTTTCGGTTTTGAACGAAATCTCCGAAACGAAAGTTTGACATGAAAAGAACAAAAAGCACCGGGAAAACAAAACTATGCTCTTCAAGTTTATGTGCACCGGCTACACTTGACCGTCTCAGTTCAAATACCTATAAAATTGGGGATTGAACAAACGAAAATCTGTTAAATTGAATGTGCCGCCCGTTTGTTTGGTGGTGGCGCCCCCTATAGGTCGCTGGAGTCGCGAATAGGCTTAGAGGTCAACACCCATTGTTCACACAGTACACGAAGATAACATTGAAATACTGAAAAAATAGTTGCGATGCGGGATTTGCGGTCCAAAAAAGGGAAAAAATAACAGCAGCGGAGGTATGGGTCACAGCTAACCTGCAAATGAATGACATTTAAGGGCTGTTTATACTCCAACGTTGAGCGCAGTGAACGCAGCGTAGCGCAGAACGCGCGCCTTTTATTCGCCGAGAACCAGGAACTCAATATTTGCGACCAATCAGTATCTGCGCGCGGTGCGCTACGCCGCGCCCGTCGACGTTACGTTGGAGTATAAACGTACCTTTAGAGTTAGCGGGTTCGACGCTTGACCAAGGTATATGTACATTGGCTTGACCGCCAATCCCACTTGACTGGACGTGGGCAGGCCTTTTTGAAGGATCGATGATGCGGTGTCGATAGTGTAGCCGCTGTTTCCCGATAGTGAAGCAGCACGGTGTAGTCTGCCTTGGTGACGTTCAGAGTTTGTGAATTCGACGCTCGATCGCAAATCCCACACAGTGTTATTTTGGCGCTTTTTTCTTTAGCTATGAACCAACTGACCCAAAGCCTTGACTTGTGTAGTCTGCACAGCAGTATTAAACCTTCGCCTTGGCCACCGACCAGGTGGATGGAAATATCGTTAAAAATAAATAAGAACAAACTCACGAAACATATGTAGAATGCTTTGCTTTTATTAAATTCTGCATACCTTTAGACGGGTCCATATCACAAGAGCGAATGACATTTTAGCGAACGGCGACATTTGAGCGAATGATCGTTTTAGCGAATAACGGGGGCGCGCGTTAACCCATCCGTCGCGCTGCGCTTTACGCCGCTTCGCGGCGACAGTCTGCGGCAACTCATTACAAAAATATGAACTCATTTGGCCCACCCGAAAACGCCGCTTCGCGGCGTCCGACTATTCGCTAAAGTGTCATTCGATGAAACGTGGGCGTTCGCTAAAACGTCATTCGATCAAGTGAGTGCCTCCCCCTTTAGACATTCTATGATGTAATTCTCTTCGATGATAAGGCATCGGTCATATTCTAGCTCAAGCGTTTGGATACCCTTATGATAGAACTTGGCAGTGTGTCCTGAGCCAACGTTTGGGCATCCATTGTACTTAAATGTTTGGTAACGTTTTTGTAAAGTATTTGCTTCGAAACTTCAAAGACATGTGTTGCGAGAGAAGAAGTTTAATACGTCGGTTCTCCTGAAATTGTTCGTTCACTTCCTTCACCAAATTGTTAATGACAAGAGACGGTCTATTGCTCCCCGCGATTTGGATTTGGAGACAGCGGGAAACGAGATTATTTCGATGGAGATGTGTGGGAATGCATAAATTTAGAATTCGAATCGAGTTGCGATTGCCCAAGCAATGCGATTCGGATTTTCAAATTCCTATACTATACTCTGTTTCATACTTAGCGTGCAACGCTGTCAAAGCTTTTGGCGCGAGCATGGGGCTTGATCTCGTTCACCATTTGCACGCGTTCTCGCGCAAGCAAAACCATAGATGAAGCCACGCGCTCCCGCCAGTAGCTTTGACAGCGTTGCACGCTAAGTATGTAACGGAGTATAGACCGATCTCACCAGCCAGTTTGACTACGCCACAGCTGCCGCAATGTATGAAGAGAACTCTTTCTGCGCGTGCGACAACCCCGCTGGAGCTCTGCGCGTGTGGAGCAGGAGACGGCACGAGCACTCGCATGCACGGCCATCTGCCTCCTATGAACTAAACTTATGGCGGCGTCACGCATGCGCCGAACGCTTAGTGAGATTGGCCTACAGGGAGTATTCACTGGCGGCCATAGCTGTGTGCACGGCTGCTGAGCGCATGCTGTCGGCGAGCTTCCGCAGTTATTTCGCGACGTGCATTCCGCACCATCAAAATTGCCGGTCTAAGAAGGCTATTAATATAAGCTCGTGCTGAGCATGCGCTCTTAACATCGCCCTAGAATGTGGCGTCCAGTGCATACCCCATATTGCAGTTCTCAAATGCTAAATCTTTTCTCTTTTTTAATAAATAAATGCACTCAAAAGCTCGAAATACTTAAAGTATAGCAACAACGTTGCCTCTTAAAGTATGCGAAAATATTATTATGTTACTCCATTTGACACTTTCACAGCCTCCGGGCGCATGTAATCCTCGTAAAAAGAAAAAAGAAAAAGCTTTCGTAGTACGTTTTGAGTGGAAGCTTTTAAAATGAATTGAATTACCGATATTAGTTTTCTGTGCTACTCCAAAAGTAATTGATTCGACTTACGAAAGCTGGAGTAATGAGAACGAAGCCATACAGCAGTGTTTGGAAAATCATGCTTGTACCGCTTGAGTTCAAAGTTTGACACCTACGGCACGAACCTCAATGCGCCGACGGAAGTCAGTCTCTGCACCCACAGTATTTATGGAGCCTCGAGCTATTCTTTACTCCGCAGCTGTGAAGTATTAAGCTTCTACACCCCCCTGCGCCCCGCCCTTGCGGCCTTGCATAACACCAAACGCGTGCAACGAACCGTCGTATATTTCCGTTCACAAGTTACTTGAAATCTTCAGTGAATTGGGAGTCGTTGCGCTATTCGTTTTTATTGCGCGCTCAAGGTTAAAAACGTTTAGAAGGTGGTGGCAAAATAACTGACGTGGCTAACGTAGCTCAATGCGAATAAACAAAAACTTTTTTATATAATATTTTTATTCAAATTATCTGGTTTATTAATATTTTCGAAGTGGCTTGAAGTAAACGCTACCCGTTACATCGAGAAAAAAAATACGAACAGTTCGTTCGAGATAAAAAGAAAATATGTTTAGACATCGGAACGCGAGGAAGGGCACGTCGATCGAAAGGCGGCACAGAGAACGCACAGGGAAGGCGCGATGGCGAAAGAGCCAAGCGCGCGCCGTCATTTCTTCAGGCCGGGGAGCGAAATGGAAGCACGTGGTCGCATTTCGTGGGAGCGCACGAGGTGCGCAAGGAGAACGCAAACTTCCACGCCTCATACATGGCTGAGGCTGACGTCACTCGGTCAGAAATAATGGGGGAAAGGGCGCCGAAGAGGGTAGCTTCCGCCGCGTTACTGAGGCGCTTCTGGTCACCAGAAAGAAGGGGGGACTGACGTCACGCGCGAGCCATGTCTTAGCGCTGCTCCGAAAATGCGTGTTCACGGCGCTCGTGGCCTCGCTGACTCCAGCTGGGATCCCGCGCTTCTCTGCGGGGTCCGTTCAGCCGATGCGGCGGCACTACCGACACCACCGCGGTGGCGCTGCTGTCGGTACTGCGCATGCGTAGACGCTTCCTCTCTCACCCAAACCTGGTTTCTGCGCACGTGCAGTGACCACGCGTGGTGTGGGCGCACGCGGTGTTGCTTGTGAACAGGGGCCACATGTGCGTTTCTCGGAGGCCATTCGAGCAGCCTGCGGCTGCCCTCGGTCCTCTTAATGACTTTAAAACTTGTGTTTGGGCGAGTTGGTTCATACTGATTTAAAAGGTTAAAAAGCGCAACACAACAAGGACAATAAAGACACGAAGACGACAGGACGGGCGCTAACTCACAACTGATTTTATTAGAAAAAACACTGTCACTTTTATACACAAGATCGTATGCCAAACCCACACTGCAACCAATCACCACTTTCACAAGCAACTATCTAGAAACATTACTTCTTTCTGAAGCAATAAGAGAGAAGGCGCGCTAACGCATTTGTCATCTTTCTTTTTGATATAAAACGCCTCTATAATCTCTCTCTCGGTCTTATCTTTTGATTTCTTTAAACATTTTGTTTCAGCCAAAAGAGGCTTACAGTCAGCACATCGCCTGCAGTGGTCTGCCAGATGTCCCCCCGCGTTGTTCTGCACAGAAAGATTATGCTCGCGTGCCCTATCGTTAAAACAGCGCCCGGTTTGTCCAATATAAACTTTTCCACATCTTAATGGTATCTCATAGACAACATTGGTCACACATTCAGTGTACTGTACAGCGTGCTTTTTTGAACAAAGTGCTTTTTTCTGCCGTGTAAGCATCGGACAGATTTTTGAGAGCTTGCAGGGGGCTGAAAAAGCAACATTTACATCATATCTACTAGCTATCTTTTTAATGTTGTGAGACACTTTATGCCAATAAGGAATCACATGTACACGTCTTTTAACTTTATTTGTCTGGCCGCCCCCTTGTAAGTTAGTTCTTTTTATTTTTTGAAGTAGGCTCTCACAGCAGCTCGAAATTAGGTTATGTGGGTACCCTACGTTTTTTAGCCTTTTTACTTGCTGAGCAAAACTGATGTCCATCTGATGTTTGCAACTTTTTGCAAGGGCTGCCTGAAGACATGTTAACGCGATTCCTCTCTTGACCAGTTTGGAATGTGCACTTTTGTAAGAAACAAGGCTTTTCTTAGAACGTGGGCTATACCTCCAACAAACATGGTCGTTGGAAAACATGACCATAAGGTCCAAAAACCGAATGCAGTTCAGCACGGGCATTTCCCATGCAAACTTAAGTCCACCTGACGCTTCTTTAAAAGCTTTAACGATCCCCGCAACAACCTCATCCAAACCCAAATTTGTGTCTAAATTTACAAGATAATCGTCAACATATCTAAAGACTTTAACTACATGCAATTCAGGTAGGTATTCCAAAATGCGTCTGTCCAATGACGCTAAAAATATGTTACATAAAACAGGGGCAACCGACGATCCAATACAAACACCAGATTTCTGTACAAAGAAACGCTCATTGTAACTGACAGCAGTGGACTGGAGGTAAAAGACCAACAACTCTAAAAAATGTTTGAAAGTTTACCTCTCCCGTCTCGTCTATCTTATCCCGAACAGCTCGGAGTAACCCGTCGTGAGGCACAGAATAATAGAGGTCCTCAACATCTACACAGAAAGCCGAGAGGGCATTTTTACACCCCTCTCTAAACACGTCAATCACTTCATCCGAGTTTCGTACAAGGAAAGGGTCCCTCAAAGCCAAGGTTGCCAGGCTGCGCTGTAGATAACGGCTAACCATAAACTGCCACGTGTTCCTCTCAGACACAATGGCTCGGAAGGGACAATCGGGCTTATGCGTTTTTCCTGTGAAGAACACTTCCAAGAAATTACTTTCCGCTTTTTCGGCTGCTTTCCTCACACTTTCCAAATTCAAAACTTTTAGCATCTTAAGGAAAATCTTAAGGGAAATCAAGTTCAATCCGAAGTCGCAAAAAACTCAGGCTCTTAAGATGCTAAAAGTTTTGTAGGATTATGTAGTATTATGTAGGAATGTGTAGGATTATGTTGATAAAAGTAGGCGTTGACAGGAAACAATAACCCGAAAATATTTACTGTTCCTTATTTCCATTTGTTGCATTGATTTCTGTTACAGTCGATTCTTCTTTTCAACTTGGACACATTTAATAACACATTTCGCATAGAAAGATATATCACCGGGAGTGAACATTATTTGAGTTCAACTGCTGCAGTGCAATTAGCAAGTGTATAAACTGCACAGAATATTAAATGTATTAACAGAGGGGTGCGTTAATAAATTTCCACTATCCCCCCGTCCCGCGTTTCGCTAGCAGGAAGGTGGGCACCTTAGGTGACCCTCAGTACCCTTCCCTCCTCCTCCTCAAGATTTGCGCTTTAATTCGGCGTTACAGGGATTTGTCAACGGCTTTCATTTTTTAATTGCCAAGTTATAAAATAAAAAAAACTCTAAAATCAATCAAAGCATTCTCGCTAATGTGAGAAATCCATGTAAATTACATTAATTGTGGGTAAAGCATATCTTGCTATAAAAGTTGCGACTTTTGAAAATCGGCAAGAGTTACAAAGTCGCCGGCAAAATCCTTCCTGACCAAATGTCCCAAAATAAGGAATAAAAATAAAAAAGATATATTTTTCTTAATTATCAATCTTTTTATAACATTCAGTTACTTTCATTGTTACGCGACGTCGTTTTCCCAATCTCAGCCTTTCCAGTTCGAAGGAACACCTCCCTGCTTGCACGTCTGCTCACTGCAGCACATTGCGTTGGCGTTGCAAGCCGGTGAAACAGTTGTGAGTTCTAGTATTGCGTAAACATGCGAACGCAAGCGCTGTGTTTGAGTTAGCGCGTGTGCGGAGCCCAAAACAGCGGTCTTGGATTGGCGCGTGGCGATGAGGCGCACGCACAACGTGGGGAACGCAACGCTAACTCAAACGCACAACGTTTTCGTTCACTTCTATACGCAATACTAAAACTCTCTAGTAAGGTACAGTCCCATAGCGGCTGCAGCACTACGTCGGGACAGTGAAGAGCGTAGTTTGCATTCGGAAATGACATTTCGCGATCCATGATCGCGCGCAGTTTCGCCGTGCCCGCTGAGCAGGAGAATCGGGGGACCCTCACTCGAGCGCTTCCCGTTTCCGCCGCGGGAGGGCGAGCAACGAGCTGGAGACGCGAATACGTACCAGACGATGGATAGGTATCCCGCACGGCGTTTATTGGAGCTTAATGTCAAAGGAACGGCAGACTCGATCGACGCATGGGTGACGAGAGGCCAGGCCGCCACCAACCGAGTCACGACCGACTAGCACCGTCTAGGGTGCCTACACGCACCCTAGCACCGTCCATATTCCCCGACCAGCAATGCCGTCCAATTCTCTAAGAATGAAAAAAAACAAAAAAAAAACACGAACGACGAAATGGGGAAAATTGAGCCCTCTTATCCCGAAAACGAGGTCAGCTATTCATGCGCGAAAGGTCCACTTCGAAGAAAGGTTCAGGGGCATCTTTTTCCGAGTCAGCAAGGGGCGCCTAGCTGGGCTTTGCTTGTGGGCGTGGTTTTGCGGGTCAAGTCGACGCGTACAAGTCCTTGCCAGACATGTACAGTTTTAATGACAAGTAACCAAATCCCATGTAATCAAATACGTTTTGGAGTAATTTTGTAATTTTTTTATTACTTTTATTAGGGATTAATGACCAGAGTAGTATGCTTACCTTCCGCTCGGGGTCGCTCGCGAACCACCTCCGCAACCGCTTCGCAAAGGCAGCTCAACCGCCGGTGTGAATGCGCCATTGCCTTCTCCAATTTTAGCGCCCACACAAGGAAGCAGGAGTGTAGACGACGAAGGACATCCTCGCGCTCCTGAACCGGCCGCGCCGCCATGTGTACCATCATGCTCCGTATGTAATTATTATATATGCGACAGAGGCGGCGCTGGCGGCGTCGCCTCTGTCTCGCCTATTGTTCGTAGAGAGCCTATAGATTGCAGAGAGGGTCCAACTTAAACCACGGGGAGCGTTTGGAGTTTGATGGCGGACGCCTCCATCACAGATTGGTCGCGAGTGCGCATGCGCTGCGTTATTGCGTGGCTAGGAGGAAAGCAGGTGGAAAGGCGGAGACGTTCGCGGACGACCAGCGCGTTCGTCACCTGCAGCTCGTATTGCAAACGCGGCCCGTAAACCCCGCGACCCCGATCGAGCGGTTCAAAATTCTCCGTAATACAGGCTCTGTTATACCCAAATCACACGGCAGCGTAAAGGTACCTTTAGCTCGGGTACCTGTCGTAAAGGGAGCTGGAGATCGTGATCACACGGCGCACAAAGGTCCCTTTCGCTAAGGGAGGTCCTGTGTTAAACGGAGCTCGCCGAGCTCCCTTAACAGAAGTAGCCTCGAACCCACGAACTCAAAATAAAAAAGCACAAATATATAGATATATCTTGTTTAATGCATATTAACAAATATAATAATAATAATAATGTTTATTTTTCCGTCAAAACACAAGTGACGGAGGGAGACCGAGGAAAAAAGCTGCATCATGCAGCTTGACGGGCCGTCGGCCCCCCTCCTTACATATAAAGGCCCGTTCACACTCTTGCGACTGCTTGCGACCTCTTAAACCTGGGTTCCTTAAAACTTGTTAAACCAGAAAATACACTGGCGCCATCTATTGGGAAGCAGTGTAAACTCGGCGGTCCGGCATATTTTTTTTTTTATTTCTCGAGCGTTATCCTTTCTTTCTTGGCTCGAAAAACTTTCGACAATGTTATAAACGAGCCTTTCTATGGGTATTACGCACATTTGACCTCGGAAATCCCGCAGAACCTTCGCTCTTGTGAAATGCAGTTCCAGGGTCACCGCATAGATGGCGCCACAATGTCAGTGTGTTCCCTCATTCTAAAAACATTTAAGAAGTTGTAAGAGATCTCGTCTCTCTCAGTCGTACTCGGTCGCAAGAGTGTGAACGGGCCTTAAGTATCAAATTATGAAATGATTGTGAACACAAATGCGATGGAATAATGTCTGAAGGTGAGCGTGAAGTGAACATGCCACCGGTAGTTTCTTTTTGATGAGTTTGCCCCCCCAGGCCAACAAAAATATCCTCACGGGGTAAACAAAAAGTTGGCAGACTTTATGTTGAAATGGGTTGCAAAAGGTCAACATATTTTTTCAACGTACAGGCAGCAGAGAGTCTGCAGCCTTTCTGATAAGTATGGCTCCAGGAAGTCAACAAATAGACTTAACATGGAAGCACCAGAAAGTCTGCAGAATTTATATTGAACTGGGTTGCAAGAAGTCAGCATATATTTTTCATCATGCAGGCAGCAGAAAGTCTGCAGCCTTTCTGATAAATATGGCTGCAGGAAGTCAACGAAAAGACTTAACATGGAAGCACCAGAAAGTCTGCAGACTTTATGTTGAAATGAGTTGGAAGAAGTCAACATATATTTTTCAACATGCAGGCAGCAGAGAGTCTGCAGCCTTTCTGATAAATATGTCTACAGGAAGTCAACAGAAATTTTCACCACGTAGTCTTTAAAAGGTGTGTTGACTTCCTGTTGACAATGTCAACAGAAAGTCAAAGTCAGAAGGAAGTAACCAGAGTCGACAAGAAGTCTACATATTTTCACCAGAAAGTCTGAAATAATTTTTGTAAGGGTTCATCCTACGGATTAGGTCGCTATACATATATGTTCCCGCAGTATTCTTGAGAATTTGTAGTGCACTCTAGGAAACAAGTCAGTTCTTAAAAGGTTCTTGGACGCCCCCAAGACTGTTTAATCTCGCGAACAACGGTTTTCAAGCACACTCGCCCCCTGGCGCACTAGAAAAGCAAGTGGGCGATGAAGGACTCTTTCGCATAAAAAAAGGAGCTTAAAAGAAACCCAAACCCTTATAGGTTTTTTCGCAGAGATCCATTTTAGAGAATGCTTAAAAGAACCTTTTAGGGTGTAATATATGACGAGCCAAAGAACCCGTAAGAATTCTTTTACGACCAGGATTATTTTTAGAGTCCGGACAGTACAGTTTTTTTTCTGGTTAAATCATGTAATTTTACTCCAAACTACCTCCTTCTTTATGTGATGACGAAATCCTTGGTACTGCATTGTTGACAACGCGAGGAATGCGAGCAATGGGAGCCGCTGACCAAGAAACTTATTTGAATTTTTTGTTTCTTCTCATAGAAAAAAAAATTGAGGAGGAAGAAGAGATAAGAGTGCGCGCCGAGCTCCAATTGGAATGGTTAAAGGGTAGGTGCGAAGGCTAGCCCCTACCTCCTGCCATTCGAAGTGAACGGGAGCTTCATACGTCTGTTCATACGTAATTCATAATGGTAACTGAAGCTTCCGAGCGAGTGTCCTTACGAATATTCTTTTTTTTTTTTTAGATATATACTGAGTGCATGCTTTGAGTAACGTACCTTGGGCCTCGTGGAATCCAAACAAAACTTGAAGGGAGGCTTTTTTTTCCAATTGTTCGCGTACCGGAGAAGGCAACGGTAGCTTCCGTAAGACATTACGTGGGCACGCGAGAGAAAAAGAAGAGTCGGCAATTGGATCACCAGCAACGCGTTTCCTCGGTTCATTGCGAAAGCGTTCACAAAGAGCGGCGGACAGAATAATACACTTTAGCGAATACGATAAAGCGGTGGAAATCAGTTCGTTGAAGGACCTTTCATCCACGGACCGCTTTGTCAACATGCGACTCTAACATACCGCATTTTTCGGGCTCTAGTCCGTACCCGTTGCATACTCCGCATCTTGTGCTTAGCCAACAGAAAAGCCTTCTCATACATGGCACACTTTGGCAAATGTCTGCTTTCTTAGCTCACATAGGAGTCTGTAATATGCATAAATCATCATTAACATACTCTTTCATTCACAAAATTCGTCTCGTCATAATGAACGATATTGAAAAACAAAATTCACGCGTAAATTGTCCGCACAGCCTAAAATTTCAACTTTCAAACATGCATAGTCCGCGTACTGTAGCCCGGAAAATGCGGTACTCCAAGGTATGTTACACCCTAAAAATAGGGTATCACCTTACACCTTTTTGTCGCATATAATACACCCCAAAACTTCAGTTCGACGTACAGTGCAGTATAGTCGAACAGACGGCCCCAAATTTTACGACGCGCTTGATAACGGTGCGACATATACTTATTAAATAGCTAAAGCACGTATCAAAGACCACATAATAATACACTGAGTATTTACAGTAGGGCCAAGAAAACCCCGATTATTTCTTTTGTAGTCAGTAGCACGTAGATTAGCTATTTTAATAAGTTGCACCACACGGCTATCAAGCCTCTCGTACCATTTGATGCCGTCTGTTCGACTGTAGGGCGCTGTACGTCGTTCAGAAGTTGTGGGGTGTATTATATGGGACAGAAGGGTGTCAGAATACACCCTTTTTTTCTGAAAGTGTACAGCTTTCTTTTCTGAGATCAGACAAGGAAAAAAATATATCACACCTACACCTACTGCAAGAAAAAAAAGAGACCTGTCCGCCTAATCAATAGTTCTGATAAGACGCGCACACTTCTCCGCTTTACGAACAATATAAACTATTGAGCTTCCATCAATTACCCACATATAAACTTGCGGTCTAGATCTATCTGGACTAAACTTCCGAGACCAACTCACCCATCACTCTGCATTCGGCCTCTCCATCATTACAGCACAGGTCAGGATAGCTTTATACTCCTTAATATCGGAACAAATCTCGCCGTACAAACATGAGCATATCAGATTCCAACTTATTTCAACAGATACAGCAACATTCATACACTCATCGCAAGTAGGCTTTCACCAAGCAAATACAAGAATCTTTTAAAGGAAGCTTTGATAAAAGAAAAATCAAGATCAGCAGAATAATAAATGAAGAGTTAACTTATTTCTTACAGTATTGTTATGATATTGCAATGTTGTTTTTATTTCCTTTATTTCTTTTTGTTTTTTGTTTTTTGCAAAAGCTTGTTTTCTTAAAATGCATATTGTAATTAATTGGAGCGTTTCTTTCTAGTTTCTTGTTCGGCTGCCGACAGTTATCAATTGTTGTATTCCTTTTTTATAGCTGCATTGAGGCCTCGTCAGACAATCTGGTCCTTTGCCTTGATACTGCAGACAATATGGATTGTCTAAAGAAACTGAAAAAGAAAAGCTTCTGCAAGTATTTGTTAAACTTCGAACTGCACCAGCTAGAATCTTGTTTGATAGAAAATAGATGTATCTTTATCTGATGGTAAGATGATGTTTGCAAAACTAGAAATCTTTTTTCCTTTATATAAATGCAGCGGGAAGCAGCTCAGGCATCCCACGCGGGAGATTGTTGGAGTTCAGCACCTCGTATACTTCGCATACAAGTACCCAGTTCGGCCGCTGATCACCGGATCCGAATTTGAGGTCCGAAATTAAAGGAGTAGTCCAGGTTGTTCACTGGGCATAGCATATTCCCGTGTGTTGCAGGTTGCTCTACCGGGACGGGGAGATCCAGAGTTGTGTATAGAGAGAGTTTGGTCAACGGGAGGAGCGAGCAAAACCAGGCCGTGCACCAGACGCAGATAGAGGGCTTGGCGTGCTCTCTTGGCCAAAGAGAAGCCGAAAAGAATTCCCTAGCGATGTGCCACTCGAAATCTGTTTTTTCTCGGACAGAGTGTGACCGCTCGGACGAAAGATTCCCGGCTTTCGACGACTGGCGTACGGATTATGTCGATCGTTCTGCTATAGTCGCGCTCGCCCACCATGATTTTGGATGACCGTGATTGAAACATCACGCGCACCATATTTTCAGTCGCCGAGAGTTACTCCGACGCACTTATTAATTTCGTTTCTCGCGACCACCGCCAGGGTATTATTTCTGGCTTCTGCTTGGCCACATTTGAATTTGTGAAGACGCCCTGGAACGCGCCCGGCCCGCCTTCGGCCAATGGCGCCTCCTCATTTACCTTCTATCCTACCCAATGAATGGCCACTCTATATATACGGCTCTGGGGAGATCCAGTCAATCTAGTCGTGCATCCCTGGGGGCGACTGTCGGTCTGACGCGTTGGAGAGGCGTTGGTGGGCGTTGGTGGGACTGACGCGTGGTGAGGAGAGGGTTCTGACGGTCTCCTCGGACGCCGGCAACGCCTGCACGGGAGGGTGTAGCTCGCGCCCTTCGCGGCCATCAGGGCTCACCGGGCGAAGGTCACTAACAGCCTCAGAGCTTATCGGCAAGCCCTGTGTTGGTGAGGAAGCCATACAGCACCTGTAGAGCACTCTCGGTTTTCGCCTTTTAAAGCGATAACTTTACAGGCGACAGTTCGCAGAGATTTCGACCTCGTCTCCGGTCATCGCCTCTTCGGAAAAACCCTTTTCTCCGCTCTTGGCGCGAGGCCAGGGAAGTCAGGTCCCCTCGGCCGCCCCGGTATCCCTCCAGTAACGAAACGACGAAAGGAGAGTCTCCCGTGTCGTCTGCTTGTAAGACTTGTTTTTGAAAGATTTCTCGCGTTATGTGAAATCCCACTTTGACAGTACCCAGCTGCTACGCGTAATGTTGGATGGTTTTAGAAGCATCCACAGCGCTTTCCCACTTCACGGATCACCGAGATCTGGTGACGGTCGTCCGTTGCATCCACGACGCCAACCACGACGGCAATGAGAATCAACCCAGGGGGGGATCCAGAACTCCGGTTTGGCGGGGGGGGGGGATTTGTAAGGATACTATTCTCCCATTCTTTCTTGTGCAACGTGGGGTCCACCCATGTCGAATTGCCCTACGAGAAGGGGGGAAGGAAGGGTCGACTTTGTGAGGGGGGGGCGGCCGCCTCCGTCCCCCCCCCCCCCCCCCCTTGGATCCGCCCCTGAATCAACCACTTCGCGCCTCCGTCCTCAGGCCACGTGGCGGCACCATTCCACCCGCATTGCGCGACCGTGCTACAGCTACCGCTTTAGTTTCTTCGCACATTGTGGGCGAAAAATACGAATATTTAGCCTTGAGGCCTGACGAGCTCCTCTAGCGTGTTCGTGCCGTATCCATGGACAGCGTAGGCCCGCCGAAGCTCAGCTCGTCGCTCGGCGTGTATATCACAATGGAGAAGGATATGGGCCGTGCCCGCCTCCACTGCGCAGTGCGGGCATGAAACATCTCTGGTCGCCAGCGCGCAAAGTTCACAGCTGTAAATGCGCTGCCTATGTACAGCCTGTGCATGGGGGCCGCAACCCTTCTAAGCAAGTTGCGCGGGATGCGCTCTGGGATGGGGCCGTGTTCCAGCTCTTGATGCCGTACACAGATGCAGCGCCTGACGGGTAGGCGAGCGTCGGAGAATGCCGAGACCGTTCACTCCGGGCAGTCCAGACTCGCTTGGGCCACCGCCGCGAGCCTGCCGGGACTCGCGGCGGTGGCCCAGGCGACTTCCAGCGGCGGGAGTCCAGACTCGCCTGGGCTGCCACCGTAGCGGTGAGCCGGGAGCCACTGGAAGGTGATTCTCAAGCCCCCGTTTTGCAGAGCGGTGGCTTGGGCTGCCACAACTCTAGCCGGGGCTAAAGTCCGGTCGAGATCAGTGAGAACCGTCCGAGTGTCCCGGGAGTTGCAGAAGAGCACCAGTCGGCCCGGGTGGTCCTCGCCCCGGCTAGGGAATCCCCAGCCCCAGGCCTGTGAGTTCGGCAGCTGTCGTGTAAGTGGCGTAGAAAGACCTCGGCGACTTGTCTGTTTCGTGCTCGTCAACACTGCCGCCGCCTTGATCGAGCATTGGGGATCGACGAACCAATCATTGTAGTGATGGGTTCGCGCATGGCGTGTATCGAACAAGGGGCAGCTTGTCAGCTGGCATCCTTGGTGCTGAGGTAAGGAGCACGCCGTACGGTTTGGGTCGCATCCGGGCACTTAGGTCCGTCAGTCGCGCACTCAGTCCTTTGGCGTTCCACTACAGGATGGATGGGCTTACACATGAGGTCAAGGAAGACGCCATCTTTTTTTCTTTTTTAGGATAGGGGGGGGGGGGTATGTTCAAGGTCCGGGGATGTCGTGGGGACTGTCTGCGGTGCCAGCTTGGAGATGAGTTGTTTTGACGGCAGGAGGAGCTCCATCGTGCTGGAGCAGGATGCGAGCTTGGGCAGAAAGATGACCTGTATCTGTTGTGTGCGCAGATCTTCTCGTCGGGTATTTAGGAATTAGGAGTGAGCTGTTTGCGGGATCCCCCTGTTCCGAGCGCTCCGTGGGGATGAAGGGGGGGGGGGGGGAGGTGCTCCCTGCCATAGTTGCCGACGGGACTCCGCGCGGGTCGCGTATAGTGGTAGGGGCAGGAGCCAAAAGGGGGCTTGCCCATCTCAAGACGGTCGTTATTGTAGCTTTGGCTTCGCTCGCACATAAGGTGAAACGAACTGTACACCAACTAGTCTTTGTGATGTCAAGCTGCCGCATCGGCGCTGCTACCGATGCGCATCATGCACAAGCGTTTAACCTCGCGCGAATCTCGTTTCTGAGCGCGCGCAGTTTCAATACTTGGTGTGGGCAAACGTTGACTTGTTTGTAAGCGGTGTGTGGGTCTATACCGAATTTTATTGTCTATCTTCGATGAAAGAAATTGAAGAGGACGATTTGAAAGCCGCTCCTCGTGCGACCAAAGCAGTGGTCAAGGCGAAGAGCGCGTGCCCAGAGCGTGGTAGACGAGGTTTAATTTCTTTGTTGTGCTGTGTTAGGAAACACCGGGCTCTTGGGACAGCTAACTCGATAAAGCGCGCCTATATTGTTCGAGCTCCTGCCCAATACTCCGTTTCACCCAACGTTGGTTTCACCTTGTGTTGTGCCGCAGCGAAGGTATAGAAGAGCGAGCTCATATAGCGGTGGCAGCTGCCCTCAATGCACTAGAGTTTGTGCCGCCGAGATGTCCCTTACACTCGGTCGACCCTTAAGCTGAGACTAGAAGCTCCGCCTTCAGCGTGAGCTCACTCTCTTCCGCGGCGCTTTGGTTGCGCATGCCTGCGCGTTTACACTTGTGTAAGCAAGGGCAGAAAGCTCATGCTGAAGGCGAAGCTTTTAGTCTCAGCTTAAAGGGGCCCTGAAACGATTTTTTACTGGTTTTTAATTTGCACAGAGCCTAAGCGCACTCAACAGTACCTTAATTAAATTTTTATTTTCTCGGATTTCGTTTTATTTTAAAATTTATAGGCAAATTAAAATTACACACAAAAAAAATAACCTCTTTTATGACGTCCTTCGTCGCTTGGGTGGCCGTGAACTAGGGGAAGGGTAGTGAGCTCATCGAGCGCTCACGGCTGCCGCACTCTGTGTTGACGGCTCGAGAGGGTGCCACTAAAGCATGTTCTGGATAGGCTGCATGAAGCGGGTAGCCAGGGCGGCTCGCAATGCATTTGCTGCGCGATTAAACACTAATTAGGCAAATTCGGCATAACGCTTTATTGGCCACAAATGACAGCAAACTCGGGGTAAAGATCAGTTCAGAACGGGAGCCACTTCGCGCTGCCCTACCGCCAAACGGCCGAACCGCAAGCCAAACCTGCTCGCCGAAGGCCTTCGGAACTGTCGGAACCGGTCGGATCCTCGAGCACGTATACGACTGCAGCGCCGCCGTGTACATCCGGGATCTTTCTGCGCTCGCCGCTCGTCGGTGCCTGATTCCACTACCCCTTCTTAGTATGTGCCGCCTTTTCCAACGCTGGGTGGCGGGTATGTCGACGGGTCATTTCTTGTTTCCGTACTTTCTAAACTGCAGTTGTTTCTTTTCTGATCTCAAATACTGAACAAAAACTACTTTCATAAATAGCTGAAACGGTTCGCACCACTTATATTTTGTATTTCGACTCAAACGAAGCTTTTAGCGACTCTGACCAGTAGTAAGCCCAGGACCAAATACCTCACATATCGCGCGCTTTCGGCACCGCGGGTCTGCCCCGTCGGTGGAGGAGGTTTCCGCGTCGTCCGGTTAAAATCTGACGCACTGATATTTAGTTACTCTCTCCGTGCCCGCTGGCTTGCCCAAACTTGAAGGGACGTGGAAACCGCAAAAAAGGTAGACGCTTAAATATGACTGCAGGGCCCCTTTAAGGGTGAACGGAGTATACACCAACAGGCGGCGCTGACGTTGCGCCGCTGCAGTGGAGCTGCTATTGGCAGGATGCACGCGCAGACGGTGCACTTGACGCGAATGTGGTTTCTGCGCACGCGCAGTGCCCACTCCTTGTGCGGAAGCTGCGCATTTGCCCAGACCTCGTGAGGGGTTGTTTGGAAACAGCGCGTTGGCTTGCATACTTCGTCTCATCTGAGCATGGACTATTATTAGGTGCGGATGCTGAAGGCGCGAGCTAGTTGCTTTGGATGAAGCCTCGGCAGCTGCACGAGCGCTCTTGCAGCGAGTGCTCCAGCCAAGGCAGTCAAGGCCAGCCTTCGCAGTGAGTCCATGCTAAGGTGAGACGAAGTCAAGGACTTCGCGCATGTAGCCTTTACTGCGGCACATCGTAAGGTGGAATAGCACGTCTTGCATCGACATTGTTCTCCTCGCTCGATAAAAAGAAAAGACCGCGAAGACAAACCACAAATTTGGCGCTTGTTTTAATTGACACATTATAAAAATTTAGCTACCCAGTATTCTCTTTATATTTCGGGAAGTATTCTTGTAATCACAATTTTGCTTTACTTGCCTCCTCGGGGCTCGTATGGACCCCTTTCGCAAGTGCGCCCTCTATGGGAACCTGTGGAATCCATGCGCAATGGCGGGCACAAAAGAAACCGCCAATGATGGGACCTTAGGAACTCTACTAATGACAATTTATTTCTAGCTTATATAGTTTTAGAATCTCACGTTCTGTGGTGTTGCTTGTTCCGCCATTGTGGAGTGCTTCAGACCTTTAGGGGTACTCCGCCGATTTCTTCATGGTCCCCGATTTGCTTGAAATGTTGCTAAACTCGCCAAACAACATCGCCAAAATAGTATCCCAAATATTAGGTCAAAATAATTTTTTTTTCACGAAGTTATTGAATTTACAATTTTGGTCCTCACCGTGTTTTTCAAACTGAAAGTCTCTACTGGCAACAACGAAAAAGTGACGTCATTGGAAGTGCAGGGGTTCACACTTTGGACTGTAGAATTTGTTCCCAACTGATTCGAAGCAGTTTCATGGTGTCAAATGAACGCTTTGGAAGCTCGCTCCAGGACCCGCGCTCCAGCACGGAACAAATGATTGGCATATTCTATTTTTTAGACTGCTCGCCCGACTGGCAAGCTTGCCTTCCACTGACGTCACGGCACTGAAAAGGGCGGGTATATTTGAATGTTGGTTTTTGCATCATTTTCTTTTGCCGATTTCGCGATAACTATTATGAATTTCACGATACTATATAGCATACCAAAAAGGGCAAAGGCCGGGGAGTCAGAAAATATAGTTAGTTGAGGTAGCTCAGAAAATCGCCGGAGTACCCCTTTAACAATGAGCACGTGACTTTCGAAAGGGACTATTGACTTATTTGTTCGAGGTACATCGCGGCGCCCGGAGACGTTACTTTGTAAAAAAGGGATGTGAATATATATAAGCAAGAAGAACATGAGAAAGATGTAGGCACAAAAACAAAAAAATTGAGCTCACATGGTCGTTGTTCAGAGGCATGAACGTAAAGATGCCCGGTCAGCTAAACAATAACCAGCATTTACCATCTCACTAAAAATACAAATGTACATATTATGGAACTCATTTTTTCAGCTAGCGAGTTCCAATCTTACGTTGTAGACGGAAAGAAGGAATAATTGATCAAATCGGTTTTACACCTGTACTTATGAACATTCTTAGTGTGGTCCCGCCTTCCTTTTGTGATGTGGGGAGGAAGAAAATACTTGGTTTTATTACGAGGCGACTATAAAAGATGTGGGATTATGAAACCAAATGTACCTTTTCAGTTTGCCTAAAGAAACGAAAGGCCGTTTAAGGGGGAGAAGTATTTTTTTATTATGTTCTATTCTGCAGTCGTAAAAGAAGTGATGATTGGAATTGTTTTCTTCAGTTCTTTATTTATTCGAGAGTATGTTTCTTCACTGGGTCGTGGTTCACGAACTATATTACGAGGAAGCATATTTAACTATACTCTCATCATAAGGCGCTAATTCCGTCTGGCTGGTGGAAAGGTGATAGCTCTGAGCTACCTTCGCTTTAAACAGCCCTTTTGCCTGGAATATGACGGAATCTCCTTCGTTCGTTAATTGTTCATGTTTAATCTCGGTCACATTGAAGTACTTCCATGTTAAGGCAGTGGGTGAGTGGAACAACGCTGCAACGTATCCCTTCATGGAAATGTTGGCTTCCCATGGAATCTCCTAAAACAATAAAAAAAAGCATGAAAAGAATGTTATGGTGTAATTCGGTATTGAAAGACACATCAGTTTAAGGACCGCGATGAAGGCGCCGTGGCGTTCACCTTTACTTGATCCTAAATATCGAAACATAAGGAGCGTTAACCGTTTAATGGTTTATCTGTGTTTCTGGGTTATCTACAAATGACTCGTGGAGCTTCAACAGTGATATTGGCTTTTTGAGCACTTAATGAAAAAAAAAAACACAGTCAAAATTACGCTTTTTACTAGTAGGGTTATTTAAAAGCGGTTAAGGTGCAGCCTTGAATGCTGTGACCAGAAACGTCTGGGAGACGAGCGACAGCCTTCAGTTGCCCATCCCAAGATAAATTTAACTGTAGGACTCTTACGCCTGACGTCACTTCCGGACACTTTAGCAAGCGTGTCGGGAGGTCTTATTTTACTCTGTTCGTGGTCGTTGCGCTGCTTGTAGTTTTAAAGGGTCACCTGCAGAATATATTTCGGTTCCGACGAGGCTTAGTGCGAGCTTGTATCGGATATTATAATCCGTTTTTTTTTTTTTTTGAGCGGAGCATCTCTGAAGGCCTAGCTTCGAACCCCATCTAGCGTTGACACGTTAATAGCAAACGGCATTCGAAAAGTGGCGCCCGCAGTTGCCGGCTTTCGACGGCACATTCTCCTGTGCGTCTATTTACATTCGTTGACAATAGTAGACAGACATTTTTGTGCGGAAGGACACGACGGTGCGGCGAGATCAGATGCTTGTTTCGAATCTTTCACCGTGCTTTCCAATGGGCTGAACATGCATTAACAAAAATAGTTTGATATATACACTTAAAGGGGCGGTGCAAGAATGTTCGTGCTTTGCGCGAATCCTTCACTTTTATGTCCAATGAAACACGCGTTCGTTTTTCCTCGCACTCAATAAACGTCGCAGAAAAAAAAGCCGTTTACAAATCCCTGTAACGCCGAATTGAAGCGCAGCTCTTGAGGAGGAGGAGTGGAGGGTATATTCCTCCTCCTCCCTCGTGATCATGCCTGGAGGGGGAGAAGGAGGAGGGGGAGGGGCGACGCCGACGCCGCACAGGCTGGAAACGGGTCATGTGACCCCCTCCCCCCGAGGTCACGTGACCCGCCCGGATCATACTACACAATGAGGGGATAAGGAGGAGGGGGAGGAGGAGGAGGGGAAGGAGGAGGAGGGGAAGAGGAGGAGGGGAGGAGGGGGGAGGAGGAGGAGGGGAGGAGGAGGGGGAGGAGTAGGAGGATGGGGAAGAGGAGGAGAGGGAGGGGCGCGGTTACGCCGACGGCGACGCCGACGGCGACGCCGACGCCGCTCAGGCTGGAAACGGGCCCCTAAGAGCTGCGCTCTAAAAGTGAAAGCCGTTTACAACTCCCTGTAACGCCGAATTGGAGCGCAGCTCTTGAGGAGGAGGAGGGAAGGGTACTGAGGGGAGGGTAGACCCCTCCTCCTCGTCAAGTGGGGGTCACCTTGGGGGTCACATGACCTTGAGGTGACCTTGAGGCGACCACGTGACCCCCGATGTCACGTGACCTGGGAGGGTCACGTGACCTTGGGGTGACCTTGGGAGGGGTCACGTGACCTCGGGGTCATGTGACCTTGGGGGGTCACGTGACCTTGGGGTGACCTTGGTTACGCCGACGGCGACGCCGCTCAAGCCGGAAACGGGCGCCTAAGAGCTGCGCTCTAAAATTAAAGGAAAGCGAGCAGCGTTCATCCCCTCAACTCGCAGCCACAAAATCAGCCACGTGATCTCGATCCGATTATATGCTGCCAATGTGGATTATAGCCACGCGCTGATGTTGGCAAAGCACAGGACACGCGCTGACTTTCAGACATTGTTAGGGTTCGGCTAGTGTCGTCATTGCAGCGATTGGACACGAGCCACTACCCGAATGCTTGTCGAACTATTGATTATGACGATCCCAAATCGAGTGCTCACGCAACGCTCTGGTGCAGTCTATGAGCCGTATTTAAATATCGCCGCTTGGGGACGATGCTGACACTGCGACCCCCACGCTGCGTCATCACGTTTTATAAAGGAGAGACTGAAAGAAAACGCTCGCTTTGTCCTTGAAATTACACCGCAACAAAGAGGTTTCTTGATCAATGGCGTCGCGTGTCAGTACACTTGGGTCCCAGACCTGCCAGTAAACTCGCGTAAAGCGGAACAGTTCCAATAGACCGATCTCACCAGCCAGTTTGAGTACGCCACCGCTGCCGCCATGCATCGTGGGAGCTGTAGTCTTTCTGCACGCGCGACAACCCCGCTGGAGGTTTGCGCGAGCAGACCACGAGGCAGCATGAGCTGTCGCGTGAACTGGGGTCTGCCTCCTACGAACTACAGTTATGGCGGCGTCACGCATGCGTGCAACGCTTGGTCAGAGCCGTATATGTAGAGGGTTTGGCCATTCGTTGGGAAGTATAGGAGACAAATGAGGAGGCGCCATTGGCCGAAAGCGGGCTGGGCGTGTTCCAGGGCGTCTTCAGAAATTCGAATGTGACCAACCAGAAGCCGGAAATAATACCCTGGCGGTGGTCGCCAGAAACAAACCTGATAACTGCATCGGAGTAACTCTCGATGGCTGAAAATATGGTACACGTGATGTTTCAATCACGCTCATCAAAAATGATGGTGGAAGAGTGCGACTAGCGGAACGATCGACATAATCCGTACGCCAAACGCCGAGGGCCGGGAATCTGCCGTCCGAGCGGTCACACACTGTCCGCGCAAAACAGAGTTGAGCGGCGCATTCGTTTCTTACATCTCTCTGCATGATCATGATGAAAACAACACGTGCACCCTATTTTCAACCACAAAGAGTTACTCCATTCCACTCTTACGTGCTTATTAAAACCATATACGAACATAGACCTTTGATCAGAACTGTTTCTCGCTACCACCGCTAGAGGATTCTTTTCGGCTTCTGGTTGGTCAAGAGAGCATGCCAAGCTCTCTTTCCGAGTCTGCCGCACGCCCTGGCTCTGCCCGCGCCTCCCATTGACCAAACTCTCTAGATATACGGCTCTGCGCTTGGTGAGATAGGTCTATTGGATATGGTTACACAGCTCCTTAATGCAGACGACTGATTTTCTACAACGTTTAATTCTTTCCAGATTCTTTCACAAAAGCATGTTTCTTTTTTGCATCCAGCGGCCTGTTTTTAACAATAAAAGATGGGAATAACTTATAAACAAAATTAATAATTGAATTTTTTTTTATTTTGCTTTTTGTGAACTGAAAATTACCGTTGTGTCGATTTTTCTACATAAAGTCGTATAGAGGTGACTCAACAAACGATGCAGGTATACAGAGTGTCTCCGCACTGCAAAATTGAAACACGTGATTTATTGAAAGTATTACATTTTACTCACCACTTGCGCTTTGTTGACAAGCCACTTGGCTTCAATGGTGGCTTCAGGGGGTATTATTACATCTTGTTTAATTAATTGTCGCGTAGTACGTGTTTCGACCGTGGTGGATCCAGAACTTGTCTTCAGTGTTGTCGAAAATTCTGAGCTGAAACTATATACTAGTGGAACTTCTATTTTGAAGCTGACCTTAACTGATAAGTCTGCTCCACTGGTGACGGTCCACATGTACTCGTCTTCCTGTTCTATTTGCTCTGATATGTGAGCCTTAGCCTCCACGTCAGACTGGTTGTTGTGAAATGTCTGGACATAGACAGCAGACAACTCAAGCGATTGTACTTTAGCAGTGCCGTACGTCACCGGGCCGACGTCGAACTCCACAGGGGGGTGTCTGCATTGAGAAACATTCAGATCACATTGCAATGCGGTACATTTGATAGCACAGTCATAATTTGCCATCACGCGAGAGAAGGTTGGTCTTTGTTGCGCCATCAACGGAATGACGAAATTAGCAAAACGGTTTTTTCCTAAATTATAATATCGTTAATGAGGTAATACGTTAAATTCTAAATGAAAATCATAATTAAAAGTGCACTTTATTAATAAACAAATCGATACGTTTTACAGCATTCAGGAACAACGTCGCGGTTATTGTGTAAGAACAGTAAACAAAAATACGATAAATATACGGAACGAAGAAAAAAGCCTACGAATCCGACGCAACTCAAGCATGCACAAAAATTAAATTAGCACAAAACCAACGAGGTAGTGGGGCTTAGAGCGATAAACGGATATCCCATTCACCAGGCAAAAATGACCCCCCCCCCCCCCCTTGGCTCCCGCCATGCTGTACAATTTTGACCACTAGACAGTAAAAGGGTTGATAAATTCGCTAGTTGGTATTTGAACATCTAAAGTCTAAACGGTATTAGCGCACCCGTAGAGAGATGACAAAAGATAGAGGAAAGAGCGCTACTCACAACTACATTTACTGAAATGAAGATAATGAAGAACATCGTAAAAATTCTTCACCCCCCTTAAAGATGAAAAAAAAAAAAAAGAAAGAAGAAAGATGAAAAATAAATAGGGTGTTCCCTCGCTGACACATGCTTCAAACACCAGGTAATTTGTTTAAACACCAGATCCGTTGTTGTTCGTCACGTTGCCACCATGCAAGGTGTTTTGTTTCAATCTTGGCTCGTGCGGGCTCTTCATTGTCAAAGTTGACGACAGGCACCTCATCCGTAATCGGCTGTCGCGTTGTCATCTTACCTAAAGTTTCGCGGCAGTCGTGGTTGATGCTGGTTCTTCATTGTGTGTATTAAAAAGTTTATTTCCTTGTTTGTTAGTGCAACGGATTCAACACTGAGGCATTCTATCTGCAGCTAGGATGTGGTAGGCTTCCAGCACGTCGCGGGTCAGTTTGTCTTCGTGCCTCCCTAGGATGCTTGTTTCCCCGAATAACGGACTGCATTTGCACTCATTACAATATGTTGCAAGATGTCCTCCTACTGTGGCTCTCGGAGAGTAATCATGTTGGCGTAGTCTATCGTTGAGACACTGCCCGTTGGACCGACGTAGCTCTTGCCACACGAGAGTGGTATATTATAAACGACGCTTGAAGTGCGCGGAAGAAAAGGCTTGGCATGCTTCTTAGTGCACCTGTGTTTCTTAACACCTTCGGCTAGCGGGTTTACTCTAGGGCAAATTCGGCTCATTTCTTGCGGAGCCGACAAAACAACTCGGACGCCATAACGACTTGCCACGTTTGCGTGTGTGAGATCTTGTGGAGGTGCGGAATTGCTACGTTTTTTTTTTTTTTTTTTTTTTTAATTGTGTGAGATCTTGTGGAGATGCGGAATTACCACCGGTCTTGTTTTGTTGAAATCACTTTTATAAGATTGGAGGCATTTCGCCTTTTTCAACAAGGAGTCCGCAACATTAGCCAGTAGTGGTAACGGATAGCTTGTCTTTTCTGAGTCCCTCAACCTGCATTGTGAAGCTGGCTCCCATGATGTGCACACGGGATTTCTCTATCGCAGAGCCAAACAGGTTAGAGCAATGCCCCTCTTGACGATCTTAGAGTGAGCAGAACTATAATCCAAAATTCTTTTCTAGGAGCGTGGGCAGTACCCCAGCACACATGCGTGTCACCCAGGTGGAGCGAAAAGTCTAAAAACTGAAGGACATTTTTTTGAGGGACTTCATATGTGAACCCAAGGCCCCCTCATACTCAGCAAAGGTTGCCGAAATGTCATTCACCTGTGTGTGCACAATTTCGCTACCTTCAAGAGCAACCAGGAGATCATCCACATAGCAGGCCACCTGTTAACGTTTTTACCCATTTAAAGCAATTGTCACGGAAAAAGGTTCCTGGCAAAGGCAAGTGGCTTCCTATCTCCAAAAACATCATTCATCTTTGAATATACATGACCCATTCAGAGTAGTGAATTCTGAGGAAGTCGTTGAATACCTCCAATTAAAAAGCCATGAGATAGGTACTGCATTCAGTATTGATGTGGAGAACCTTTTTTACTCATTACCACATAAACAATTATTGGAGTCGGTGAGGAAATGTATTGAAGACAATGGAGAGCTCTCCTTCAGAGGACCAACTGAGAGCTTTTTAGAGCTGTTACATTTTTACCTAACGTCCATGATTGTTGGGTGGCGGGATGGGTGCTTTTTACAAAAGTCAGGAGTATGTATTGGCTCCTGCGTAGCCCCAGTCTTTAGTGACATCTACCTTTGAGCGGTAGACCGTGCCATTGAAAGTAAAAGTAAAGTAAAGTAAAATATCGATTCAGTACCCCTTTAAACCACAGTGCGATTGCGCTCATCATACATGTCAAACAGATTACAGACCGGCGATTTGCGTTTTAAACTCATAGGCATGCATTGCATGTCAGGGCTTCCTAGGAGTTTGTTTGAACACGTTGCGAGAACCGTCCACATGATCTAAAGGTCTCCTTGCATAGTACACGCGAGAAAAGGGGAACCGGTGACCGAGTGGGCTAGAGCACACCAGCGCGGAGCACGTGGAGCGAAAGGTCGCAATGTATAGAACACAGGGATCCTGGGTTCATTCCCCACTCCTGCCCGTTTCGATCCGGATGAACATCGTACCGGCGTGCAATCGTGTATCATTAAGGCGTGACCCCATTTTTAGCGGTTGTGCTGCACTGGCTAAATTGCTCATCTACAGCGATTGTCTTGTCGCAACTTTGAAATGGCTGACCAACTACACGCTGTATAAATATCCACACAACCCCAATTATTATATTACACGCGAGAGAGGATAATGAATATATTATAGTATATATTATTATATATATTATATATAGTGTTTTTTTATTCTTTCAGATTTGTTTAAAAAAAGCCGTGAAAGTTACAGTTATGCGGTTTGTGCAGGTGGCTTATACGGCCAGGTGGACATAGTACAGGGAGATAGTCGCAACTATGAGTCGGCTAATTAGGTAACATTTGTTAATAAACTTTTTAATTAGCGCAAATAGACATATAGTTCGAATTAGGAACTTGCTGAGCGTTATCGAAAACCACTAAATCAACTCTTTTTAAAAGGATATAACGCAGGGGCAGCATTTTACAGCGTTCTGTAAGAACGCTCCATTTGGACGCGTTTCTAGATTTCGGTTTCTTATCAGAGCGCATCTTTGAGCCCGCGGTCCTGCTCCCCTGTGGTCGCGGCGCGATGCCACCCCCTCGCCTCTCTCACAGAATGGAGGGAAGTAGGGCGCACGCATTTTGCGCGTCTCAGCCACTGGGAAGCGGGACCGCGGGCGCGTAGATGCGCTCCGATATGAAACCGAAACCAAGATGCGCGTCCAAAAAGAGCGTTCTCTAGAGCGTTCTTACAGAACGCCGTAAAATACTGCCCTGGCGTTATATCCTTCTAAAAAGAGTTGATTTAGTGGTTTTCAGCGAACGTTGTCTTAAGTATGGTGTGAAGTTATAATTTTCAATCGGTGTTTCCTAGTCGTTTTGTTTTGGTTTTGTTTTTTCGTTTGAACACAAAAGACGTCACCAGCGGTGAGCTACTTCACTCTTTAGTGAAATGACACGCCTACTGGTAGATGAGAATATTGAATGCCAATATTTTGTGACTTCTGCCCATTGCTTAGAACAGTGTGCAAATAGGCAAACGACACGAGAGGGACAGTCATTGTTAGTGCAGCCGAAGATCACATACCGGGAAATTTTGAAAGTCAGTAGTGCAAAATAGCGACTGTTTGTTAGACATTAATCTCGTTAAGCACGTTCTTTCAATTTCTAGCAACTGTAGTTTAGTTGTGTTTTTATTCGAGCCAAAAAAGTAGCATAACGTACTCTGCAAGCTTTTTGACGTCACCAGTGGCTCCTCGGTCTTTGCTGTCTCCATCGACATCAAAGGTTGACACCAGTTCATCGACATCGCACTTTGTCACGAGGTAATCGTAAACCACATCTTGGAAATCAAAAATGTAACCGCAGCCTAAAAAAAAATTGTTTGTGCATTTAAACTTGGATCGCCCAAGAGTTAAATTGGCAAAAACTTTGATCGTAAAAATAGCGCGGAAACTTCCATCTTAAAAACAAAGCAAAAAAGAATGTAAATTCTGTTAGAACTTGAAAGGAAACCCCATTAACCATAAAAATGGCAGCCGAAGCTTCAGAAACATACTTTGCTTCTTGAAAGTTAAAGAATTTTTTTTTATCAAAACGTCGGTTGTTATTAAAAAAAAAAAAACAACAAAAAAAAGAAGGAAGTTTGAGTTTTAGGAATATATATGCAGCAACTGCTCCGATATCTCATACAACATTACTTCTTTCTCCTTTCGATGCAACGTGATTCTAAGCCTCTGTCTCACAATCTGAGGCTTTTCCTCAAGGTTCTTTTCATTCCCAGCTTGACGTCAACGTCGGTCCAAGACGTGAACACCAGAGGTTTCTTCCAACTCCAGTGGGACCCTCGTTTAGAAACAAAACGCACTCGACTCGAAAGTTAATTGTCAATTCTTCCCAGGTAAATCGCATTCCGCTCTTTTTTTTTAAAGTCATATTGGTAGTGACATATTTTTTTGCGGCACTGTGAAGCTGCAGCTGCGTTAAAAAATATATTTATATCTGGATTAAATATAAAATCAAACCATTTTGCCATGTGCAGGGATGATATTCATGAACTTGTATCAAAGTAATATAGAAAGTAGTTTCGCTGAACAAGCGTAGCAACGTAGTTCGACAACGAGTCTTTATTCTTGGTAGTGTCTGACATCTAAGTCGATAAGAAGTGAGCCTCTTGTCGCTTCTGTAGTGAATCGGGTGTGCAAATCGCTTTAGAAGGCACGCCCGATTGAATAAGCCCGAGAAAGCACATTAGAATCATAACGCGCATTCTTTATTACGGTATTATTTGCATACTTAATGTTTCACACATCGATCTCGAAATCACTGAACTATTACACCACGTTGTTGCTCGGAGTGCCCTGACTTTAAGCTAGAAAGTAACGTCTCAAGCCGCAAATATTTCTTCTCAATCTTTAGATAGTTGTGTTTTGCTGACATATAAGCATGCATGGGTTTCTATTCGAAGGCCTTAGGAGGAGTTTATAATATACAGAAAAGCCTTTTTTTTACATGTATTTTACAGCTAGCTGTAAATGGTTTCATCATCAGTTAAAAACAAAAAGATCAACACTTGTGAACTACGCGCTCGCCTGCAGAAAAACAGCCCATAAAATAGCACTAAAAATATAACTTTTGTGAGCGACATTTGAAGGCAATTTTCGAGTTCAGTAAGCAACATTAGGCAAAGAAAGAAGAAATCATAAAGCAATTTGTTAAAATAAGGCTTTTGATTGTATTCAAAAGCTCTCGTATATTACTCCTCAGTCAAAAGATAGGGTCAAGACCAAAATACGTTTCGCTCTCATTAATCAAAGATAATGCTGGGAACGTGGGTACACGCGCTGCACGCGTCTGTTTTTCTTACACAATATATTCGAAGTAAATACTTAAAATAAAGCGTTTAGTTAAGTTAAGTCAAAATAAAGCATTTGTTTTAGATTTTTGTTGTCGAAACAGTTACAACTACAGATGTCAACACGCGAAGCGCGTGTACCTACGTTCCCGGCATTCTCATGGATACTTGGATAATTCGGCAAAAAGTCTATTGAGTTACTCTATCAAATGATGACGTATTTGTAAAGGGAGTAACTGAATAGTGTGTACTTACATTGTTGGATGGGAATCTGTATTTAAAAGAAAGCGCAATGAAATTATTATTTGAACGCGCAACGTGGACATCGCTTCCGTTTAAAATTCAAAACAACCAATTGAATTAGCTGATTACTTATACAATTAAACACATTCTGGTTGCTCCGAATAGTTAAGGCATCAGGATAGAATATATCTGGTCAAAAATTTCTTAAATAAATAACGTGCGTATTCATTGAGTTAGTTGATTAGTTGTTTTTGTTATTTTGGAGGATGAGCTACTACTATCTAATGTTTATCCAAACGAAGCTAATTTTCTTTTTATTTGAGGTGTAGATGACTTGCGTTCCATCAGCGGCCTGACATGAAGCATTGTCTGTCAATAGTCGCTAGTGAAACACGGACTGTGAAGTTCGAGGTCTTTGAGGAAGATTGTCTTTATTTTAATGCCTGGAATACCTTTTAATTCCAATTTTACGAATACTGCTTTTTCCAAACTATAAAGCAAATACTGCGTTGATTTTGATTACAGATTCCTGGATCGTAAAGGTGCTAACCATGACTATGACATTGCTGACTATCGTTTGTGTGCGGCATGTGGCAGTCTCTGCTACTTGACGGGTCGTAAAAGTATAACATTTCAAACGGTTGTTGCTATCGCGGTATTTCGTTTCAAAACTGCTGACTCACTGCGTAAAAATGGCCAAGCCGCGTGACCGATCACTGAAGAAGTAACTTAGAAAAGATTGTCTGCGAAGGACCACCGAAGCAGTTTTATCAGTACGTATACTTTTTTTCACTTTAAGTTTCGACGCAGCTGACGCAACGAGCTAATGGGACCAAGCAGATAGCGTTCAAAGCGACCGCCATGGTTCTCGTCATGTTCCTGTATGCGTTCTAACATCGCTGAACAAATCATAAACGGAAAATACCTAGTGACTCACCCTTTGAACGCTGCTTGATGGTCCCATTACCTCGTAGCGTCGTACAGCGTACATTTACTCAGTTTTGCGCTTACCAATAAGAGAAGGAGGAGGTGAGTCTGAACACTTTGCGCCATATTACCCGTTCTATAAATTATTCAATTCACAGTCGCCCGCTTCCCTACCAGTACAAGCTTCGCTCTGGACTCTTTTTATGCCGAAAAAGACGCGAGAGCGGCCATAACATTTAAAAACACAAAAAATGAGACGTCCATAAAACTCAATATATAAGGGAAACTTTGAGCGTCATTGCTATCAGGATGGCGTTAAATAGGAGGCGTACACCGGACACCACAATTGAGTACCGTGTCTAGTTTAGAAATTCCCCTTGCTCAAGCCCTCAGCGAAGAGGCAAGCACGACGAGATTAGGGAGCGTCCTTTGGAGGCGTTAAAGCGCTGAAGGAGGAGTGAGGTTGCAGTGACGCCACCGAGCTGTGGTGGGAGGCAGGAAGTAGCCCCCACGTGAAGGCTGTAAGAAGGCGCGCCTTTTCATTCTAGCCAGGCCGCAGCTGTTCACGCCACGTGCTCAGAGAGAGCTCACGCCTATGGGCTAAGACCGGCGACTTTGGTGGTGTGGAATGCACGCTACAAAAGCGCTATGGGAGCTCGGCCTTAGCCCGCACACCTTAAAACAATCGATGCCCGTGAACAGCTTTCTCTACCTCGGACGTAACGTTGTTTCATTTGCTTTTACGACAACAGGGTTCAAGCTGCAGAACCCAGGGATAAGGAGTTCAATTCCCACTCCTGCCCGTTTCGACCTGGATAAGAATCGTACCGGAAGGGGGCAGTGTATCACTACTGCGTGGTGCACGTTAAAGACCCCAGGCTAGCAGTCGTACTGCACTGGCTAAATGGCTTATCTACAGTAGGTAACAATGTCGCCATCTTCTGGCAGACTAACCTCCTGCTGTAGAAACAACTAACGACAAATTTGACTTTTGGCGTTGTGAAGAGTATTCAAGTTAATGTTTTTTTGTTTTGTTTTGGTTTTGGATTTTTTTCGGAAAATGTTTGCATCATATGTAGCGTAAAGGTATGTTTAGCTAAGGTGCTTTAGTAAAGGAGCCGGGGACCGTTATCACGCGGTGCATATGATTCCCTTTAACTAATGGAGGGCAATTCGTAAATGGATCTAGCCAACCTGTTTTTACATCTACCAGGTAAAGCCTCGGACCCGTGAACTGGATATAGAAATGAGGTATGTAAATGTATGCACCAATATCTTAAAAAAAGATTTGTTTTTTGTTTCTAACTTTCTAAGGTTTAATGCGTTATAGCTAGGGCTGGGCGTGGATTAAAAATTTTAGCCCGATTAATCGCCACCCTTTAATCGATTAATTAATCGATTAATCGGTTACGTTGATTTTTATAAATAATATATTAAAAAGAATGGGCAACAACTCGTCTTGCCTTTGAACTTTGAAGACTTATTTTACTCTCTGTTACACGGCGGAAAGGACATTTAGAATTGAGGGTACATATCATAGTTCAACGATTCAAAGGCTCACATATTTTTGCTCCAGTTCCGAAGACAAAGTGTTTTCTACGTTTTGGCGGATGGTCCTTGCTGCAGCGGCGTACATGGGTGCTTCGCTCGTAGGTGATACTGAAGCGAACTTACGCTTCCACTGTACGAAAACGGCTTTTTTGACTTCCTTCGAGTTAAAAACTTCACGCTGGAGTTTACGTTAAGCCCTGACTATCCAGCGTGAACTCGTCCATTTTTACGGGCCGAATACTGGAACAAGTAACCATGGCGTCAATGGCGTTGTTAGCTTCCCAGCTTGTTTTTCCGCTTGTTTGTCTTGCCTGAGCAGGATGTGTAATAGATCCCCAACACGTGAAGTTTCGCGGTTGCGCGGGGATCAATGGACCGATCTCACCAAGCGTTCGGCGCATGCGTGACGCCGCCATAGCTATATGGCGAATTCCACTGGTCGTTTTGGAGCGCGCCGGGATCGACTTTTCTGGAGCGAGCCTATTTCACTGGGCGATCGGGATTGAGACCGACATGTTTCACTGGTCGTTTTGGATTAGCTCCCGCTCCAGATCTCGATCTGGATCCGATGGCGAATTCCACTGGGTGTTTTGGAGCGCGCCGGGATGAGGTGACCAGATCCGGAATGGAGCTCACAATCCGAACGGGGTCGCGCCGGCGATGGATCCCCATGTGGAACATGACCACTGCTCCGGGATCGGCATTTGCCTTCATGTCATTCGACTGCCGGGGAACCCCCTTTCCGCGGCCGCCGCGGTCGTTTCGAAGACGTTTTCGCAATCGCGGTGCTAACACGTGTTAGACGCACGAGCGGCAGGAATGGCTCAGGAGCTTCTAGCAAAGATTGCCAGAATGTCCGTAGCGCGGCCAAAACCTTCTCTTCTCCTTCCTGGAAAACGAACCGGCTGTCGAGCCAAGAGGTAAAGGCCCTGTCACACTGAGGGGACAGTTGGACAACTCTCTCCGGCAACACGGGGAAGTCGTGTTGCCGGCAACCCTGTCACATCGCGGCAACAACAACAGTTGGGCAACATGTTGCTGCCGCCTGGCAGTGGTGTTGCCCGATTAGTTGTCCGACAACCCTGTCACACCGTGCTGACGGCGAGGACAACACGGGGAACACTCCGCCATCTTGATTGTTTACCTTCGTTCGTGCGCGGCGCGGAATCGCTGGAAATAGTGACTCTACAAAGCGCTAGTGCGTCCGAAGTGTAACGGTGGGTGATTAGCACAAAGAGGAGACAGGCATGATTGCTGACACGTCTCGACGCCCGAGCCCTGGGCCGACGTTCTATTTATTGGCGCGTGCTGCCTGGTGCCTGCGCACCTGCAGACGATGATGTTGCTAGCCGATTGCCGATACATCCCCCTTTCTTTGTCTTGAGAAAAAGAAACAAACAAAAAACAAAAACAAAAAAAACAAACAAAGAAAACAAAGCACACACACTACAAAAACAACACACACGCTCAATATATCAAAGATTTGCGCAGTCCTTCGTCTGCTGCGAGTCAGTGACACTACTTGCTGAAAGTTCTCGTCATATGTCAAGCGCTGTGGTGGGAAGACTTGTCGGGACGACCGCCTGAGCGAAGGTGACGATGGTGGCGAATTCTGACTGGTGGTGCTACTCGTACTGTTTCCTTGAGCCGCCTGCTCCGCTGGTGTGGATAAACTATCAGTGCCCCTGTGTCCCGGCAGTGAGGGCGTGGAAGGTGGCACACCTTCGTCGGCCGTGTCATACCCATCGGAGTCGAACTCATCGAGAAAGCTTGGCGCCTCTTCTGTCTTCAAAAGGTGTTGGCGGTTCCTGCGCATTTCTCGTCCCTGATCTGTGAGAATTCGATATGACCGCGGGCCTTCGCCTCCCACAACTTGCGCTTTTCTGTCCCAGGCTTTGTCCCCTCTGACTCTAACACTGTCGCCTTCTTTTAACGGGGCAAGTTGATGTCCGCGATTTAGGTTCTGGGTGTGCTTGCGTACGGAGCGTGCTGGGGGAGTCGCAAAGTCTGGTAGAAGAGTGCGGGGCCTGCGGCCCATCAGTAGCTCTGCTGGAGCTGTTCCACACTCGAGCGGCGTCGCACGGTAGTTCAAGAGACCCAGCCAAAAGTCATCGCCGGAGTGCTCGCATTTTTTTAGGAGCCTCTTGACAACCTGAACGCCTTTCTCGGCGAGGCCGTTGGATCTGGGGAAGTATGGACTGGAGGTCACATGAACGAAATCGAATCGTGCAGCGAAATCTGAAAAGTCCCGCGCCGCGAACTGTGGTCCACCATCCGTGCATACTTCAATGGGTATTCCATGTCTAGAGAAAATGCTTTCCATGGTGCTGATGACCGTTCTTGACGTCGTGTCCTGCAGTTCCGCAACTTCCGGAAAATTTGAATAAGAGTCATAGATGACCAGATAGTTTTTTCCCGCAAAATGACAAAGGTCTGCTCCAACTCTTGCCCAGGGCTGCCTGGGCGTCTCTCGGAGCAAGAGCGGTTCATCGGGATGACGATATGTAAAGTGTTTGCAGGTGGAACACTTGCTGATCCACGCAGTTATGTCTGCGGTCATTCCTGGCCAGAACATTAATTGTCTTGCGCGAGATTGACATTTTCCCAGTCCTAGGTGCCCGCAATGCACGCGCTGTAACATCTCTAGTCTTAAGCTTCGTGGTATGACTACTTTGGAGCCCTTGAGTAGTACACCATCAATGAAGGAGAGCTCCGACCGGAACGGCTTAAACTTGCTTTGCAGTGGCGCCTTTCTCATCAGGCCATGGATGACGTCTTGGAGTTCACTGTCTTGTGCTGTTTCTTTGACAAGACGTGCTTTGGTCTTGTCACTCACTAGTGTGGATAGAACACCTGTTGCGTGGACGTCGACATCGTCAGTAGTTGAAGCGCTGCTCCCGGTCCTTATGCGAGACAGTGCATCCGCCAGTATCAGTTGCTTGCCTGGGACGAACTGTAACGTAAATTCGTACCGCATTAGACGCAAAAATAGTCTCTGGAGCCGTGGTGGCATATCACCAATAGCTTTTTGTGCAATAGCTAGTAACGGGCGGTGGTCTGTTTCGATCATGATGGATTGGCCATACACGAAGTCGTGGAATTTTTCGCATCCGAATACTATGCCTAGATTTTCTTTTTCAATCTGTGAGTACCTGCCCTCACTGTCTGTCAGCACCCGTGACGCGTAGCCTACTGGACGCCATTCTTTTCCGTGCTGTTGAAACAGAGCCGCTCCTAGAGCACCTTTTGATGCATCCGTTGACAGTTTAATTGGCTTTGAGGGATCAAAAATGGCTAGAACTGGACCTTCTGTTAACATTTGCTGAAGTGAACACCACTCACGCGTGTGGACATCGCTCCATTCGAATAGTGAGTCTTCCTTAATCAAGTCTCTAAGCATGGCTGTCTTTGATGACAAATTAGGAAGGAACTTGCCGAAGTAGTTTACGGCTCCTAACAGGCGTTGAACCTCCTTTTTGGACGTCGGCAGTGGCATCTCGCGAAGACATTGTACTAGCTCGGGGTCCGGCTTGATTCCGCTCCGGCTGATCTTGTCCCCTAAGTACCGTATCTCG